ATTTATTGTCTTTGTTTATTCTGTTTTTAGAAGTGGATGTTATGAAAGGAATGGCATTAATGAATAGTGGTTGAGCAAGTATATTACTGTTATCAGTATAGCATGTTAAGAGGGAGGAGAAAAGGAGGAGCAATGAGGGAACAGGTTTGCATGTATTTACAAGCCAAGCCAATCATCTGTGAGCATGTCAAGTAAGCAATAAAATATTGGTACATTTGTAATCTAATTCTTAAACGTAATTATTCATTTTTTTTTCTTCAAAAAAAGCATTAAGAAACGTTAGTGAACAGGAAGAAAGGAAAAACATCACCTAATCAAACATAGCATTACTTCTTTATTTTCGCCAATCTAAAACATCAATTACTATATTTTTTTCTCTCAAATACCGTATACAAATATTCAAATACTTTTGAAATAAAAGCAATCAAACAATTTAAGCTTTATGTAGCAAATTATGAGCACTCTTCCAGAAAAACAATAGTCCTAAAAATTCCAATTTGCAATTTATGATATAATCACGGAGATAAATTAAGAGAAAAATTAGTTATAAACATATATTAATTGTAATTATTGTATTGAATAGTAGCACTTTAACATTCGTATGACGCAATCATAATTCAAATTTTGACTTAAAATAGTTTATGTAATCAATCATTTCTTTTTTGCACAACAATTTTTCATTACGTAAAAATAAAAAGTGGTAGTTAAAATAACAACCGTATGCTAATTTCTATAATTTATAGAAAATTTGATAAAACGTAAAAAGTGAAAAACTAGTTGCGACAAATCGATATGACAGTATTAAAGGTTTTTTCTTTAAATGTGCTATCAATTTCGTCCTTGAAAATTGAAGCAAAAAACGAGGAAGAAGACGTGTGGAACAGGTAAACTCTTCCGTACCTAATAAAACTAATCTTCTTTGTTCATTAATTTGCTCAGTCAAACATTTCATCTATATATACATATATATGCACATATATGTACATATATCAGCAACACATGCAAATTTTTGCTCTTTTATACTTTTGAAAGCAAAAATTTTTCATATTTCATCTTAAATACTCAAGCAAATATTTGCAACTTTGAAAATCACGAAAACTATATGTTCAGATCGATAGGTTTGATCATTACGAGTTACTTAGTTGAATAATCACTTAAGTACATAAACATCAAATCATTGCGATTATTTTGTGAACTGTGTGGAATTATGAATATTAAATAAGAAGCCAATTTATAAAATTGAATTACATATAAAATAAATACATAATAAATATTAGTCATTTGTATCAATTTTATGGTATGAATTTCATGCGCACATTCCAATTTTATTTTCAAATTAATAAGCATGCTATTTTCGAGGAAATGAACTTATTACAACTTATTGACTAGATACTAGTTGAGTATATTTTACTTTAAACTTTATTTATTCAAGTAAAAAATGAATCAATGGTTCATTACCTGATTATGGTATAAAAGTATAGTTCAATCTTAAGTAGGTCAGTGAAAATAACATAATTAATAAAGTATCTGCATAAATCTTGAATAAAAATAATTATATTTTTAATGAAAAATGTGCAAGAATTTCCAAAAATAATACGAAAATAGTCAATATTTTTAATTAATTAAGTAATATCATAAAATATAATACAAAGTAAAGTTAGTAGCATTTGAAAATGTTCATGGAGCAAATTCAAACATCATTATGAAGAAAATAGAAAAATTGAAATATTTGCGAAATAACGAGAATTATAAGAAAATATCAAGTTTGCATTCGCACACTGAAGTTTCTTTGAAGAAGTTTGATCAGTTAAATTGCAAATAATTTTACCAAATTATAAATATTGAAGTGCAAAATGCTTTTCAACGAAAGCAAATTATGAAAATTTTTGGACGCAAATTTTTATAATTTCTAGTACATTACATACATTTTAATTTTAAATTATATTTTATGTAAATAAAAGTTATGGTATGGCATAATAATGTATGACAGTGTAGCAAACATTTTAATAACATTACTGTAATATCTAATGTAGTATGGCAACAAAAAGATTTTTTAATTAAAAGCACATAAAACTGATTTCAATTTATCTGAAATAATCGTTGATAACTTTGTAAACAAATTAGAAAACAACAAAAACTCGTAAAATCATAAAAAAGAAAATATCACAAACGATGAATACGCAGTTGAAAGAATATTATAATTAAACTTGCATCCATTGTAATCCAAATTTGCTAAAAAAATATGCTATAAATCTCAGAAAAAAAATTGAAATATAAAGCTTACTTACAATTCGAAAGTTAGTCAACAGTACTGTACAATACTGCTAAAGTGAATAACCTTACAGTATGAGTAAAATTCATTTAAAAAAACAAGAAGTTAGCAGAAGGAAAATTGTTGAATATGTTTTTGATATAAGTAAGAAGAAAAAATTTATTCAAAATTAAGTGATTGATTAATTAACTAATTAATTATATTTGATATGAAATATACTTTAATCTTTCCTCTTATGTAATTATATTTTGCGATTAATATATAAATGCATAAGAGAAAAGAGTGTGCAGAAAAAGATTAAATCTTTTGCTAATTAGTGATATTAACAAGGAATAGATTAGGATAAACAGCATTATCATTGATATTATCATTATTATCATTATTATCATCAATATTACCTTTTTCTGAAGAGATTGGAATGTTTGGATGAAATGCAAATAATGAAATCATGATCAAATATATACCACCACCATAACCTTTCTGAAAATTTCATCAATATTAGCAAAAGATAAGAAATAAAAATAGACTTAAAGAGTCAGAGATAGGAAAAGAATAAGAGAAATTAGCAGAATGTAAGAAATAGAAACAGACGTAGAGAATAAGAGAGGGGAAAAGAATATGATTTAGAGTCAATACCGTTTCCAACTTTCATCATTGCCTACTTTTTAAGAAATGATCATTGCATCAATCACCTCGATCACCTGAACTGTATCAACCAACAATTACTACAATTTTTGGGTTCCATTCTTGTGATACATATATATATATATATGTATGTATTTATACATATATATGTATATATATCAAATATTCCAGATTTTGTTCTTCAACAAAATCATAGAACGAAAATTTATTCCTCTTTACATTTTCCCGCGATTGATATTTTTTCAAATTAAAACAAATGATTGACTTGTTAAAGTCATTTTTAAAAAACCTGTATTTATTTCACGCTTTTTTATTGATTACAACATTGCAAATTTTCTTTCTATCTTCATTTTGCTTTCTTAACAAGAATTAGTGTTTATTTGTGCTTAGTTACAGTAAATTACGTTTGTTACGTTTAAACCTGTTTTTAGCATATGATTGACATTAGGCAGCAATGAAAGATAAGTATATTTTCTCCAAAAAATTAATAATTTACTTGATGGCATAGAATTTCACTCGACTATCACAACTTCATCTTTTTTGTTTCATCCATTTTTAGCAACAACAGTAGCTAAGACTTACTTTAAGCAATCGTAGCTAAATTTTTTAATTTTTTGTTAGTACAGCAAAATTTCTCCCTCACTTGTGTTACTTCAGAACTAGTTCAAATAAATTATGCAAAATACTTCGTCAAAAAATGTTTCAGCTATAAAAATAAAAGCGATGTGTGAAATTCAGTGTAATTTTCCCACGAACAAAAACATGCGATAAAATCCTTAGTTGTTTAAACCACTTTGTAACAATGTCGTAATAATTTTTGTTACAAAATGTGTACATACAGGCTGAACACGTGATAATTAAATTATTCGCAGGAATGTTTTTCTAGTTTTTTCTTGGTAATAGTAATCAAAACATTTAAAGTAATTACCACAAACTTTTGCTCTTTGCATTGATTTTTTTACCATTATTAAAAGTTAATACTTTTCAAAAATACAATAATAGTTTTTTCAAACAAAATTAAATTAAACAGTAATTAAAGTTGGTTTTTTTAAATATATTGCTCTGAATTTAACACTTCTCAATTATTTCACTTTTAAAAAATGTTTTCACTAAAATTTTTCAAATAGCATATTTGTATATACATGCATGTGATAATTGTGCAAACTTATCTTTAACAGTAATCAAATCATTTTCAATACTGCTAAGCTTTTTATCAAAGTTTTGTATTATCAAATAGTCTTTAAATTTCATTAGATTATTTACAGAAATATTTGAAGTTCAGCATTTATTTTCAAGCAATTTAATTTTTCCCAATTTGATAGTCCGAAGAAAATCAACCATTTTCAAAATACAATGACTGATTAGTAATTGAGCGAAGTAATAGCATTTTATAGAGTAAAAATTTATTAATTTACATTAATTCATGTAATAAGAAACTTGTGAAAAGCTAGTTTGCATAGGTTTATTATTACATGAATTATTGAAAATCATCATACGGTAACGTCGTGAATTATCATATTTTACACAGTAAGCAATAAATAATGAGAGAAATGTAACGCAAACTTTGAAGAATTTTTAAAAAAATCAAAAAAGCTCAAAAACCTTCAAATTAGCACAATTATTCATACTAATTTATCGTTCTTTTCTCAACTGGTTACGGAGAATAATTCTACTTCTAAGTCAAATTCATATCAACCAAAATATTTTAATTCTCTGTTAAAGTGGGAAGTAACTTTTTCATTATGGTCTCATGTCATTAACGTTACAAATACTCACAAAGCGGAGGATAAATTAGTACTCGCAGACTGTTGTTCAAAATCAAATTGTGGATGACTCTTGTTATCAAGTTTGAGTAATTACTAATTAGGTCAGCCTGTTTTGAAGTTAGTGGGGTCTCCTATATGTTTTTTTAGTTTAAAAGCTTTTAAATTGCAATTTTCAAATGCATTTGTTTTTTTATAAATGAAGCATTTCAGGTCAGATGTTATGAGTGACGAGACTTGTGGGTTTCTAAATCTTTGTGAAACAAATAACAAATCAATCTTGTATTCAGATGTAGTCGTTAATAGTATGCTCAGACAAAATGAAAGCTTCCGTACGATATTTGTCTTTAGGACTATTTCTGTCCACTGTGATATTGCTTTTGATTTATCAAAGGTATGGGAAAGGAATTTTCAATCTGCCAGTGGCACCATCATATATTAGTGAAGCTGAATTGTTGAATACTAAAGAAGTGTATCACATCGATGAATGGCCTGTCAAGTATGTTTACTAAAATTTGCTACTAGTTTTATTTCAGGTCAAAGCTTAATTACCATAATTTAACTTAGACAGAACCCTCACTGTATTGTTATCAAATTTTTTTCACTTCAGTTTTTAATATTTTTGTAATTAAAAACAATTTTTATAATAAAAAATTATATGCCTGCGGACACACTATATTATATCTCTTTTATAAGAAAAATGCTCTGGAGATGTAGGTTGATGTTTTTAATACTTGAAAAACCTTATTGCTTTTCTTTTATAAGAAAAATTCATTCTAAATAGAATAAATTTTATATCTTGGCATTGTTTCGGCAAGTTGTGTAGACATGTCATGTGATTTTTTTTCAATATAAAAGCTGAAAGTTAAATATTTTGAAATTAATCTCACTTGTGTTTATGAAAGTGAGCAAAATAATTGATAGTATGTTTCGGAAGTATAAAATTATTACCTATCAGTATCACCTGAAAAGTCAAATTTTTAATTTTAGGATTTCCGAATGCACAATGTCACAGTGCTTTGATTTATCACGATGCTTAACCCAAGATGCATTTCGAGTATATGTTTATCCAGCAGATAACAGCTCGATCGTGTCATCTGTATATAGAAACATACTAAAAGTTTGTTTTGTTTAGAATTACATTCCAATATAAATGTAATTTCAGAAAATTTACTTTCACATAATGTATTTCTTCTTTATAATTAATTACTAGATAAAAATTCGTAGACTGACTCTTAATAAAAAAGTACAAATATATGGTTCGTAGGTTTTGTAAGTTTGCAGCTCTTTATTTGGATTTTGTTTTAAATATAATTTTTGTACCAGTTTTATCGTATTATATGTTTTTGATAGTTGTTTAAGTTTGAATTATTTTTCTTCTGCTTCTACAATTTTTCAAACTGATATTGAGCAATAAATATTCCAGGTCATCCGCGAAAGCGTGTATTATACAAATGATCCTCAAAAGGCTTGTGTATTTGTTCTAAGCATTGATACAGTAGATCGAGATCGAAGGAGGTATTTTGAGATTATTTGAACATCAGTTATTCTCTTCTTTCTTTTTTTGTTATTTGTTTTTCTCAATGGTTCATTGAAATTTCTTTTCATTACAAATTATTTTCGTTCTCAGTGAAAACTATGTGAAGTATGTAAATGAACTAATCGCAAAGTTGCCGACTGAAATTTGGAATCATGGACTTAATCACATAGTGTTTAACCTTTACCATGGCACATATCCCGATTATTCAGATCACAAATTAGGCTTTGATGCTGGATACGCTCTTATTGCTCGCGCAAGCGCCAATGTTCGAGTGAGTGCATTTATTTGTTATTTCGCAGTATTAAATGAAAAGAAATGTAGCGAATTCATTTTTCAACAAATATTTCAGGTGTTCAGAAATAACTTCGATTTATCCTTTCCTCTTTTTCATAAGGAGCATCCTTTAAGAACGACGGTCAAGGTTTGTTGCTAGTATGTTTGCACATTCAAAAAATTTTGTTTTCAACTTTTTCATAATAACAGCATAACTCATATCTTTAATGATGTCAATTTTTCCCTGATTTTGACTGCAGTTTGTAAACTAAACAATACATTTTAGAAGAGAATAAATTTTATAGTGAGAAAGGACAAATCATCATGTATATTTCTCTCTTGAGAATGTATTTCAGGCAGAATGGCCATTGAAATTGAAAGACAATTATCTAGTGAGTTTCAAGGGTAAGAGATATGTGTATGGGATTGGTTCTGAAACTCGTGATTCACTTTACCATCTTCACAATGGACAATCTGTGATAATGGTTACAACTTGTAAACATAACACAGACTGGAAAAAATATGAGGATGAACGTTGTGAAGAAGATAATGTAGAATATGATCGGTAAGTGTTCTCTTTTACATTTTGTTTTTAAAAACTATTAGATGTAATGCATCGAGACAAAAATTGAGGTAGCCTGATAATTACTTAAATTTTTATTCTAGTTGGGACTATGAAACGGTTATGTCGAATTCAACATTTTGTCTCACTCCTCGCGGACGACGTCTTGGTTCGTTCCGTTTTCTAGAAGCACTTCGATTAGGATGCATTCCAGTAGTTCTGTCTGATGATTGGGAGTTACCCTTCTCGGAAGTAATTGATTGGCGTCAAGCAGTGATTATTAGTCACGAAGATACTGTCCTTACGGTCAGTTTTTGTGACGTTAACATAAATATAGCTCTGTTACACTAACATGATTAAAGATATTTATGTTATTCTTTAGTATTCTCTGTAGCTTTTTATCCTTCAAAGTTAAAATCTCCTTGAGTTTTAGAGTTGATCTAATTTTAGTTTGCTTCATTAAGTTTGCAAGGGATACGATGGCACTGTAAGACCTATAACACCTGAGAAATGGATTTTATGTGTTTATGCAGTCAACATTTCTTAAGAACTTTTATTCCAGATTTCCGATATGTTAAGTGCTATACCACTTGATCGCATTCTATTCCTGAAACAACAGTCACGAGGTTTATATCAGCGATATTTTAGTAGTGTGGAAAAAATTGTGCTTACCTCGTTACAGGTTAAATTTTTGGATGGTTAAGAAACTTCAGTATTTTTCATTTTTCGTTTCCTTAATTTTATTAAATCAATATGTAGATAGTCGAAGAACGTATCAAAAAGCAACAAGGGAAAGAGGCCAGGGATTGGAATCGATTGTTCTCTCCTGTGCAAAAGTTCTTGCCATCAGTGACCAGTAAAAGTGGTTGTACGATCTTTCTTAAAGCGTCAGTCAAAATATCGGGAAAATTGAACCGGATCTTAAATATTCTTGCTTCTATCGCTGAAATACGGAAGGGAATGCTCCATCTTCATCCGTTACTTGAGTTTAAAATTTTTGATAATCTGTTAGTTCTGACGAATTTTTCAAAACTGCAGATTTTAAAAGAGCCTCTTAAATTACTTCAAAAAATGGATTTTTTTTTAGGTTATCATTTTGTGGCCTAAAAAGCGTCAGATGAAAGCAAGTTTCGATAAATTCAATTTGAAAATATTTGTGGAACAGGGTGATTTTGAAGTAATGATATTTAATGTCTTATCATATTTAATTTTAATTCCACTTATTTAAATTGAAAATTTTGTCAAATAAAAGAATTGACTTGCCATTGTGTAGTGACTTTAGGTATATGATGATATATTGAGCCAAATTTGGAGGTTGAAATTTGATGTGGAAGGTGAGTTCGTGGTATTTTTGGATGAACGTGTTCCATTTACCGTTGGTGAGGTGCTTTTTATGCTAGACACAGCAAGTAAAGAACCTAATCGGGTGTACGGTTTTTATGCTGCTGAGTCCAAGGTTTTATTTTTAAAATATTTGTTTCGGTGTTGATTACAAGACACTCAATAATTCTTGCATTTTTCGATAGTGCTTTCTATTCCATATACTTATGATCCTTTCATTTTAGGCAAAGTCAGAAACGTTGACTATTGAGTTTGCACCAGAAAGTCGCTACTCCATAATTTTACTTCATTTTGCTCTAATTAAAAAGTGGGTATGAATGGTCATAAAAATGAAATATTTCTTTGCATGTTATATTTGATTAGTGTTTATTTTTTACATATTTAAATTAATAAGTGCGTAATTTAATAATTGCTTCGCATATCATCCGATTTTGTCTATGATATGTACAAATTATATTCTTCCATACATTTTTTCAGGGAATACTTACAATATTTTGAACACTGGATGCCAACACCTGCAAAAGATATTGCTTCAAGGTCATCGCAGTGTTTAACTTTGTTGATGAATATAATGGTTGCCGAACATACTGGCCAATCTCCGGTTTTAATCGGTAATAAGATCCATGAAAAATGGATGTTGACTAAGAATTATACAAGGTGCTCAAATAAGGTATATTATTACGCTATTCTCCGTGTTTGTCAAATCTTTAAGCTTCTTTCATCTTCGTCATAAAATCGAGTGCAATGATTATTAGAGGTATTGGAAAGTAAGTGTACTGAAAAGTAATGGGAAAGTACTATTTTCGGTAAGGGAGTTTATTTAAATCTTGACTGGTTTACATGACTATTTTTATTTTAATTATGGCTTGAGAATAAAACATTGTGAGCATATCATTTGAAGCATGTTGTGCATAAGTTGAGTTGGCATTTAAAATTTAGAAAATAATAATTTTCAGCTCATCGCTGATGTGTGGCCTTCAGGACTTTCGTTAATCAGTAGTGAAACAAAACTGGATCCACTGTTTTCGAAAAATGAGCTAGTGTCTTATCGAAAGAAGAATACGTATGCAGAGAAACTTTCAGGTTTTTAGTGAGTCATGTTTAGTAAGTAATGTACACATTGTCTGTGGTATTTTATAGAAGAGATTTCGTAATCTTGCATTTTAAAGTTGTAATCTTCTTGAATGGTCATGAACTTCTTCTATACAAAGAAACAACGCTATGAAAAACGCTGTATCAATCTGATAAAATCTTTATCTTGGAGTCTCGTTAAATTTGTCACATCAGTAAAATGAACCTTAGCGTACTATCGTTTTCAGTGGAACAAATTTGATAAAAATAAGAAGTTTTGCAACTATTAGAGTGCTGTTAAAATTATTCCTCTTATCATTTTCAAAATTTTTCGGAATTAAAAATTTAGCTGTTGTATTTCATTTGAAATTTAATTTTCATTTTGAAGTTCAAAGCTCTCAATTTTGTACGTGTATGGACCATGGTGAAATTACATGGAAAACTCAACTGAAAATTATAAAGTTTTTACAGATTAGAATTAATTTGTGGATAACTCAATGAATTTTGTACATGATCACTATGATCCATTATATGTAAAAAAATTTTTTGGATTTTTCCTGAGTATAATGTTTTGCAAAAATAAAGGATTGAAACAGCCGTGCAGTTAGTATTCAATACAAAATGCCCTACCAATTAAAACTTAAGTCGCGCACAGTGTCTTCATTATACGCATACACATTTATATCTCTTTTTTAAAGTAAACATGAAGAGTAAAATTAGAGAATGCACTTGGCATTCAGCTCAAATTCATAAATTAGTCAGTAATTTTGGCACTTTCGAGTTTTGTTTTTTTCCGCCTTTATAGATGTCGCGTATTATTATTATTTGTTTGCAAATAACATAAGATTAAGAAGACTGAAGTGATAAAAACAGCAGTTGTAGAGGGGACCACGGTAATAATGGTGGAATATTGAGTAGAGTATCCTTGTAACGAGTGATTATGACTGTCTAATGTATAGACAATACTGGAATACCTCTATATTTGTAGTTATGATTACTCGTTGCTATTATTTGACCATTGATCCTATTCAGTATTGTTTTTATCTACCCCTTCTATTTATTTTTTACTTGTTGAGTCTATGTTAGTTCTTTATCTTGTAGGTATACTCAAAAAATTATTCTGTAAGTTCAAGACAAAGCTTGTTTTGGTAATATTTGCAATATGTAACCAAATTGTGCAGTTAATATTACGTTATATTATATATTAGACACATACGTAAACCATAAATTAGTGGTATTGAAGTATAACTGATTAACAGTGTTGTAACAGCACTGATTGTGAAAAGTAAATTGCTGTTTAGGTCATTTGGGTGGACTATACTGCTATGGTGAGTAGCATAGTGGCTATCTGATGAATGCTAGTTCTTATCATGAAATTATATTATGCATATTTGAGCTTTCCTCCTCAGATTCCAATTTCTTGTTCAAGATTTCTTTTCCACTTTAATTTGCGATGTATCCAAAAGTTCCCATGTAACATTTCCATTTCATCTTCGATTTCTGGGTGAGGTCTAAGTGGAATCACTTGCTATAACGTTCTACAAAGTAACAGTTCAATAATTCTATGAACGAAATCTTTATTACAAAACAGCAGAATGTTTAGTGATAAATCATTATGATCGAGAAACAATATCAAATTTGTGAGCTAAAATAATTTAGAAAACTGACTCTAATCACTGCAAGTTTTTCAGACTGTTCTTCAATCCTTTCTTGCTCTTTCAATGATGCCTTGACTAATTTTTTGATTGCTGAACATATTAAAAATTTCAGCATTTTGCTTTTTCTTGTTTTCCGTTTAAATGACACAACACAAGATTTTAAACACATACTCCATCAATAGTTTTAACACTAATAAAATTCCAGAACGAGTAATTGATAGTACCTGAATTTAAACGCAAAGATAATTAAGACAAAAAAGAAAGAGATCTTAAATTCAAAAAATTTAATGACTGGACTTGCACAGCCAATTTAGCTTAAGTCAATTATGTTTAGTAATCAAGTGCCACAATAACTGATTGACTATTTTGCACTTCCGCTCTTCATACAAACTGGAGCAAACTTTCACTTCTCTTCATTACTTTGCTTCATTACATGGGATGAATGATACAGTGAATATTAATTTGAATGAAAAATTTTATGATGAAACCGGTAAATACTTCAAACTCAATCATCTGCAATTCTTGTCAAGTTCTAAGATGAATACATTGAACGTCAGGAGATAACAATATCAGTGATTCCGTTTATGCCTCAAAATATCAAATGCTGTAGTGAAGTGGAACAACTTTTGACAAGTTTCACAAAAATATTCAATGCTTGGTTTCTTTTCATCGATGTTGTGAGAGAAGAGTTCTTCATCGAGCTAAAAATGTTAATTTAAATGAGCGAAAAAAATTTTATTGGTGAAAATCGAAGGGTAAAAAATACACGATTTCTTGGGCAACACTTTAAGATCACATAAATTATGAGTATGAAAATGAAATACCGCTCCTAATTCGGAATAAGCAAACAGATGATCAATAGATGTAAGATACAAGACAAATAAAAAATATATAGATACAAAGAAAACTCTATAAGCTGAAAGTAAAAAACGAATAGAGCAACAGACCTTTGAATCCTCTTTATCATCGTTGAATTTAAATGATACGGAAATGTCTTCTTCTTCATTTAATTTCTCACCCGATGGTAGCATAAATCCGATTTCCAAATCATCCACTGGACAAGCACGGCGAGTTAAGCTGAAATTTAAAATGGCTTTAGTCACCATTTGAAAAAAAATCCTACGAATTCAGATCTCAATTCACTTATGAAATTTAGCTTTAAGATCATGGATTTTTTAATTTTAAATGCTGCATAAACATACATATATTCTACATCTGATCTCAAAAATGCTACAACACTTTTGGCAAGCGTAGGACCACAAGAGAGGTCTCCTTCGAGACTTTGTCTGATTATCTTTGCCAGTTGCAGACGTACTGAAGATGCTTCTTCTACGACAGAGAAAAAATCCATCGCTCGCGAGAACTTGTACGTAATGAAATCATCACATACCACTGAACAGTCATCATTCAAACATCGTATCTTAAAAACAGCGAAAAAAATGCAAATAGCTTTTTGCAATCAAATAATTGAAACAATATTATGTTATTCGAAGAATATACCGATTTTGAGAGTAATAGTAGAGCAAGCGCTGGAACACGTAAACTATTACACAAGTATGGTTTTATAGTTTCTATTAACGATGCGAATGCGATTAACTGATGATACCGCGACAAACCCTATAACGATATACAGTAAATAAAAATGAGATGCACCCATTTTTTTTTCGGCAGTAAAGGTCCATAAAAATATGACTCGTCTAATTCAAATTATTTATTTTGAGAAAGCATTTCAACTTGAATTATTCCTTGAGAATTAAATAAACTTTAAAATCAGGAATACTAAAATGTACACATTTTATAATTTTGTCGAAATACTTTAAAGAAACATGGTTTTACTCGGAACTGAGACCAAAAATCAAAAACAAATATATACATCATCAAGTACCCTTTCAAAAAAACTTTCTGCCCTATATGTTAAAAACCACCTTATTGCTGCAGCTATAATTTAATGCATCTGGTGATAGAGCTAAACTACTGTTTGGATGTAAAACAGCAAATGGCCTTTTTCGTGTATGGGCAAAAATCTCATTTCCAATCTGCAAAAAATTTAATATAAATTTTGAGCAAAATGACAAAACGGAAAAAAGAAAACAAATGGGACAAACTTTATGAGAGGAAATTGAAATGAGTTCAGATTTTTTTTTCATTAATGCGACATTTTACAATACTGTTCTTCTTTTATCAGTTTTTGAATCATCCATTCAATACGTTTCACATAAAAATTGATTAATGAAAACACGAATATCATTTAGGTTTTTTTATTGATGCTTAAATGAAATATAATGCTTTCAGACCAAGCAAAAGACATTAAGAATTCTCATGTTACTATTTAATATTATATAAAAATAAATCTAACTTTGTAGACATTGTACTGATCAAGAATACCATAATGAGGATGAAAACCAGCTGTGACTATGAATTTCAGAATTGATGAAGTAGCATCATTCAGACGATGTGACTTTAAAATACTTCGGATACCACTTTCTCGGTTTTCCATATAGAATTCAAGAGTTTGAACACTATCTATGAGTGAAAAATTACCTGGAAAAAGCTTGATAAGATGGTTAAGCCAGCTAAACACAACTGGACATAATTAAAATGATTCAGTTATCATATTACAGATTTTAGAAAATATATATGTTGGTATCTTTTCCAATAAAAAATTACTAACCTTCAGAATCGACTATTGAATCAAAATGAGTTTCAGGCCTCAATATCTTCCTCTTTTTTACTTGATCACTGAAAAGCATGCTCTTTTTATGTAAATATACTACAAAAACTATGTGAACCTCATTTTTCCTCATGAGTAAAACAAAACCGAGCATCTTTTTTCAATTCATTGAGACGTTTTCTATCACCGAAATTAATACGGCGTTCATGACTATCCGTGTTACTAGCTGTTTTTAAAATACCGCTGTTTTCAAGCAATTCCTTGAACTGACGCCTTAATTGCCTGGAATTAAATCAAGCATCAACTATGCAACAATCACGCTTAAAGCATACTTACATGAGCACTGTTTTCAGTATATGTGAATGGAATCGCATTCCATTTACGTATGCTTAAAGACATTGCTACAAACTTCAAGGAACTGATGAAGAACAATATTTTCTGCAGAAGACAACTTCTACCTTATCTCATGCATCCGCTGAACATCAATTCCCTTATCTCGTCCCCACTTACGTACATCACTGCGTTCTGCTTGTAATTCTACAAATTCTCTAAAAATAATAAATGTTGCAAAAAATTTTTTCTCAATCTTTCAGTTATTTATAAATGCAGAATTTCCTAACAGAAAGGAAGGGGATAAATACGAAACATTAAGGATATAAATGCACAAGAACTAATAAAATATTTAAGACGGATAGAACTTTCGTAATTTTAATTTCTTGCATTAGAATTTATATATAACTAGAAAATTTCAACAATTTAATGTGATAAAAACATACAGCGTCTACGATCATCAGAAAAAGTTATTTTGCATTTTAAAATTATTTCGTAATAAAGGAAGACAACAATGTCAAATTAATGAAAACGAACCGATAAACGTTAATCAATGTGAAAGGGTCACCGCAATCAGATATTATATTTTTTCTTTTATCTATAATGTCAGGTTCTCGAAACGATCGATTAGTAAAGGGTGAACTGGTGGCTAAACTAGCAGCAATGGTGAGTGAAGTCTCAATTTGTCCAAGAACGCAACCATATATCAGAACCTTAAACACCACTTGATAAAGGAAGAGAAAAACTACAACATAAAACTTGTACACAGAATGAAAAAAATTAATAGACATATTTTAAACAGACCTTAGCGACAGGAATTTCAACTGGAATACTCGCTATTATTTTCCCCAGTGGTGTCAAAACGCTTGAATTTTCACCTTCCAAAATACCCATTTTACAAAGATTTTCCACTGCTCTTCCCAAATCAGCTTTATTTGGGCTTTCAATGAATGGAAAGTCGACTGGTAAAACTATAAACGCAGCAGAGAGTATCAAATACAATATGGGGTGGTCTTTAAGAGCAAAACTGAACAATATTTAGTAGAAAACTTACTTCCAAGATTCATATTAACAATCTGCATGGTGAGTGATTCCAGTGAAACCCTGTTGATTTCAGAAACTGTAAATGGATCCATTTTATCGAAAAGTTCTTGTGAATAAAGTCTGTAACATATACCTGGCCCAGTCCTGCCCGCTCGACCTAAAAAACAGTATAGAGATTTGGTTATTTCAAGTATCCTTCTTTCTTGTGAAAATACCAATTCTCAGTCCTGAACAGAAATCATTATTATAACTTTCTATATAATATATATAATATTTTACTATTTGAAATTTCCGTCGGTATATTCAATACAACCTTTTCGTTGATCCGCTGAAGCCTGAGAAGTCCAGTATTCCCGAAAGGAATGCATACCTGTTTTCGAATCGAATTTCATGAGATTGACTTTTCCAGAATCAATGACAAAACGAATCTTTAAAAAAGAATAATTGAGATACCGATATATTTAACAATATTTTGAAAAGAAAGTTATGAGAAATATAATACTTCATCAATGGTGACCGATGTTTCTGCAATGTTTGTACTCAAAATACATTTTCGAATTCCTGGTGGAGCAATGTCGAATACCCTGTCTTGTTCCTCCATTGACAATGTACTAAACACGAAGCGTAGAATTATTAATGTCAGAAAATAATTCATTTACAAAAATTTAAGTAGTATATACCTGTGAAGTGTTAAAATGATCCACTTTTTGGTTGCCTCAGCGTACACCTTTAAAGTTTCTGCAACTGTTGATATTTCAGAGACGCCACTTAAGAATATTAAAGCGTCTCCTCTTTCAGAGGTGTCAAATTTTGCGTCAATTATTTGTAGAATCTGAATATGTAAATTATCTACAAGAGTTCCGTAATCACTTCTTTCTTTCTTTTTTTTCATAAACTCAACAGTTTACTTAAAGAAAAAAAATTCGATAAAACAATGGACTAAAAATTGAGAATTTACAAAGTTCTTGCTTTTTACTGCAAATATAATAAAAAAAGAAAACATTATCGTCTCGGTGAAAATTACAGTGATAACTACAATGACTAACATTCAAGTAAGGCTGAGGATCAATCTTTTCTTTCTTTTTTTCTGATTCACACCTATCGTATTCTTTCACTGGCATGTACTGTATCTCTATCGGATAAAGACGACCAGCTGCCTGTATTGGATTGTTAATTGAAAGCTATGTAAATTTGAATATAAAATTAATGACAAACTATGGAAAACGTGCACAGAGGAATAAGTCACGCAAGTTTCGGAGGATAAACATTCATATTCTTTTACTGTCTAAACTACTGAGCTCTTCACTAAGGAACTAACAAAAAAATGTATTGAGAATGACAAGTTAAAATTAGCTGGAGACAAAATTCAAATTAATATATGTAAAGAACCGATGGATTTGCAGAAAATGAACTCTTCAAGAACCATACCTTGATAACTGCAGCATTTTGGAAATAATTCTGAAACAGTTCGAAATTAATTGTAGCACTCATTAGGATTAGTTTTAAATCACTTCGTATGGATATCAAACGCCGTAGCAATCCTAACAAAAAATCGCCATTTAAATTTCGCTCATGAATTTCATCCAATATAATCACCTGAAATAAAACTAGAAAAATTGAAATAAATAACTGAGATTAGAAAATAACATAACTAACAATTATAATTAAGTGATTCATGAAGAATGAAAGTGCTACATACTTGTTTAGAAAAATGAACAGCTAATAGCTATTATATCTAGCTCAAACAGTTTCAATAAAATATAATAAAGATCTAGGAAAAAACCTTCGATACATGTTATAATCTTTACATAATAATAGGTGATTTTTAAATAATGTGAGGAAAAAGCCTATTTGATAATGCATTTGGTTTTGTAAATTAACAGAAAAGCAAAAACAAAATAAGATATAAAAATGAATTGATGAAAAACATTTTACACTGTACTGATTAAGTTCGGGATCTAACTGCAGCTGCCTCAGAAGCAGTCCCTCGGTGACGAAGACCAACCGACTTTTCGATGTGCGGGTTTTTTCGAATCGAATTTGATAAGCAATCTTACTTCCATACTCATTTAGAGTTTCATAAGCAACACGTTTTGCTAGAGCTATAGCCGCAATCCGACGAGGCTGCGTGCACACAATGCGATCATAGCCTGCATCGAGGAGATATTGTGGTACCTAGCAAATACCACATGACAAAACTGGCGAAATTATTGCTATGTGCAAAATATTAAAAAAAAAATTTACGAATATACCTGAGTACTTTTCCCGCAACCCGTATCACCACCAATTAAAAGGATTTGTACCTGAAATCAGGTCTAGAATTTAAAAGAAAAGTTAAACCTCCAGAATAACATCACTCCCTTATAAGAGTATTCCCTAAAATAAAATAATTTTACAGTGCAATCGACTAAAAAAATTAATCCGAAGAACATATTCCACACATAATTCAGTTTCATTGAGCAAATTTTGATATAAAAATTTTTTTTACGGCAGAAAAATGACTTTTTTACTTACTAACTTTTTCAAGGGTTTTTAAAATTTCTTCCCGTTTTTCAGCAATTGGTAAATTCTTCTGAAAAATGCGTAAACGACGTAACTGCCTGAATTTCAATCGATTTTCATAAGCAATAAACGATGATAAAGCAAATGTGTAATCAGATATACTTTGATCTGGTACCTGAAAATTTTTTACAAATTTTTATCATTAAAAAAACGTGAGAAACTATACAGAATGGGAATAAACAATGAATTATCAGTTGGATAGAAATAAACAGTTTCCAATAACAAAATAAAATGAACTATCTGAATTCGAAAATTACTTGACCACAATAGAAGCTAGAGTTTTAACTAACCTAAAAGAAGCTGATACTTCACGATGAGTAATTAAAAATATAGAATTCAAGCCTCAAGACATATGAGTGAATAATTTTAAATACTCTTCGAAGAGAAAAAATTCACTTCTTTCAAATGAAATATCTCTTTTTGTGGAATGTCGATTGCTAAACGAGTAGTGTAATGACGAATAAATTTAGAACTATTGGGAATACCCAGGACATTAGCGGATGATGTTTGAGCGTCACTTTCATCATGAATACTGGATTCAGCTCGGCTGTATATGACAAAACGATGAAGTATTAAGTAATGAAAATTTGGATTACAAAATTAATTAGAATGACGATATTTTTCAATCAATTTTAAGTAGAACTACCTTTAAAAACCTCAAATACTTTAATTATTGCGCCACATCTAAGAAATTAAGGATAGTCATTTATAAAATACTGATATGCTTAAGTATTCTAAAGTATTCATGCTTAAGTATTCATGGTACTAATTTTCGATACACTACTTTAGTCGTCCTCAAATAACTCAAAAAAAAGGCTACTTACGGTTACGGCAAAAAAATTAAGAGAGATAAAACTGACTTTTGCAGTTTTAATTGCAATTTTGCACGAAACTTTCTGAAAAGTTCTTCAATTTTAGAATTATTCCTTGCTAATTTCCATGGTTCATCGCCAAAAAAAAATCTTCGTAAATGACCCTGACAAAGTTTCTCATCCGAATCCATTCTGTAAAACGAAGTTAAATGTTAGTAAACACGATAATCAAACATAACAGAAAGTTCTCAAAGATTAAAAATTAAAATAATAAAAAAAATGACAAAAAGCACAAATATGGAAATGACAAAGGGCTGATCCTTGATAAAAATTAATTAAACTTTAATGAACTTCAATGAAGGAAACGACTATAACTCAAGTAACTGTCCCTGTACCATCAGTTAATCACGTAAACTACAACCATAGAAACCAGAACTAAATCTGAGCGATATTTTCATCTATAATTTTAAAAAAATCTTTTTTACGATTACTTTGTTATTTGAACAATTTTTTCTATCCATACTGCTGCTATAATCGTAAATCATAGCAATATAACCAGAAATATGTGGCCGGTATCCTAAATACTTAAAACAATCAAGCTATTATTAACACTCTATTTCCTTACATTTCAGTGGCACTTTTGTAATATTAATTTGCTAATACTAATAACATAATTTGAAAAATCTCAGTTATACCCACAAAAATACTTTCTGTCATCTCCAAAATATAACAGACTGTAATTGAATTAATAATGAGAAGCAAAACTGCTACGAATAACAAGCATGATGGTAGTAACTTCACTGTTCGTACTAGCATGTAGCAACAAACGCTAATCAACTTCTGTTTTAAAAACGATCCAAGCAAAGAATCTTTCCACTAGTATTAATGAGTTGAGTGTAAGTAAAAATTGAATCATTGTAATGTCAGCTGCTATGATTAATGTATTTTCATTTTAGATTATAAGCATATTTAGAGATTTAGTTTAATGACATACCATTATACTATTATTGTCCCACTCTAGCATGACAAATATAATGAATACTGCTAGAGTTTCAGTAAAATAAGTATTATTGTAATTTAAAAAAAGAAATTAATATTGGCATTTCTGCAGTCATCTACGTTTTTACTTGACAAAAAAAAGGAAAAATGTTTATAAATAATAATCCTTTATTATAACAGATGCCTCAGAAAATTTTCCCCTTTCAATAGTAAAACTGTAAAAAACGTAGATGACTGCAGAAATGTAAAACTGAGAGTCAATAAATAAGATATTACTAATGGTTATAAAACATGCAGAATACCCATCAATCCGTATTCCTTTCATCACGAACTTGAAAAAGTAAATCAAATTTGCATTTTCTATTGGAGTTTGAAGGTCAGTATTCAAGTAGCTAAAAAAAATCTTTCTGAGATATAAAGAAATATATAAAGAAGAGTTTGTTTTCCACAGCGTTTTTCTCTAATTCTCTTCTCCAATATTAGGGTTCTTCGTTCCTCTATATTAATTTCATGTGCATGTTTGTGGATAAGCGCAAAACAATAATTACGGAGTTTGTTGGGTGCAGGATGGTATTTTATATGTGAAATGCATTACTGTAGAAAATATTGTTAGAACTAGTAATATGGCTGCTATACAAAATAGTATGGATGATGTCATGCATAATAATATTATTGTAGACAGTTTAATGCAGTTATATAATTGTCAAAGCTAACAAAACCAAAAATACTTACTGGAATAGTAATAAGAACTCTGTTAATAAAATTTGAGCCAATGATAATCAAATACCATTTATATGAAATGTTAGATTTGGTTACAGTAATCATGCTATCATATAAACATAAATTGTTTAATTTTCGTTAAGCAAAAACTTTGCATTTTAGTAAAAATGCACATGAAGAGTTACGGTTACGTACTTTCATGAAATTACATTCAGATTATTTCAGTAAGGTGTAATTCAAACTTAATGTGAGAAATTAAGTCGATTCAGAAAAATATGCACGTTTATGAATCTGTTCATTTCATTCATTTTCTTACATTATTATCAATAAGATATCAGCACTGTGACAATATTTGATATTATTAAGCTTATTTTTCCAGAGCATTTTTAATTTTGGATTACAGTATTGCACAAAATTTGATGTTTTTGCTTTGATTTTTGTACTCCCTAACTGTTTCAATAATCAAGAAACGTTCAAATCACGCAACAACAAAAAAATTACAGCTTTATAAAAGTAAAGTCTTTTCTCTCCCAAATATTTTCAATTTTCTTAACTTTAATTTCCAACTAAGCCATAATCAATATTTTGATCTAATATACTCGAAATCTGTTATACTCGAAATTTCTAATTTCGGAGGGAAGCTGCGAGACGGATTCATTCTATTCATTTTCTTATATTATTATCAGTAAGATACTAAAAATGATAAATTTCTGTAAGAAAATCAATTGCGTGCGTTGAAAATTACATTACAGATTACAAATGACTGTAATTTATTGACAAAACAGCCAGTAGTACAGAATTTGCTGGAAAAAAAATCAAACAATCACATATTTATTTATTTTGAGGAAATACATTAACCGTATACCACTTATTTGAAATTTTTTATCAGTTTCAGGCTAAATTTTGAAAAATTAGTGACTACAAAATTTTACTGCAAACAAGTCGATGAAAGATTGAACAATAACAAATAATACTGTAAATCTTGGTGTGAATAATAGCATCCATTTCATTTGCAGGTGCATCTCACAATCACAACAAATTCTTTTTACTATTTATACTTATAAATATTTTCGTTTTAATAAAATACTAAAAATATATTTTTTATTCATAACTGACTTTAAAAAAACAGCACTATAACAATATTTGATATTGGTAAGCTTATTTTTGCACAGCACTTTTAATTTTGGATTACAGCATTGCACAAAATTTGATGTTTTTGCTTTGATTTTTGTACTTCCTAACTGTTTCAATAATCAAGAAACGTTCAAATCACGCAACAAAAAAAAAATTACAGCTTTATAAAAATAAAGTCTTCTCTTTTTTTTAAAACAAATAGATCCAAAGAATTCTTTACTTTTTTAATAACAATTCACAAAATTATGCATCCATAACTTTTTTAAATTCAGTGATTTGAAATTATTCCTTCATTGGATGCTCCTTTAACTTTACTATTTGCTCCACGCCATATTTAAACTTACACGTACCTTTTGTAGTGTACAGTACAGTCTGAAAATATAAAACTTTTTTTTTAATACAAAAATATTCAATAATATATTTGCTTAAGTTAAATAAATCTGTTTTGTATTTTTGGAGAATGAATTTAAAAGATTTTCCAAAATAATTACATCTCCTTGGATAACGAAGCCAAGTGCTTGATAATTTGCCAAATCTCGAATGATATCTGCTAGTTTTCCTTCGATAATTGTTACTAAGCTGTTGTTATCTTTCATATTCATTACTGTTACCACAATCCGTCCCGAAATTCGATTCACCATTGAAAAATTCCTGTCAGAAAATACTTGCTGCACAGAATTCACAAGATTTCCTAATTTGAAGTATCATAAAATGCAAATCAAATAAAAATTTTCTAGTAAAAACTTTTGGCTTTTTAATTTTTTATAGAAGTTTGTGTTTTTAATCAAAATCAAAAACTTTTTAATTCACAAAAATGTTACTTTTTTAAATTAAGCTTGCAACCATATTCATTTTTACTCTCTTACAGGTTACCAGCAAGAATTCACGTACGTCTATTCAAAATGTGGTAATCAACGTGTTTTAATACTTCACTTTTAAATGAATAATTTTCAGCACTCTCTTGTGCTACCTTATATCAATAGACTAAATAAAGAAAGTTGTGTAAGTCAACAAATTTAAATTTGTGTGCTTGTCATGGGGTACTGAAATATTGAATGTGTATTAAATTATCTACAATATATGAGGTCATAAAAACTTTTTTATCTCTAAATTGAGGAAAAAATCAATTTGGAAAATAATGTGGAACTATTTGAAATGGAACACAAGACTCTCGGACCTGCTCAAGTTGTCTTCGAGAATAACCAGTTCAGCGACAGTCTTACAAAATGGCGGTACTTTGATTGTACTGTCAACACTCCATGTAAGTTCCTCTTCTACAGTATCTTCATCAATTTTCAAAATGCTGATCTCATTATGGAATCCAGCATTTGCTTTGAGAATTTCAAATGGAGTTTTCAATTTTAACTGCATTTCCATGCCGCGACGTATGCCTTTTTCTAGTAAAAAAATACGATTACTAATTACTTAAATATGAATTAATTCCAATTTAATTTTTAGTTTTTTTCTTGTCTGTTTTTAATATATCAATTTAGATTAAATTTTGAAGAAGAAATTAATTTTTTAATAAATCTGTTTATCAGAAAAATATTAAAATACTTTAAATTTGACATGCAATATATGTTATTACTTAATGATAACTTTAATACAGTGTATATATATATGATTGAGTGCACAGACATATGTAAATGCACAAACATATTCAAGGAAGCATTTATCAAACAGAATTTAAGCAAATTGATAATTTGTATTTACTATCTTAATTATAAGGTTTATGAATAATTATTTGCATGGAAAATCATAACATTTTACTTATTCACATTTAAATTATTCAAGTACCAAAGTTAAAATTAATATTGGTACTGTATTTTTAAGTTTTATGACTAATGTTTAAATGTGACCAATTGATATTGTACTAAAAGTACAAATTAGTTTATGACTAATGTTTGCATAATTAAATTAATTATTTTTCAATTAATAACTGCAATATCAGTTTTATATTGAATAAATTTATACACCGTCATCATTTTATGTAATAAAAGTCTAACCAATGGCGATAGTTGCAGTACTTCGAGTGCATCGCTGTGTTTTGAACGAATATTCTTGAGCTCGTTCTGTACCATTTGTAAATGTAGATTTAAACAAAACCTGCTCACTTTTTGGTTGAAAACACTGTCGTTGATCTATTCCTGATACTGTATATATCGGTTCCAAGTACTGGCTATTTAAATGTGACCAATTTATATTGTACTAAAAGTACAAATTTATTGACTCAATTAGCAATATTTGTTAATACTGAAAAATTTAATGCCAAAGAAAATAATTAATAATTTTACAGTTAATTTTACAGTAATTTTACGAAATGAAATAATTCATCAAAAAATAAATGAACAAATCAACAAATACATTTTAATTTTTTCTTCAAAATACATTAGTTTGCTACTTATATTACGATATTATACATTTAGGTAATCTATTTTCATTTTTGTTTTCCAAATTTTAATATAAATAAAGTTATGTAAAACAAAGCGTAAGATAAAAATATCAAATAAAATTACTTCTGACCTCAGAATCATCCATTTTTTGTTTTATTTTTTGGTAACATAAAACTTCATGCCCTATTTAATAATATTAATAAAAAAATTTAATAAACAAGCTTTTTTATGAGGTAACAATTTAGAACTAAAGCACAATAATTCCACGATCAGAAATGAAATAATTGCGATTAAAAATAATATTCACTGAGAGATTGTTTTTATAAAATGAATTATTAAAAAAATGGTATGTTTTTACTAAAGCATAAAGTAATAAGCTCGTATGCTTATTTACTTTTCTAACTTTATATAAACTAGTTTAGTTTGATACAATGGCTTTGATGCAAAAAAACTTATTATTTGCTCAGAATTAAAATAAAATAATCTTTCTTAGACTCCAACAGATTTTTATATTGTCAATTTCTAACTTTAAAAATTCATATCAGCAAATTTAATTTTGGCACAAATTTATTTTTTTTAAATCTTTTGCAAAATCAATTTTCTCACTTTTAATCATTAGAGTGCTGCGCGACAATTGCATTGAATACCAATTTGCAACAATCGAATAACTAATTTAATTTCTAGTTTTTCTCTACTAAAAGCATTTTGCATTTTTCAATTTTTCGCATTCATATTTTTCTTTGGTAATTAAAAATTGAAAGAGTTTTTGGCAAAAACTTTGGAATTTCGCATTTAAATTCGGTCAAATAAAATAGCGAAACTGCAAAAAGTGCCATTGCTTAATTATTTTTTGCATTTTTTGTTGCTGAAAAAATTCTGTTGCCAGATGGCTTCAGCAAATTTGAAAAATAACTGAAATCATTAATGAAAAATAGCATATGTTTCCACATCTTTCCTAAAACATCCACATAATTTTACCTGCAATTTTTCCATAATTCATATTATTGCTTGCTAACTTCTACAAAAATTGTTTTGTAAGAAAGACTTCTGAATTCAATCAAAAAAAAAAAATGTTACCTCCACTTTTTAATAATTTTAAAGTAAAATTAAATTCGAATGTTATTATTTCAAAATAATTTGGCAAAATTCTAAATTAAATTTTAAATAAAATTATTTGAATAAATTTTGTTTTGCTTCAAGAAATTTAAATCAGTGTGTCAGTTTTTACAATACAAAAGTAAAATATTAAGTTGACATTTGCCTGTTGACACTTTTGCTAATCCTTCGTGGCAAGGATTAGCAACAAGGTAAATTTAACCTTTTAACGGAAATTGGTAGTTTTCCTATCAAGAAGTTTGCCAGAAAACGTTAACGTTTGCTTACTATACAAATTCAATTTTAAGTCAAAATTTTTAGTCACATAAAAAGTAATGAATACATATTTTCTTCAATTTATGATCCTAAAAGTTAACATATTGCGCGTATGTATGAATAATTTTTGACTACAACGTTAGAAGAAGTAAAACTAAGCTGAAATTTTGATAAAGTAAAGGAGAAATCGAAATTACCTTTTAGAGTAATTAAATATTAGGAGACAGATCCAAACAAATCATTGCTATTGAACTGAATGAATTTTGTTATCAGTCATAGAACAAGCAATAATTACTGTACTGTTTTCAAGTCTTTTTTCAAATTTTGATTTTATTTCTCTGTATTACTCGTGGATTTCTTTTGATTTATTAGACGAGAAAGATTTATTAGACGAGAAAAAGTTATTATCAAAATTAATTTTGCTGTTGCTAAACTGATAAATTGTTTGTTTTAAAAGTAATGAAGAAATTTACTAAAAATTACTGAGCAAATTACTTTATTAATAATTTTGTAAGCCCAGAAAAATAGTAAAAATAAATTGAATAAGATGATAATTTGTTGCTTTTACTAGATTTCTGCGCAATCAATGCTTCATCGTGATAAGATTCAGTAACGCTTTTACAAAATTCACGACATATTATTAAGCTGTATAATAATAATTTTATGAACATTTCGGTAAACTATGAGTTTTATAATTACAATAGACGCAGTTTGAAAGAAATTTATTGTAAAAAACAAAAAAGCCTTTTTAAAAAATAAAGCAAACTCTCAGTTTATTAAAATAATTAAATTATCTTCTAATTAAAAAAGGTAATATAAAATATTGCATACTTGCAGATATTTTTTGCTAATTTTGGCTTCTTCGCGAGTTTTTGTGACTTCGAAAATTTTCTTGGCCCAGTCTCGAATTACTGTCTCTAAGTCAACAAGATCGGTAGATTTTTCTGTTTGGATCATCGCATTTGCATGCGATTTAGTTTTCATTAATGAATACGATTAAAGCACGCATACAGTTGAAAGAAATAGATTAGCAAGTCTTATCAGAAGTATTTGGTACAATAAATCTGAATTTAATGTTTCAAATATTTGTATTAATTAAACAATGGTGATATCATTCATAGAAAAAAGTAGCATCTGACTAGTGAAGTATTTATTATAATAATAAGACAGCATAACAATAATGATAATAATCAAGCATAAAATCGGTTATTTCAGATCAAACAATATTTTAGTGAAACACACAGTTGTGAATTTTTATTAATTAATATCAAAGTCAGACGTTATTTTTATCTGTATTAAATAATTCAGTTGCAAATATGATTCAAAAATTTGAAAAGATTCATTTTCACAAATTTGATCGAAACTATAAACCTTTACGAATATTTTGTTAGCAAATATTACATGAATGTTAGCAATTTTTATATTTTTGCAAATAAAAATTTTTGAACAGTTTAGAAATTTTGATAAATTTGCAAATTTTGAATTTAAATTGATTAATTATAGTTTAAATTAATTGCTTGAAATAAAAAAACAATCCTACATCATTGAGTCATGCTTAAATTAGACTAATTAATTCAATTTTTTGACTTACTCGTACAAGTCTAGTCTAATTTTTTTTTCGCATTTTTTTATTCAACAATTATTTTAAATAAATTAATTTTACGCATAAAAATACAAATAGTTTAGAAATTATATACTGACCGAATGAATCAAAGGTGAAAATTAAAAGGAATACAAACAATCCACAATTCAGTTTCTGTTGCTCACTTGAGCAATCAACCAACCAATCCTTTCCCTGCTGCCACTCTCGTCGATTATAACCTGATCGGAGTTTGTTGCTAATGGTAGTTATTATTTATAATAGACTTATTGATTTATTTATTTATTGATTGATTGATCTATCAGTTTGTATATTTGCGCAGCTTAAAAACCTGCTAATTAATTAAATATGCTGCAAAAAAATACCTAATTTCATTCAACTTTAATATGTTTAAGAATTAGTTATTGATTGACGTGATCGTACAAATTTTAATTTTACGTGGAAAATGTAAAACAGAAAAATTAAAATTTCACACATTATCATAAGTATTCTTTTACAAAAGGAGCTTTTTCCTATTACGGAAATATCAACTGTATTGGAAGAAGTTGCTTGTTGTGGAAAATTACTAAAAATGGAGAAAAAGTTGAGCATAAAAGCATGAATAAAAGTAAATATAGCTAAGTAAATAAGAAAAAACGTGAATTTTCACTTTAATTATAAATTTTATATTCATTCAAATGTGTGAACAATGCTTTTAGGCACGGATTTTAGTTAAAAATAGTTTGCTACTCGACATTACCGCTTTCTTTCCGTCTTTGCTTGTTACGCAGCTTTACTCCAAAATTCAAAACTTGCCAAAGATTACTCAAAAACTTTTTTCTGTACAAAATCAATTGGATTTGATCTCTTGGATCTGTTTACACCTTTGTTATGGCAATAAATAATGCTTCAAATGTGTGAAAATTTGTTAGTGGTATATTTTATGATAGATTGCAGACAGATCAAGAACAACACTAACATAGTTCTTGATCTATTTGCAAACTTGATCTATTTGAAAAACTGTAGCAAAAACAATCATATAATTGTTCTTCTTTTACTTTTAAAAGTTGAAAGAGCAAAAGAAAAAAATTGATCAAAAATCCATTTTCCAAATAATCAAATTATTGTAAATAAGATTAAAAAGAAGTGAAAACAAAGTTTGTTCTGAATCAAAATAATAAATAAAAAAAATTGCAAAAGTAAAATTATTTGTTTGAGTAAAACTGTAAATAATCAAATTTAGAGAAAAACTTTTTTTAATTGCCATTGCAAGAAAGCATTGAAAATGCTTGTAGGCGGCGACATTGCTTGGCTATACAAAACTGCGGATAATACAATTCAGTTATTAAATACAAATATAAGTTCCACTTAAAAGTAAAGTCTCTGATTGACATTACTGACAAATCATTGATGCTTGCTGACTATAATTATGAGTTTTTAGATAAAGTTAAATTTCGTACATTTTGAACAAAAATCAACAGCCTTAAATCACTGTTAATATTTTGATAATATTAAGCAAATCGCAAAATTTTTATTTCTAAATTAAAATTTGCTTCTAATTAATCTAAAAGTAGGAATTGCCTATCTAAAGGCTTAATGCAGAAAAAATTATTCGCAGATTTAGAAATTCTTTGGCACTACTGGCATATTTGAACATTGCTAATACAAATAAGGAATATTATGCAAAAAATAAATAAAAGTTCAAAGATGGTTCAAATAGATGAAGAATCTTGCATATTTACACACTATTATAATATTTTAATGTAATATGAAGAAAGTATCACAGTTTTTAAAAAGGCCAAAACCAAAAAATTATTTTAAATTAAATTTGTAAATTTCAAAGAAAATTTTAAATATTATTTAGTATATGAAAAATTAAGATGATAGTTATGAGAGATAACTTGAATTAAATTTTTAAATTTCAAAGACTAAAAATTTACTTATGATGATGAATCAGTGATTCATGTAGTGTTATTTACTAAATGTTGATAAATGTGATTACTAACCTTGTGATAATATTAATTAATCATAAATAAAATAAAATTAAAAAAAAAACTAGACAAGGCATACTTATGTAAATTATTTACAGTTATAAGTGCAGAAAATATTCCAAAATAAGCATAAATGATTGATAAAATTATTGTAAAAGAAACTTTATACTTTTAAGGAGACATTAGTCATTGCATAAAGTAAACTGATTTTTCCTTCAACTTTCAAAAAAATCTACTCAAAAAGTATTGAAAACAAACATTACACATAAATCTATACAATTATTCAAATTATCCATCAAGAAGTAATAGATGCCATATGTTTCTAATCTCATTATCATATCCGCTTGGCTTTAACATTTATTTTAATCATTCAGCTGCCATTTTTTAATCTGTATGTTGAGCTGAGCTAAATTTTTACAAATTATGCTAACATCAGAAAATTTATTTTAAATCTTCGCTTCTAATTTTATTTAATTTTTAATTGTTGAACTTTATTTCTAATTTTTTTTTGAATTAATATTATCATAATTTTGATTATTTGTTCTTATTTTAATTAATATTACTATAATTCTGATTATATACTAATATTTAGATAGAGTTCAATAGATATTTCAATCAGTTCCTTTCTATTTTTTTAAATAATGCGTTAGCTATGATTAGTTGAGAATGAATATTCTTTCTACTTGATCAGTTTTTTTCAAAAAATAGTACAAGTTTGAAATTTGAAATTTAAATTAAAATTTATTTTAAAATTAATCGGAAATGAAAAAGATATAGAAAATAGAACGAAATGCTGGCATATTTTATTGTTATAGCAGCACATTATTTGAATAGTCATGCAGTAATAATAAAAAGAGTAGAATAAACATTCAGTTTACAGTTATTATTGTCATATGCTTTGATGATTCTCAAATATGTAAACTAACTAAACTTTTGCTTCAATTCAGTTTAAAATTAATTTTACTTTTGAATTTAATTTTATTTTTAATTAATTTTGAATTTGAATTTCTTTTAACTTAAGAAAAATTAATTTTTTTCATGTATAATTTTTTAACTTTTGACCAATTTGCATATATCTTTTATGCATAAATCGAAAACTTATGCACAAACAAGCATAAATTTCTGACTTTAAAAATTTGATTAAATATTTGTGCGAATTAAATCAAAGTTAATCCACACTGAACTTTGCCAATTTTATAGACTTTAATTGTTTATAAATTTTGTTATATCAATATTCAAATATTATATTTTCAATTCAACGATGATTATAGTGTATGGTCATAGAGTTTGTGCAGTAAGTAAAAAATTTCGTTATAAAAATTCAAAAATACAATTGGACCACAACTGCTTGACAAAAATTTGTCAGAAATTAGTTTGAATTTGAATTATAATTGATGATGAATTTTCATTTATTTATTTAAAGCAATGAAATTATCATTTTATGATTATATTAATTACTTATATTCTCGTCATTCAATTATTTTTTTCTGAAATTGAAAAAGTTTCTACTGGAATGAAAATGTTTTGAATAATTTCTTGAACAAGCAATTTCTATCTCATCGGAATCCCATTAAATGGTCAAATTTAAATACAATTTCTCACATTTACTTGTCAATATCAAATAAAATAAAAATTAAAAAATGAGAATTAGTAAAATTATAGCAATTTTTTCTTTCTTAAAATTAGAAATATTCTCACATTAACTGTATAACATTTTTTCACTTTCTCATACTGATCTGATAGAAGAATAGATCAATTTTGAATAATTAAAATATCCATCTGAAAACTTGTTAATACTTTGAGTAGCGTGTAATTCTGATTGCAATTCTGATTCCTCTTGTATTGTAGTGTTGAAGTATGCAAAAATTTGCCTTTTTCGTTTCTTACAAATAATCTATTCAAAATGTTTACAATATAAAGTATACTTCAGGGAGAGGACCATTTGACATTCTTTAATTTCAAATAATAGCAATTCTACTTTTTCGTTAAATTTCCGTTGCCAATGCATTAATTCAATTCAAATGTCTTTTACTGCTTTTTTTCGGATCATAATTATTTAATTCAGTTTGCTTTACTGTAAAGTAGTTTTACTTAGACATCTTTTTAAGTTTATGATTGAACGAGTGATGATAATAATAGTCATAAGTATCAATAACAATAATGATAATAATAGTATTAATAATTTATACTACCACTACTACTACTACTACTAATAATAATAATAATAATAATAATTAACGGAATGACTTCTTATAATTCACGCAAGCTCAATTTTCAGTTCAGAAATTAATCTCACAATGGATTTTAAAGAAAAATCAAATTAATAAATTGATCTGCGCACTTAAACGAATAAATCCAAACGCAAAATTTTTTCATTCGTTTTAAGTGGTGCGAAAAAATAAAAGGTGCAGTGATGAGATAATTAAAATTTGAACTTAAGTTGAATGAAAATAATTTCTGATCTTCAGTATGTATGTTAATCAAATATGAGTATTTAATTAGGATATCTGGCATTAATTAATTCTTTGATTATATTTTGTTAGCAAACATTAAGAGTTGTAATCGAAATATTAAAAAAATTGAAAATTGAAAAACGCAAATACTGTGAAATCAGAATACATGTAGAAAAAAAGGAAAAATTATAGCGTTTCGAAGAAAGAATAAAAATTTTACGTAATATAATACGGAACTGAAATATAAATATAAAAGTATTTAAGCAATATAAATTAAGTGACAAAGTATGATTACAATACATTTGTTTTGAATATTTTATACACTCAAAAAACCAATTTAAATGCTATCAAATCATTGAATATTCACGTCATAACTATCACTGTAAGTGAAAATTTTCAAAAAGTTATTATACACTAATAAACTTCGTTATAGAAGACTGTAATTACCATAATCACATCACATATTAAAATAATTATCTCTTGAAGTAATTGTTTCAGGGCAACAGCAATAAATGATCGCTTTTAGTGTGCTCAACTTTTTGTTCATTATTTGAATGAATAGAGGATTCAGTAGAGCATATAAAATCGGATTCGATACATTGTTTGTCATTGCTACGCTAAAATATGAATTATTTTATTTAATTATAATTTTATGCAAAGTTAGTGTAAGCTTATACAAGCTATTTATTGATAATATCAAAAAAATATGCATAAAATCGTTAATTAAAAAAACTTCAGTAAATTGTCTTTAATTTAACACATCGTTCTAATCAGAGATAAATCATTTATTGCAAGCTTATACAAGTCATTTAAAATTTTTAAAAATGACGACATTATTGAATTAAATACTTTTTAAATTATTTCAATTTACTGCAAAGACATATTTTTTAAAATTTGTTTGCAATACTTTTGAGTGGTTAATGTCTGAAAAATTTATTTACTTACCAATGTGTAATTAAGTTAATTAAATAAATATTATTAACGCCATCGTCACGTTCAAATATACTTTCGTCATATTCCATTAATAATGAAACAATATTATGAGGGAGCCACGAAACTGCGAACATTACAACCATACAAACTAATAATATCGTATTACGTCGAGCATTTGACATTAATTTATTGCGTATTCGGTCCTAATAAATTAATTTGGTCAATCGAAATACAATTAATAAAATGAACTATTCAAAACAAAATAATATAACTGACTTCAATTTAAATGCATATGATTATTTGAATTATTTGAAAAATGACAAATACGATAGCAAATTAATTAATTCTAAATCAGTTTTTAAATAAATTGCAATGGATTTTGATGACAAACTACCTGACTTTCTCGTACAGAATTATAATTGTGAATTCTCGAAATATTAGATTCGTTTAATTCTGTAATATGCGTGGGTGCAATTGTTGTCAGAACCATCGAGCGTTCTTTCAAGCGCCTAAAACAAGTCACAGATTAAGTAGAGTAGGAAAGCAACAAATTTTATGCGATAAAGTCAGTTTAGAATATAATTTTAAAATTAAGATAAAGCACTTAAATATTAAAAAGGTTGCACACTGCAGTGTCAAAATTTTTACAGCTGTAGTTTGATTATTAAATATGGCTATATTAGCTTGCAAAGTTTACTTGGTTATCATTATTTTATATTGAAATATTTTTGAAACTGAGAACAAATTATGCCTAAATATATTATATTCTTTGTTAAGTTCTAAGATTAGTCAAGACAAAAGGCTTACATAATTCTATTTAATGATCTTTGCTTCAATACAGCAAAAATACGGTAATAACAAAAAAACATTATCGATAGTGGGATGATAAATTGGACAACAAATACGAAAATCTGAAATGATTTGCATAAATTCCGAGACAAACTTAATGAGAATTAGTTTTTTCTATTCATAAATTTAATATTAAACTCTGATGCTTTAAAAGTTCAGTATGTTTACTACAGAAAAGTAATTTGAATGATTTACGCTAAAATAAAAGAGCATTTTTTTATTTTTTCAAAATTACTTTCTAATTAGTTCAATAGTTTTTAAATGTTTTGCGGTACGAGTTAGTTTACCGGTCTTCAAGTGTTTAAAAGTTGTGATACTATGTTGAGAATTTTTAAGTTTTTTTTTGTTATTGTCTATATTCTTGCGTAAAATCAAGCGTAACTTCAAAACGAACTGAAGATTTATAAAATTAAAATTATTTACAATAATTATGATTACTTAATTTATAATATTTCATTTCATTTAAAGAATAATTATAAGTACAATTACAATTAATAATTGTTTTGCTGTCCTTTTTTAGAATTAGTATTCAAGTATTAAGCTCTAAAAATTGTGTGCTTTGCTGTTATTACACACTTTAACCAAATAATTCAAATTCTTGGTATTAAACTCAATTTCAATTTCACCTGTGTTTTATAAAAATAAAATACTTTACTATAAATTTTTTCATAACTCACAGTATATGTGCGTCGTAAAGGTGCACTGGGCCATTTCTCAGTACAGAAGTGACCACATATACCATCTACAATAACAAGTTCCATATACATAGCATACGGTAGCGTGAAAATAATTGATAATGTCCAAAGCACTATGGTAATCCACTTTGAGCGCTTCAACAATGAATAATAAAGTTTTAGAAAATAAATGAATTTTTCAGTGCTAAAAAAAATTTTCAAATTTGAAAAATTTGAGCGCGAACAGCATTTAGTCAGTAATTTTTTTTGAATTTTTAAATTTATTTTTCACTCATAAAAACTCAAAAACGCACAAAACTTTTTGTTAAAAAAAATTGATACTTTACTCAAGAAATGATTTTGACAGTTATAAACAACTACATATTGCGTTAAAAATTTTGAAACTTTGTGCGCTTTAAATTGTAATATTTTGAAAAGAAATGAAAAAATTGAACCATTTTAGGCTTTTTCGAGGTGATAAATATTTTTTGGTATTTTGTAATTTATAATATAATTTATTTAAAGGAATTTAGTAATGAGCTTACTTTTGAATAAAATAGTCTAAGTATGGTGAGCTGAGTTGGAATTCAACTTTAATAAGTATGAATATTGAAAATGCTCTCTAATTACCAGTAAAACAATTTAAATTCAAAAGTATTTTATTCTATTCTAATCTATTCTATTTTTAATCAATTCACTTAAAAAGTTTTTTTTTGCTTCTCAAAAATTGAGTTGAAAATTAGTTATCAAACTTTTGGTCATATTAAATATGACGTATTTTATAAATTAGACGATAATTTTTGAATAAATTCTGAATTGTATTGTACGAAAAGCTATTTAACAAATTTAATGCGATTATTTTTTTTACACCAAATAAAAACATAATTTTTAAGTATTAAAAACACTATTATTTTATTATATCGAAAATTTTTATTGCCAACGAATATTAAAACAATTTAAAATACAATGATGATAATTAGTAAATAAACTGACAGTTTCATTGATAATTTTTTCTGTTGGCATAATCATCATAATATATCGATCAACTGAAATTGCGCATAAGCTAAAAGTTTCAATAAAAATTGCAATTCCTTGAATCCACGGTAATCCGTAGCACATTTTGGATCCAAAGTACCAATTTTTGTATACATTAGTGATCGGTGTGATTGGTAAGGAAAAAATACACACAGCTAAGTCTGCACCGGCTAAATTTAATATGAACATATTCTGAAATTTTTTTATTTTTCTTTTTTATTATAAAAACAGTAGTAATTTGCATATTCTCTAATTCTATGTAGATAGAGCTGATAGATATTTAGAAAACTTGAATCTAAACTAAATTTACTTATTATTAAAATAAATTCATAATAAATAATAGAAGGACAAGTTGATTTACAGAAGCTTAATTTACAGAAGATATAGAACAAGCTTTGTACACAATAATAGAATACAAATTGCAAATTCATCCATACTAATTAGCATTTTTCTTTCCATACTTAAAGCTAGCATCAATTTACACAGCCTAATGCTATTTAAAAAAGCTATTATATTGTGGAATATGTTTAGAGAATGTTATTTTCTTACTATTAAATACTTTTTTTACTTCAAATCTTGAAACTAAAGAATTCAAAAGGAAATTAAGATTAATAAATTGATGCACTTGAACTGTTTGAAGTTTTCGATTCAGTAATGTAAGGCAAATCACTAAACCGTTGCCAATTAATCCAAGAACAAATATTAGCAGGTAAATAATGGCAAATAGCACAACAACTCGTACATCCATCGATGGATCATAAAATTCGTCCTAAAATGTTTATCCAAAATAATAAATTGGTAAGTAGGAATTTCGAATAGATTTATTAAATATATCATTTTATTGCTTAAAGCACAATTTTTGAAAAAAGACTGAAATTATCACGACAAAAGGTACTGCAAATGCTATTTTATATATGCCTTAGCTGTTTTCATTTCATTTTGGCTGAAATTATTATTTTATAATACAAAAATTATATCATAAAAAGCAAGAAACACTGATTTAAATGAGTCTTTGAAAGCATATTTCAGATATGATTTTTTGTGTCATCACAACTTTTCTTAATGATAATTAGCTCTAAATTATTAGAGTCAATTGTAATTAGTATATTCATGATAGAAGCTATGAATGAGCAGTGGAGACATGAAAAATATTAAAGATTTGACTGCTACAATTAGCTTCCTTAAAAATGAGAATAAAAGTGTAACGATAATAATACTATACTACTAGTGATAATGAAAATAACAATATTAATATTATTAAATGAAATGAAAAATTACAACAATTATTATTATTAGTATTACTAATATAAATAATGAGGTGTGTGGTGATGTAAAAATGAGTGACAGTTAAATTTTCAAGTTAAATTAAAATTTAATTTTTCGGGAAGTTTTTAGAACAAGAAAAAAATTAAATCAAAGCATACTTTGTAAACAATGCATTTAAGTATATTTTTGTCATTAGTGTCCATCATAGCTGAGTTAGCCCACATCGCTGGACATTCAGTACAAGCAAGCAAGCAAAATCAGCCAGAGTACGCTGAACAGTAATACGTTGCTAGCATAAATAAAAATAAATATGCTATTTTTGTTGCCTGAAAAATTAATTTCAAGCAATGCATAGCAAATGTCAGCTATGAAATAAAATTAGCGCATCAGCGGAGAATTTTTCATTTCATTTTTAACTTTCATGTAAAAAGCAGTAATGAATAAAAGTTTAATCGAGATTTAATGAAAGTGAAAAAGAAGTTGAGGACTGATACTGAGTATTTGAAAGTAATCAAAGGAAGAAAAAAATTACTTCACAAGTTAAGCTAGCAAATAAAATACAGAATGATAAATTAAAACGAGCTAAAACTGATAATAAAAGCTTAATAATAATAATAATAATAATAGTAATAATAAATAGTGATAATAATTAAATCCAATAGTGATAATGGTATTGATAATGAAATTTATTAACAGCAAAATGGCTGAGTGATTAATTAGATATTATGGCGTTAAGAATGTAAATAATTAACTTTCAACTTAATAGCTTTGTAAGTAAATTAGTTGAGCAAAAAATGCGCTTCTCTAAAAATAAAAGGAAGCTTCTAAGGACATTTCAGTGTGAATAATTTGAGTGTACTCCAAGTAATCCTCAAAAGTCTCTAACGCACATCTTGCCTCGCACACATCACTATTCCACTTTTCAATTCTCAAGCATCAATCCATGACTTTTGAATATCTGTCACATTAATATTCATATATGCATGCGTAATTTTAATTATTGTAGTAAGTCAATTCTGTCATTCACAAATATATTTATTTTTAAATCAAAACTATTCATTGCAAAGTTTGGTATAAATAAATTTATTGATATTAATTTTAAAATTGCGTATCACTTTATAAATATCAAACTGATGAGACAACCAATGAGATAGATGTATTTTCGATAAAAAGCATTTAGTTTAGAATGTAATTGTAAAACTATATATATATATATAACATCATTTAAATCCAAATTAGTAGGAGTTAATTCGAATTCGAATTAGTTCCATTTAGTATTATTTGTTTTACTTTTATTCAAAAGTAATTTAAAATTTGTGTCTGCAAGAATTATTAGCATAACTACTGAAAAGGCTGTTCAATACTAAAAGCAGAAAAAGTTTATTCTAAAGTTTAATTCAACTCTGTCATCTTTCATTATTTTCGAAAATGTTTTCTACATTTTTATCTTATTTCTTCTTTGGATTTCAGATGAGATAGCAACAAATTATATTATTTGCTTCGAATTCTCTTGATCTGCGCAGTTACAAAGTTCGTTAACAACAGTTATCCAGTAGTACTTAAATATTCAGAAAAGTGGTTATTATTTATCAATATTCTGAAATAACAATCGGTTGGTTAATTTTTGTAGCACTGTAAGCTTATCGAAGAATTAATCAAATTTGAAGATTACAATATTTTGGTAGTTATTTTAGCAAGCAAAACATAGCATATTTATATTCTATGTTTGAAAATTCTTGCATTTCAAATGATAACAGAACATTCAAGCTTCCTTTCAAAGCATTCAATTCATTCATAGTTTCAGTATGGAAATTATTTGTGCTCAAATAATTTTAAATGCAAATATTTCGTATTAAAATTTATGCATTTAGTAATTTTTGTTTAAAATGCATATCACAAGAATAAATTTGATAACAAACAAAATTATCTAGCAGAATTCACAAATTGCAAGTAATGAACAATAATGTATTGCAAAACAAAAAAATTGACATTCAATACGGGTAAAAGCGAGTAAAGTAAAGCCCTTTAAATATGCAAACAGATTTCTTCCTATAAAAATATGTAAATTAAATTTATATCAAAAAAATACGCAAATAAAACTTGCTTTAACATTTCTGAGAGATCCTTCAAAGTTTTACAAAATGAAAAAAAATTTGATTTCAATTTTAATGGTTTTAAAAATTTTAAACTTTTTGTCATGCTTTAGTTATTGAATTATTAATGGAAGCTGATACATGGAATTGAAAGCCATGTAATGCCTTAAATGCTGAAAGAAATAGTGTACATCAATCAAGTCATTAACTTCTGATGAAAATTGATTTTAAATATTCAAATTTTCTGTAAATAATTTTGCTACCATAATATTAAACTTTTTAGAGATATAAATAATAGTGTATGCAAAGCAAATCTCTATAAATTGCCTAAAAATTTACGATATTTTTAAACAAATATCTTATTTGTAAAGGTAAAAAATTTTTTTCGATAAAAATTGCTGCGTGAAATTTTCTTTAAAACTTAAAATGTTCTCAAACATGGAAATATGTTGTTTTAAAAACGACCTTAGGATGATACTGAAGAAATTTATTGATATTAAAAATAAACTTTGCAAAAAAAAATTTATTCAAGCATGAAATGTGAAAAATCAAATGTATGAGATTATGCGTATCGCATATGGAATACCTCAAAATATTATAAATATTAATTTTTAAACAAGATAAAAATTGCTAAATTAATTTAATGCAGCAGAAATTTACCAAAAAAGAAAACTTTCAAGGTTGGCGGCTTCATTTCAAGCAATATCTACGTGAACTACTGGATTGGAAGCAAAAAAAATTAAAAGTTGTGGTATTCATTTCAAGAAAAAAGAGCCATAAATTTGGGTTAGGTATATACCTAGCCATAAACTGAAATGATGCATAAAATAAACAATACAATAAAAATAATTCAAAAGTTATGCATAAATCCGATATTTTTGAGCTTTAAGAAAGAAAATGTTTATTTATTCATAGATTATTTACTGATTCAGCCATGGATGGATTCATTATGATAATAGTCACGAACTTGTTCGATCATAATATGTTTTCATATTCCGATATCTCAAACTTATATTTTTATATGCATATATATTGCTCGGCTTTGCCGAGTTGCCGAGCGGTTGAGCTGTCAGCTAGTCGATCGCATCACAAAGCAGAAAAGCAGGAAATGGAGGATAAACGGAAAAAAGCCGATTCTGGGGTCATAACTGAAAACAAATGGAAAACAGGTGAGATTGTTGAAGAAAACTCCGTGAAGGTCACGGGAAAGCGGTCGACCAGTGTACCGGAACCAGCAGAACAAATTACGGAGCAAGTACAGCAAGAGTGCCGAAATACGCCTCAATACGAGAGTCAAAAGTACAGAAAAGAAGATTAACCTCTGACCTGCTGCACATGATATAATAGCTCTACATGTATATATATGTTTAGTATTGCTAACCACTTTTTTCGTTCGATAAGTCATTGAAAATTTTAGAAAGTATTAAATTCAATTCTGAAAATGCTTTTATTTGAAAGTTAACGAAATTGTATAGAAAAGTTGTGCAAATTATTTGTAGCTTTAATATTACTTATTATCGTTTAGTTATTTAACCAATTGAAATAATCAAAATCCTAAATTTACTATTATTTAGCATTTTTGAATGTTATTAAGTTTAATTGCAAATTACTAATGATTTTGAATTGGAAAAAAGTTGTTTGTTGTTCATTTTTTCAATTTTTTTAATTTAAAAAAATACTTTTGCCTAACTCAAATATTTTAGCAGAAAAATGTTTCATGAAAAGTAATTTTGCTATTTTATAAATTAAATTACTGATAGTTCAAGCTTTTCATCTAACTTTGCAAAGTATAACTTTATTACTTCTAAATCAAATTAATCCGAAAATTTCACATGCAATTACGAAAAAGAACATCTATTCAAATTTAGTAACCATACTGCTGACCTTTGACCTATCTTAAAAAATTGGAATAAAAATTTCGTTAAAAAAAGTGATATATTTGATTTGACAGTAATGAAAGTATTAAATTAAAATTGCTCAACTTTTGATTTCTGATTAGAATAATGGTAAAATGACTAAAACATATTTGAAAGTTAGTATAGCGGATCTTTTCCAATAAAATCTGAACTAATTCAAAAAAAGAAACAGATTCAGATAGAATGCTTGCAAAAATAAATGCATCTATCTAAGAATTTATTTCAATTCGAAATTTCAAAAGTTTTTGCAGAACTTTTTCATTACTGTAGTTTACTTAAAAATTTCAGATGCAATAAATTACAATTTGAGAAAGCGCAAATTTCTTTTGCAAAAAACAACATAAAATATGTTAAAATTCGGTTACTTTTTGCATGAAATCAATTTTATTTAAGCTTACAATTAGCATAACGTTTGAACTTTTATAATTACATTTTTGAAAAATTTTATGATAATAAATTTGCAGTAAACATTTTATTTTTTGTGAAAATAATATTTTATATTTTATTGGTGTAGTTTTTGAATTATTTCACTTCGAAGTCACAAAGCATGGAAGCACGGCCTTTTTATGCGTATGTAATTACTTTGAATAATGGTAATGTAATACAATTTTCAATAAGAGTTTTATAAATACAACAATAATTAATACTATAATACTTGATATTATCATATATAAATATATAACTAACACATATTATTAATAATTATTAGACAATCAGTCAGTACTTGAAGAAAACATTTCTGCTTATGTTTAGCACAAAATTACATGGTTGACAAGCAAAGTAGAAGAAACTGATTTAATAGCAGACTTATTTGAAAATTATTTAGATGTGTTTAATTGTAAATTGATCTAATTCAAAAGCTATAATTCTTATCATTCACGTAACTATTAATAAAAGAGCGAAGTTAGAGGATGTCAAAGGTTAGGGATCTCTGAATGACATGGATATTGTACGTAATGACTTGAGTGATGCATTATTATCGATAAAATGATCTAACATTTTATAATAAAAGAAATTTTTAAAAAGATTCAACAAAAATAATGCTAATTTCAAGAAAGTGAATAAGCTTTATCTCACATTTTATCACTACTTTAAGTTATATCGAATAGCTAAACCTTTGTGCATTGAAAAATTTTAAAAATCTAAAATTTGTATTTTGAATTTTAAAAATATTCAAATGAATAAAGCGCACATTTTTATTTAAATGAAAGAAATAGTTTGTGATAAAAATAAAAAATTGATTGATATGAATACTAAAAATGACAAATTTAATAAAATTTGAACAATAATAAGGAAAAAATTGTGAATAACAACAAGGAAAAATTATTTGAGAGTTCTGAAAAAGACATTTCAAAGACAAAAGATATATATTCACATTACTTTTTAAATAATAATTATGCTAAAATTACAAAATAAAACTAGAAATTTGTTGAATACAGTTAGTTTTTTATGAAGCGAAAAGTTTCAGTTGCTATTTCTATTCCAGTAACTAATTTTTTTCATTTTCAAGATAATCGAAATATTATATTATTAGAGGATTAGACAGTTTTATCTAGTAATAGATCAGATTTGCTAAGAATTTCGCAGAATAAAAAAATATATATATTCCAAAAGCATTCAGTTATAATCAGTAGATACAATTATTAAAAAACTTACGCTTTCTTTGACTACCAACACTTTTCACATGAAGTAAAATTCAGTTATTATAAATAACTAGAACAATCAAGACTTTAATTAGTTTCAATTAAGATTTAAAAAATTAAAAATTAATTACAATTAAGTACAAATTTTAATGCACTGCAAGAATTACTGACTATGTTACTAAGAAATTTTTGAAGATCGATGCGTTTCAATTTTGGTTTTGAATACAAATTCAAAACTAAAATTGCAAAATTTTCATTAATGGCATTCTATCAAAATAATATCTGCTAGCTAAGTTTGTTTTTGATTATTAATAATCCTTATTCATAATACGAAAAAACATTTGCAATTGGCACAAATTTCGACAATTTTCAAAAATTTAAATAAAGCACTGTGAATAAAGAAATAGAAAGCTAATAAATTAAATTGCTTTAAGACTATAAAAGCAAGAACAGCAAATATACTCTTCTTCGTTCTACAATTATTCCATTTCATTCTTAGTTTTTAAAACTATTAAAAATATTGTTAGATATTTAAATGCTTAGTACTATAAAGTGATAGCAATAATTAAGTGGATGAATGAGGCAGTGGAAAGATAAATTAATCGTTCACTAATGCAGGATGTGCGATTGAAAGAATGATGAATGAAGGAATGAGTGAATGAAGGAATGAGTGAATTAAAAACTGAATAAATAAGCTATTTTGAGAAGAGAAAATATAAAGAAAGAAGAGATTAATTCACAAATAAAATGAATAATTTGTAAAATATTTTTTCTTTCCAATTTTTACATAAAAGCAAACATTGCGTGTATAATTTTTGTCTTATTGTCAAAGCAGATGTTAATACAGCAATAATTTGCATTAATTATATCTTGCCTTTAGATTAAGCAAAAAATCAGTTGATAAGCTGCAACTGTTTTTATCTGATCTCATCTAGTGTGTAGCAGACAATATAAAACAAACGATTAGTAATTTATCAATCAGGAAGATTGTTTGTATAGTATAAGTATTGAATACGTTGAATTTCAGTGTAAGCTGAGTAAAATCTAAAGAATAGATTCTTCTTATAAAAGGCAGAATTTACTAGAATCTAATCACCTTTCTGATGCACTGAATCTCAACTTCATTCTCTTACTGACTCTCATGTCAACATATTGATTATATTATTAGTTTTGAAATGTTCAACTAAACATTTCGTCTACCAATTCATCTAGTAAAATTACTTATTTTAAATTATGAACTGTGTGTTTAAATATGCAAATGAGCCTTCAAAAATCACTGCCCTCGTAAACAGGCAAAGTTTATGCTCTGCTAAGTTTTCTTTGCTAGCTAAGTAAGATTTGAATGCTGAGTGTTCAAGAAGAATTTTATTCTGTTTTGTTCTTAGGGTAGTTATTTATAATTAGAATAGATTCTTCTTGTAAAAGGCAGGATCTACTCGAATCACCTCTCTGATGCATTGAATCTTAACTCCATTTTCTTACTCTTAGATATCTGCTACTTATAACATATAAAGCAATTCATTCGAACACATTACTTCTGACTTAAACTTGAGATATTCTTAAATAGTTAAAATACCTATCAGTTTGAAAAAAAATCTACGACGAAATGTATTTACGAACAGTTTTTTGAGTCAGACTTTATGATCAATGTTATGCAAAAAACACTACAAGACAATAGTTCAGTTAGAGATTTATCATCAAAATATTCATAAAAAATTTCGAAAGTTCTTTCATAAAATATCTGTATTAAGCATCACATGCTCATTTGAAAATATACAAAAACTTGGATTTTAAACTGAGCCATCTCTACTTCACCTTGAGACGAAATATTAACCTCACCACGTCATAATGCTTATTTCCATCACAAATTTCTATGCTTAGTCAGAAATGAAGTCTTTTAACTCAGAGTATTTAGCAAACAAAAAATGCAAAACAATCATTTCCATATTCCATATTGCATTTTCAATACTGTACGCACAAGTCATGACCTTAAATGAATGACATTCAAGACCAGATTACTAATAAAAAGATAAATTTCATAAAATACATAAATTAGATAAAACTTACATGAAAGTCAAGATAAATAAATGTACATTATTCATATATAGTAAAAACATTATTTCATAGGACTCATTTGTTCATCAGCATTACTATCTAGATTTGTGCATCGAAAAGCTGCTATTGCTCGTGAAAGATGTGCCGCAGAATCTGGTGATGGCCAACGATTTGCTGCTAATGATGCAACAGCAATCAAACTTTTCGAGACGCCTACAAAAATCGTTTTGCTTGTTGAAACAAAATATAGTGAGTTTGTTTGAGAAAAAGTTGTTATCAAATAAAGTAATGGGTGCTTGCGCATAGATATTGCGTATTATTTACGCGCTATTTATACTGAAATACTCATGAACTACAAAATTCTTTACGATATTTATGAAATTTAAAAAAGTATGTAAGTTTTGATGATGAAAAAATATTGCATACTTCATGCACCCTTCTCTATTCATTCTTTAATTCTAATAAAAATGTGTTTTGCTATCATCAAAATTGATAAACATTGGCAATTTCTCTCCGAATAATTAATAATAAAATTACTCCGAGATAAGATGATGAATTTTGGCAAGAACGATAATGCATGAAGACTAATGTCAGCTTGTTTGTGTAGCAACGCAATCGAATAAGCATTTAGGAAAGAAATAGCCATCTGAAATATATAATTACTTAAATCTTATTCGTCAATGATAATATATAAATCTGTTTAACTTATATTTACACAAATCTAATATTTTTGTTAATTTTCAACATGGCCTATTCATCTATTCCATCAAAACCTCTCTGTAAAATATATGCTTGATTCGATCTGGAAAACTATTTCAGACTGATCAACCGCATAATAAATAAATATAGGATGAGGAAATAACAATACCGATGGATTCGAGGAAATATAATTCAGCGCACATTGATAAGCGCCATTCCTTACTGCTTCTGAGAAATCACAAAATCCAGATTGAATAAAACTTATATACGGAGATAAACGATCTGGAGAATCAGCTGTAGCCGTTAGAAGTTCATCAAATAAATCCACACGTTCAAATGAAATATCCGTGGTTTCGAATCTCGACAATAAGAATGAACTCATTGTTAAGCTGATTCTCTTTTAGGTGTTCGCAAAGCTGAAAACTTATGAACACTTTATATTTGCTAACCTCATTTTTTGTACAACACAAACGCTAATACCTTTCTACATCTTTTTAAGAAAAGCACAAATTTTAGCGAAGAATCATCACTCTAAGCACATTATTACACTACATTTCTCATAATTTACTGCAAAAGTAAGGGAAATCAAGCATAGGGCCATGAAAGACTCCTTTTGCAAGCTCTTAATCTAATTAATAACTGATATAATGATTTGTTATATAATGATAAACAAAACTTGATAGAAAAGTTTAAATATTAAGTTATTGTTCCTTATCAATCTTTTATCTTATTTCGTGGAAATGAAGAGTGACAATGAAAGCCATTTAAAACAACAAATGCCGAGGTTTGAAAAATTTTTAGTCAACAACCGACGATCGCTTTGATTCTCCACAAGACTAAGGATAAGTCAATTGAAAATTTTGTATTCATAAACTTGACTCGAACAACAAAATCTAAGATTTAGAAGCTCGAAACAAAATTAACTTTAATTCTATAATAATAATATTGACGACAGTAATAACAAAATTTAGAGAGAATGTAAAGCAGAGACAAATACAAGCAAACTTTAGTGATATATGAATACTAATTATTTTGTTTTAAGCCAAAAACAATGGGACAAACTTTTCATTTTTAAATGAAAATTTATTTTTTTTAAATAGAAAAGCAGAACTTTGTTTATTACATTTGCCTGAATTGCAACGAATGAAACAATAATTTTGAGTTTCTTATGCCAGTTCTCACATTTATAAAAAAATTACTCTTTTTTTCATGAATGATATAGTACACGATTAGAAAGACTTTTAGAAAGACTTTCTTCATTATTCAGCAAGTACAATAAATATTTATTAAAATCTACTGACCGTATAATGCACTTTAAGACAAAAACAATACAATGACTACAGTAAAAAGAAAGTTTACTAAGTAATACGCAAAAAATTCAGCGAAAATTTTTTCACACTTTCTGCAATCAGTTTACTAACTTATCAGCTACAAAATAAAAAAATTAGTTTCCATTTTATTTAAGTAAACACTGCTTAATTTTAGCATATTACTTAGAAATTTAAACCACCGGACAGATATTTTCTTTCAATTCGAAATTCATTCTTCGGATCTGCTTAAGCAAGCAATCATATCAACTAATACTTTAGAATAAGGCGATTTCATACATGAACAAAGCTGCTTAATCGCTTCCATTTGTAGCATAAAATAAGACTTTGCTGACTTAGCATTTAGCTCCAAATATTTGACACAGACACACTGAAGCTGCTGCCCCAGCGATACCCATGTTCGACCACATCCAACATTCTGTAATCATAAACAACATGAATAGAAGAAAGTATAAATAAATGCAAAAATAAATAAACATATGTATATCCTTTCTTTCCTTCTACATATGCATATTTATTCATTTCTTTATTACTTATTTACACAGAATTTATGATTGCAACAAATGACTGATATGAGTGCAGTATTTATCAATACTTTTTCTTTTTTAATAATATTAAATGAAACAAAATTTCGTAAAAAACTAGAAAATAAATTAAATGAGGAAGTGCATTACTTCGCTGATTTTAAAAGGATGATTCACAACAGTAATTAGATTACATAGTACCATCGCTATATATATTACAATTCGTGTGTATACAGGATAAAAGTATTATTTTAAATGATCCAGGTTAAAGTGAGAAATCACGTTACTGATGTAATTTCACAAATTTGTTCCTTTTTTCCAAATATAAACTATAAAAACAAATCACAATAAGCCTCATAATGATTAAATCAATCCCATAAATTTAACTAATCAAACTAAAATAATTAAAAATTTCAGACGATACTGAGATTCCATCGTTAAGAAACATAAGATGTAATAGATTTCAAATTAATTTTTCCAATCCTAATTAGTGACCTGAATATTTTTAAAACATTAGTAATGTGAATAGAATTCATCTCTAGTTTTCGTAACCATTTTTAATACGCAATACATATGCTTTTGCTGAGAAATGTTTGTGAACTAACAAACCTCAAAAAGAGTAAAGAACTCCTGCAAAAGAGCATGCAAATGTTCTCGTTCTTGAAAGGATTGTGGAGCTAAATCCAGAAGCAACTTTAAAATATAGTGCAGTAATGCTTGATAGCCCTTTGCTCGCAACTGGCGACCTGGTAATTGGGCTACTGATGCCATACAAGCTGTTAATAATGGCATATGTCTGAAAATTCTATTTCTCGAATACTTATTTATGGCTCTAAAACCACTCTTACCATCAAATTATCTGTGATTTTCTGATAACAAGCTTTTATAATTTCACAAAAATGTTACACCAGTAGCAAATTATGGAAGCTTGTTATCAGAAAAAGCAATTTATAGAACTTGTTATCAAGCTTACCTTAATACAACACATGGCTGATGAAGTACAATTTGTGAAAGAGCAGAGATTTTATCGTTAATTATATCTTTTGTAGCTGCAGCTGAGGAAAAAAGCTCCACAATAGCATCATGAACAGTTCGATCTTGAGTACATATAGAACGAAACGAATTAACCACCACAGTGTCATTTTTTAGAAATGAATCTGAAATATATTTGCGCAAAATAAATCAAATAATAAAAAAAAAATCAGGTTCATGATAACTGTGAATATACAAATAATAAATGTAAAAGTACCAGGAAAGTGCTTCACAAAAGCATTGGCCACTTGCTGAATTAGGGGTTTGTGTAGGATATCAGTCGGGGATTTCAAAATAGATGAAATATCAGCGACTAGTTTCTGAGTTATATCGCCTACAATAAATGTAGGTTATTTACAGATGAGTTTTGATAGAGAAATCTTACAACATATTATAAAGCAGTGAAAAAAATCTAAAAAGCTATGCAAAATATCGATCAAGCAACTTTCTTATCAAAAAAGTCAAAGAATTCAATGAAGTTTTTAAAAGTGGAAGAGATAGCATATACTGACTATTTGTGTTATCTTTCAAAAAATTCATCAACAGCGTAATAACATTATCAAAATTGTTTTCCATCGCAGCAAGAATGTACTGAATGAAAACACTACACTGCTCAGCAGAAAATGAAGATGTTTTTGAAAAACGAAAACTGCTGATAATGGCTCGGATAACTGACATGCTGATAAATCTGCAACAGAATCAAATAAGGCTAAGAAAGAACTTTGCATTTATTAGCTTCAAGCAGATAGTTTTGAAAACATTTGTAAACTTTAATGGAAATCGAATATGCAAATTCCGCTTCACGTCTTTGTAGATAACAATGTACATAAAGCACATAAAGCTAATTTTTTATCCTATAAACTAATATTAGCTAATACGTTATTAGCTAATGAAATTGCTGATAAAAATAAAGTCAAACTATGAGGGAGTCACTTAATCAAATTTGTAAAAATATCTTACTGAGGTCGATAAGATGAAAGAAGAAATTGAATTATTTTGCTCAGTATCGTTGATGAGCATGCTGTAGGTAGCAAGGAAATGATATAAAGCAGTGCTGGTGCTTCAGAAGAGAATATAATTTCCAATATTGTATGCGACTTACAGCAAAGATAGTCATCCGTATAAGGTAAAATCTCTGGATATGTGTCCAGAAATCTTTCCAGTAGACGATTTTGCATATCACCCTATAAAAAGTAACTTTTTAAATTTTGGTAGAATTTAGAATTTGTACTCAATTATATATGAATGCTCTATATATTACAAACAGAATTGTTTGGATGTTTCTTAAAAGAAATATATTCAATATTTAATCAACAATGTTTGTACCATCATGTATATAAATGTGATAGTATTGACTATGTTAATAAAGAAATTAGTTCCTTACATAATTCGTTCAATTTCTGGAATGCAAAACCTACCATCCCCATAGAATTTGATAAACGCATAAGAATGCTTTCTGGATCATATGTGTTATAATTTGGTGAAAATGGACTTTCCATTTCGATAGCGCATTCTGAAACATGTGTTTATGAAGCATAAATTAAACGTGCAGAATTATAAAAATGTCCTCTTAATTAAAAATAAAGAAGTTAAAATGAGCAAATTTGAACCAAGAAATCGCATGAAACAATAACCTCCACCACGGCTACACAAGAATCGTTTTACAGAATCTGGAATATGGATTTTTGTTTGGATGATCACACTGTCCAACATCGAATCAAAATCACTCATTAACGAGGGATCCTTAAAGCATATATTGTTTAGATTGTTAGGTTTTAGTTTATGCTTAACTTCAGAAATGATTCAGAAACTTTTAAAATAAAATTTCATCCTCCAGACGAGCTTCATGAAATGTAAACAATATTTGCAAAAGTATGCACATACCTTATTTCTTGCAGTGATTAAGGAAATCAACAGAGGTCTAGCTACAGTTTCACTAGTTAATATGATTGGGTTTTCTTGCAAAAATGAGATAACAGCTCGACAACACTCAGTATCGTGTGAAAGTTTAGAGATCAACGATGGCCATTGTTCCGGTTCTCTGTTTTCCTGCACTGCCTTAAAAAATACGAGTAAAAAATTTAAACCTGATTTAAAGCCTTGCATGGGGCTTGCACTTGAACCATATCAGTAAAACTCATAAAGTTCCTATAATTTAGTATTTTTTCGCACAAGAGCAAATGATAATCGTGGGACTTCACAGACAGAACTAGTAAAATCAAAAGCCTCACCAGTTCAATGCAAGTAATGATTTCCTCGGCACTCATTTGTTTCATTAGAATGCGCTTTGGATCAACAATTTCTTCATTGAAAATTTTGGGTGGTGCGCTTAATTTTATATCAATATTTCCATCGGCTTCAATTTTTACAGATTTTTGTATACTCTTCACAGCAGCTATGCGGCTGAGGAACTAGAAGGAAGCCATGCAGTAGCATATTTATTCAAAAATATTTTCCGACAAAAAAGGGTATGTAGTATGTTTTCAGAACAAAAATTATGATGCCTACTTCTATTATCAAAAGGCGGCAATGTATCCAAATATACCAATACATACGAAAAATAATATACCAATACATAAGAAAATAATTCACGAAAATTTAATAAAGTGAATAAGTTGCAATTCAGTGCTGTGAATCAATTTGTAATTATTTGCCTAAATATTCATGCTGCAAATTTCTTTAAATAAAAATTTTAATTAGCATTTATTTTTTAAATGCAATGTTATGAGGAAAGAGTTTTAAATTTTGGTAAACAATAAAGCTGTTTTCTAATATTTTACTGACTTAAATTGAAACATACCACATCACCACCTTTAGCATTTTGTAACTTATATCCCCTGACAAACAGTGATGCCTTCTCAGCTTCTTTTAATAAATTTCCATCTAAAGGTGTTTCATCAGCATCCAAAATTGCTAGAATTTTGGAGCAAGCGTAAGATGTCAGTCCAAATGACTGGACAAATCTTAAAGCATCCTCCACTTTCATATCATCCATAGCAACCTATAGAACAATTTACAGTGAAACTACATACAAAACAGAACTCAATAGATTAAAATAAAGATAAAGAGTAAAGTAATTTTAAGAACTAAATACAATAATTTCTGAATACCACAGTCAAAATGAAGCATTTTAAAACTATACCACTTTGCATTCAACATTCAGAGTAATTAAAATGTAAGGAATTACAAAAACTTAAGAAAGAGATGTAAAAATTTTCTACAACTTCTGAAATTTGATGCAAGCATGATTATCTCAATAAATCTACAAATTAGTAGAAATACCAACGCGAATAATTCGATCATCCTCAGTACGAAGCATCTTCAATTTTAGCCAGGTAGGCAATAATTCAGCACTATCTGCACTTAGAACCTTAAAAACAAGCATTAATTTTTGAATTGATATAGTTTTTTTTATTACGAAAAATTATATACTTTTGGCCGTTTTCCCGATATTGGAAACCAAAGATCCATAAGAACTCGAGTAACCATCTTATTTTTATCTTGCCATTGACTGCAGAGTAACTGCAACATCCCATTAATACCTGTTGATATCATTGGTAACCGAGCCATTGTCTAAAAATATTCCGTTAATACAATTAAAATTACATGTTCCGACTTATTACTACAGTTTATGCAAAATATGCAAAAGTAAGTGGCAGTTATAAAATGGAAGAAAACTATATAATATCAAAGGTGTTTACTACTTCGAAAACTGACAAGCATGAAATAAAAGATATGAGTGAAAAAAAAACGTAATGCTAGCGTTATTCTGATCAGATCTTCTAAATACTAATCTTTCTATTTATTTTACAAAGCTAAAGTTGTTAAAATGAAATTTGTTCGCTCATATCAATAACTTGTATTAAAGAATGCTTCAGCAAATTTTGTCCTTGAGAGAACAATACCTCTGTTAAAAAATGATATAGCGATACCTTATTTGGTTTTTCAATGCAAATTAACACTTTTTTCACATTCGAAGGCAAAAGGGCTTCTAATTCTTCTGTCCACTCAGCTTTATCTTGCTCTACTTCTCTAAAATACCTCTCGTAGAACTCAATGGCATTTATCCGAATGACATCCGCTTCAGTTCCGTCTTTTAGCCTCTCGACCATATTCGAAATATAATGTGCAACCGAAAAAAACATTTCACTGATATGTAATTTTCAGAATTCTATCATTTCAATATCATCCAGTCTACAAAAGTAATAAAATTTCAAAACTTTCAACAATAACTTCTCCCACTTTGAAATTCATTTTCAGTCCAATAATTTGATCGGTAACAAGGAGTAACGACCTCTTTATCATAATTTAGTCTTAAAATACCTTAAAGAAAGGATCCATTCACTTTTAATTTTTCGAAATGTATGAAAACTAAGTCTCAAAAACTTACCAAATGTAAACTTTTTGAATCGGAGTGTTCAATGAGAAAAGTCAAATAGTCAGATAAACGATTCAAGTCTGTTTCTACTGAACAGGCTTGTGACAGTAATACACAAATTCGATGCTAAAATAATTTGAAATTAAAAGCGAATACTAAATATTAAGATCAGATTTGCAGAAAAACATGATGCAGCAAAATTACAATTTATATAGTTGAAATAAGTTTTAAAATTTATGTTGATAGAGTGATACAAGATGAAAAACAAAAATCAACCTTTAATTCATCAAAATATGCAAATCTATGAAAGGCAGCGGCAGGTAATGCGTCCATCACAACTGGTAGTATTTGAATATTAGCATCATACTGCAAATAACACCAGATACCTCGATTCTTTACTTACGAAGACAAAATTATAATATTGTTTTAATAAAACAATATTATCAAAAAAATATAAGCTTGTTTTCCTTCAACATATGACTCCTCTATATAAATAGTAAGTAATCCACGAAATTAAAATCGAAAGAGGCGATAATACCAACAAAATAGAAATAAAAAGTCAGAAAATTTGAACAGTTAAGCTCACATCAAGAAGTAACGTCAAAGAATGAGCTGCAGCACAACGTTCAGATGCCGAATGAGCAGCAAGATGAGCAGCTAAATATTCTAATGTTTCAAATACAGATGCTCTCGTCGCGCTTGAACCCACTGCAGCACTTCGCAAACGATTACGTAACTTAAAAACAATTTGCATCAAATTTTATACAATAATTATTAAAATGATACGCTATTTATTTGAACTGTAAGAAAAAAACGCACTAAAGGCCATTTTTTGATAATTATTTACAGATGACTATTAACAAAAATTTGTAAACTTGAAACATGTAGTAGATAATTATTCCTATCTGTCAACTGTTAAGTTAATCACAAAATATATTTCTGAACATTCTTATTTTTGCATAACTGAAGTCAACGTAAAAGCTTTATCCAACATTAATCAGATCTAATTTTTTTAAACAATTTTTGTCACAAACAAAAACGATAATACACTTGCTATTATGTACTGATTGCAGAATAGTCATCAAATGTGTTAAAAAATCTTCTGTACGACTCATAGAAAAATTATGATATATTATAAGCTTCATTTAGCAACTAATAGTTAAAATACTAACCGCACTTAGCTTTTCTATCATTCCTGCAGCAACGCTATTTGATGCTGACGCAGAAGAGATGTAATGCATAAAGAGTTCACAAATACACTCAAGAGGTAAATGAGCAACAGCATTTGAGTTCGATTCCACCAAATTTATGATTGGCGGTAAAGCTTTCGAACTACCCTAAAAAATTATAAGTACGAGTTCAAAGTGATAGTGAGTAGTTTGAAAAAAAGTTATTTTCTGCAATCAAAGAATTATAATTATAACAAGATCATAACAACAACCTGAGACCTAACAATGTCAGCTAATAAATCGGGATCCCTGCACTCGCTTAATAAACGTGACAAATCAAGATCTTCATTTAATTTTTCTAAGTCACGCATTACGTTATCTGGAAGACGACGACAAACGCCCCTGTAAATTTTAATTATAACACATATAAACTCTATTACATAAATATTATTTTTTCATGTAATGAAATTTATAAGCGTTACTTATTACGCGCAAATATATAGTGGTGTCAGGACTATGTGCTTTATCGGCAGTCCAGATTAATTTTCAATACAAATATGTAGCAACAAATGTGAAATGAAAATAATGAACTCCTATATGTGAAAAAATAACAGTAACTTACGTTATGTCAAGACTGCAAACTTTATTGAGAAGCTTTGAATTGGAATCTGTCACTTCCGTTCCGGCTAACTTGGCCTCTAGAATTTTGATAGCCTTCTTTTCTTCGTATGCTGCTTTTTCATCATTCTCAATCATTTTTTCCGCACTTAATTGATCCCCTACGCTTGTCATTGGTGGAAAAGAATAATCCCTTAAATCATTATGTAATTCCATTACTATTATGCATTTCCTACACATTAATAAATAATTTCCCAATTTTTTGCTGCTGAAAATACGCGATTAGATCGGAAATTCTTAACTCAGTTCCTTGATTATTAATTTAGAAAGAAACTTTCTTTTCTCCACACACAGATAGACATTTAATAGAATTACTTTATCAGAAGTTACCAAGTTAAAACAATCTGCATGATCAATTTCAAGTTCGGAAATCTACAGTACACTTCCTTCAACAATGTTTCTTTATTCAGTGCTGCCCAAATTAATGAAATCAGCCAAGCTTTCCAATACAACGTTTTTACGGCCAATGATGGAAGGTCTTCTCTGTAAAAAAAACCTGTGCTCCAATTCAGAACATTCATTACAACTTCTATACATAAAATCTTTTGAAACTTCACCAACTCTTGAATATTGAATGTTGCCGGTGGTTTATAAGCTGTAATTTTGAATAACGTTTCCAAGAGAGTACAATTACTGATCTGAATCATACTACCACCTGAAACTCAGTTCAATAAATCAAATGTGACTAAAAAACAAGTTTACTGTTAATGGTATTTCAACTAATACTAACTGTCATATAAATTAATCGTTTAGTAAGAATGCAAAAATCTATTTATATCTCCACAATGTATACCACATCTTTTCTATTCATTACATTGAACTGTTTCAGAAATTTTTTTTATTATAATTTTGAGCTCACTTTATCAACAAATGCATTAGGAGGTTAACCGCTAACAATGAAAGAGAATGATTAAACTACTGACAATAATAGAAAACCAACATTGTTCCACTAGCATATATATTATACCTGTTAGTGTATAAGACATCGAAGCTCGTTTCGTGATATTCTCTATAACATCCACTGTATCCGTAGCATCAATTGGGACTGAAAGATCAGATCCAGCTTTCAAAATAATTGATAACAATAGTTCACTAATAGGAGTATCAGCTATAACACGCAAATAATGCGTGACTTCTGCTTCTGTTGGCCACTGATCCACACTCGCGTAGTAGTCGGCCTGTAATGTTCTCTGTATAGTTGTTGATAGAAAATAACTTTAAAGAACTCCATTTCTGAGTTAATACTTCCAGTACAACAATATGTTTTCAGTGTCCAGTACTTTCAATTTCCAATAAAGTGAAACGAACTAAGTAGATATTCTTAAATACAGTTTTGAATTATATTCTTTGAAAAATTTTGTATCACCAAGAAAAAATTTTCAAGTGAGGAACGATCACAAATTCTTGAAAATAATTCTATATAGATAGAATGTTCTTCAAGTCTTCAAAGTACACACCGGTGCTAAATAAAGAACTCGATAATAGGAAAATACAAAGAGCCGATTATCACAGCAAAAGTTATGGTGTTTGTAGAAAAACTGTGCACAGATTTCGTAGAAGTTTTTCAAATCAGCATAAAATCTGAAAAGTCGAGCATATCACAAATGATATTTATAAGCTCATTCATAAATCTTGACTCTGCTTAGGATGAATATTTTCAGAAATCAAGATATTTAACAAACTTGAGATTTTCTTTCGAAAAATAATGCCAATTAAAGATAAAAGAAATCACAGTAAAAGTATGAATACTTTTGTAAAGCATTAATATGTATTTGAGTTAAACTGCCAGCTGAATTTCGCCGAAGTTGAGCTGCTTCTCTAACATTAGGAGTAATTGCCAAAAATGGTAGCATCACACAAAAATCAATTAATGACTTGAAAAAAAACATCTGAAAAGAATATATTTTTAAAGTATAGCAAGTAATAATTACTCATCTCCCAGCAGGAAAATTCTTCTGCCTACCCAAAAAACCTTATGTTTCCTCCACAAATTTCAGTCACTTAATTCATTTAAGAACAAAATTAATAGCGAAAACAAATAAAGTCAAAAACGAAAATCCGTAGCTTACAGGAGTAGTAACAGATGAAAAATCTTCTACCACTGCGTTCAATAAGTGAGCAGTAAAAAGTGCAAAGTCAAAATCCACACGTAATAAAGAGCGGACAAATTCCCGAAGGAATGTTCTAGACACACGCAAATATTCTTCTTTAGCAGCAAGCATCTGAGAAATTTCACGAGCTAATACCTGAAATTAAATAGATTTCACTATTCTATTCGATAAAAAACATAGTTATGCTCATTACCCAAACTAAAAACTTATCTTTCGCCATTAATACAAAATCTGAAGCTATATACCATAGAAGAAAGTTTCTTAGAAACCACATGATGGCATAAGGAATGTATAAACATACCCTTGATGCTGAGCGGTTATCAAACGAAAATAATGCATGGATCATAGTCATATTATAAGGAAAACGATTGGTTGAGAATTCATTTGATAATAATAATTTTGTTACTGCGCACATTATTCCTTTATCATTGCTCAATATTTCTCTGAAAAAATTAAAAACAAAGCACGTTTAAAAACTTACATAACTCACAAAAAATTTTAATGCAATTTTTTAAATAAAAACGTTCCAAAGTTTATAAAAAATGTATCAATACGATTTTTTTTTAAAAGATTATAAACGAATTTCACACACTTATTAACAACACAAATTCAATAAACGATTCCAAGATATTTCAAAAAATATTACTAATTTATGAGTAAAAATGATAAATATTCTTCTGTCTCAAATAATCAAAAAACTAACTTCAAAGCAACATTGAAAAGGGTATTTATTTGTTTACTTTTCAATGCTCGCAATTTTAACAAAGCACATAAAGTGTCTCTATCTTCATCAGTTAATTCATTTTGTCCCATATTACATGCTATCCATAAAAGCAATTCCATGGCGTACCTTTGGAGCTGCACAAGTGCAAACATATATTTTTTAGAATGAAAAGGAAACAGCTACTTAAATGCAATGATGAAAAGAAGTATCAAGATTATTTAAAAAAGTTTATTTACTACTTATTACACATTTCTTTTCTAAACACATTTAAATCCGAACTCACAGATTTAAAGAAATAGCTGTAACGACCTCAGTGTTCAAATTATACTCAAAGTTACCAGCACAAAGACAAGTGTAAGAGTATACTTTTCCATTGAGTAGCCAGGAATCCATTTTTCGTGCAGCTAATAGACGTACACTTGCATTTCCGGCACATGTACACATTGTCTTCAGCAAATTTCGCGGTGCACTTTCACCTTTTCGCTCACATATATCTTTCATCCTTGACACAAATACTTCAATTTTAAGCTCTCGTCCATTAACTTGTGTAAATCTATTCGTAATGATCTAAAAAGAAATAATAATGTCATCATGACAAATAAAAAAGTTCTATTAAAACTCAATTTTTGATCCAGACACTGCAAAAAATAATCTAATCTATTACATAAAATAAAATCAAGGTTTAGGAAATAAAAAAACTCGGAAATGAGCATTCAAATGAGCATTGAATCATTCCGCACAGTCCTTACAATTATAAAATATTAAATTTTACTGTCTTCAATGATTTAACAATTATCATGAATCTGAAACAAATTAAAAGTTATACAAAACTGAAAATTATTTTATGAAAACTACTTACTACTTCATTCCGAAATCTCTCTGGATAGACCAATTCACAACCTGTATACATTGATTCATGCGGTATTCGAGTACCGAAAGCTGTCATAATATTCTTTGCCAATTCATCTGCTGCTGGCCGATCAACCCATTGCCTATCATGCAAACTATCATCCATAAAAGTCTCCACTAGCTTCCAATTCCAATCGTTCATTTCTTTCAGAACTTTGTACAACACTACAAACATACCAAACAATTAAAATTCTAAATAAAAACTGAAAGCTTCGTTTTCTTAAAATGATTGAGTCTATTATAAAAGAATAAATCCATCACGCTTAGAAAACAAATCCTACAAAAATTTTGCGAAAAAAGAGAAAAAAGTTTGTTCAACTCTAGCTATTTACTTGTCAGTAAATTCAGCTTCATGAACTATATTTTTCGGTTTGCTGAGAAAGAGATATAAAAACGAACCAAAGTTTCATTATTATACTTTTCTAAGAACTTCCATGCAAAATTTCTTGCATTCTAGTATTCACAATCTTTCGCAAGAAATATGAAAGAAAAAATAAATGGAAAAAAAAGTTACACAGAGGAGCTATTGCAGAACATGGAGAAGACGGAAAATTTGTTGACAGAAGTGAACAAAGCCCTTCAATTAGTTCCTCAGAAGACTGCAACACAAAAAGTTCTGATTTTTAATTCTTACATCAGTGATGCACTTGCTGTTTTTGGTTTTTCGTCACGCTATTTATGGCTATTATTGCAATTTAACATGGATCCATAAATATTTTTTTAACTTAAGCACTGGAAAAAATTGTTCAAACTGAAAGTACAACCACCAAAAAGTAAAACTTTATATATATAATATTGTTCTTATAGTTCTAATTGATGCAATTATCTCTTTTATGTAGCTACGTACACTAGCGCGCTAAATGAAATTGTAATGACAAAGCAACAAGTTTACAGATCTAAATATTATCGAATTGTGTACTATGTATGTTACTTTCGAGATTAAAAAAAGTTTCTCATCAAACAATCCCTCAGCATAAAAGGACACTTATTTAATATTTTTCGCATATTACTTAAAAATAGCCTTCAAAGCTTATAAAGGAGCAGTTATAATTTTGAGTCCATTAATCATTCTATTATAATGATTGATCAGAATTTAGTGTAAGTCAATCAGTAGCAAAAGTTTTCAACCGTAACTATGAAATAATTTAAAAGTCCATAAAATTACCGTTAAAAATGGTGCATTCATTTTGATGAAATTAAGTAGAGCAGAACAAAGTGCTGGTTCTACAGTCCAGCTACCTGCATCTTTACGGCGATCACTCATATCTCGTAATGCCGCGCAAATCAACCGAGCAGCTTTCTGTGGTTTTTGTTTTTCCTTCGCAGATTCCAACAATAAAAGGAGATGTCTGGGCTCGACATGAACCTGAAAAGTTTTCAGATCTGAAGTAAAAATTAAAACTATTAAAAAATAATGGATGCGTATTTCATTTTCCTTTGTATAAACATAATTTCAAGCTTAAATGGAGAATTTTCAAGTATGGTATTCATTGAACACATTCTGAAAGTAAATATTTTCCAGTAAGGAAATACTTTGATCAAACTTTAATAAAAAAATAATAATTTCTCAAGATCTAAAACCTTTCAGTGCCAGTATTATTAATATGCTGATACTGTTTCAAATTTGACATACATTATGTACATTAACTTTAAAATACAGAAATAACGCATACTTCAGCACAGAAACAACGCCATCTTGAATCGTCCACTTCATTACGTTTCTGAGAACTGACTGATGAAGAACTTAGAACAACTTTAGAAGAAAAGTCCAAGCGAGGTTTTTTCAAAATTCCAACTGTTACCTGCAATCATTAAATTCGATGGATTATATACAAAGTATTTACAATCCTATTTGCTTTCTCAAATTTATAATTTTGCAAAGTCAACAGAAAAAATTTCATGTAAATTAAATATTTTCCTAAAAATTATAAACTTCATGACTTATAACACTGCATACATAAATAAATTTCAGCCTTAGATTAAAAAAGGCACTAAATTCGAGATGAAATGACAGATAGCAACTGAAATTATAAATGCATGGTAAACCTGCGGTAATTCCCGCTTGTTCAACAATGGTTTGACACGACTAGTATCTGAAGTTGATGGCATATCACGACCGATTGCAAGGAAGCCTCCAGCTGGTAAATTTGTTTTTGCTTTATGACTTTGTTTGCTCATGTTGTTCTGTATTTCTCCTGCAATCTTTTTAATCTAGAATAATTTTGCATACATACTTAGCATGTCTTTTTTTACTTCCTGAATTCCTCTTTTAATTCGAAAACTTCTATCCATTAGTGTCCGGTTGTATCTATTCACATGTATGCATAAACTTTTACATTATGCAAATTTCAAATCCAAGGCTATAAAAGCAGAAACTTTATCAGCTTAATCATTTTTTATCTTGTTGTAATGTACAATAGTGGCAATAGCAGAGGTGATTGCTGTTATCTCGCGATGCTTACAGATGCCAGAATTTTCATATCTTTCCTTATATTTAATTGCCCTGCGAAAGTTCCAGCTATGCAGGTTTCTAATTTTTAGCAACAAAATTCTAGCAACCATTGATTAAAAAATGATTATTGGATGACTGACAACAAATATCTCATGAAAATGATTTTAAACTTGCATAATATTCCCAAGAAATCTCACAACAACGAAGAACTATCAATCAAATCTATAAAGACAACAATAAACCAACTCCATGCAAACAAAAACATATTTCTGTCTTTTTTCATTGAATTACACTAAAAAATAGTCTGTAGGGACTAATTAGCTACAAGTTATATTACAGAGAACGGAATGTGATATACAAAATTTCTACAATGCTTTTACCATAGCTGACTTGAAAAACATTGTATTAAAGTATGCATTACACTTTCCAATTATACTCATATCATAATGCATTTAAAATATATCGTAAAATTTATAGTCATATTTTCCAGTCAAAAATTGTAGAGGAAAGTTTAAAAACCGATTGCATAATTCATTCAATATCATTCACTTGATCTCAATCAATCTTGGTTTTCAATTTAGTATATTCATTTTTCTTCGAAGCATCTCTAAATACAGAATAAGGACAAGAAACTTTTTGAATAAAACTGTTGTTATTTGTTAACTTTTAAGATTGAAAAGTCTAGAATTAAAATTCAAAGTTAAATGCTTATTTAAATGATGATTACTTTCTAGAGATGCTGCATTACGAATGGTTTTCAGCAATAGAATAAACGCTTCATCAGATTCAATGCAGTCAGATTATTTACAGATTTTAGGTAATACAAATAAAGATGAGAAATCAAATGCAATTTGACTTTTTATTAAATAAGCATAATTTCAGAAAAACCGAATCTGTTGAATCAAAGTTATCACAATTATTCTCAGAAAGCTAATAAATGCATTAAACAATTCGTCCAAAAGCTACGTGCTGATGAATGCATAGTAAGTTATCGTTAATTCGATCGTTTCTTCAATTTAAATACATAAATACTTGGTGTGAATTAAAATTACTATTATTATATCTGTTGGCTTCAAAAGGATTTCTCAGACCAAAGACAAAAAAGTGAATTTTTGCAGTATGATCCAAGCAATTATTACGTATATTACAAAATATGGAGAAAAATCTATAAATCTTCTAGCCACTACATCGGTCGATCTCAATTTTTGTTCGCTACTAGTACAGCCAATATTCATTTCATTTATTTAAACAGCAAACTTAATCTATTATTTAGTGAATATGTTAATTCGTAAGTTTTCAACCTGAAAAGGAACATAAAAAATTCAGAGCATATTAGTCCGCATTTTTATTCTTTTTTTCTATAAATAATATACTTTTTTCCTTTCATAGTATAATAATATTTTTTTAGATGAGAATCAAGCAAAACAATATATTTCATGGAATAAATTACCATATACTTCACTGCATTTTATTCTATCTCCACATCAATCAAATGATTTTTTCTAAGGCACTTGAGAACTTAAAAACTTAAATACCGATATACCCAAATAATATAACAATTAAATAGATAGACAAACTAATTGGCTTTTCAGTGATGTGGTATATTACGTGTTCCATCATCGATTAAAAACATTGAAATGCATTTTACGAATAAAACTACCACTGCCTTATTTACGCTTCAAACGTAGAACCAAAGAAATACAGTAAGTTTAAAGGAATAAATGAGTGAATCCATTGAAACAAAATAAATTTTTAAATGGTTCAAACAGTTAAAAGTGTAGTTTGATCTAGAGGTAATGCTAGTTCTAAAGCTTCAGAAGATATTGGACCATCTACTAAAAATCAAAAATAAAGATACCATCTTCTATTTTCTTACTGAATATTTCCACTAATCTAACTAATAGGTATTAAACACCACAATTGAAAAGTTAAGATCGAAACAAAGTTCAATACATATAAATCGCTACGGTCTTTCTGATGGTGAAGCACTTGTTTAACTATAAGCATTTATCCATCACAGAAAAATATTCCTCGTTTATCACAATATGAGTTAATTTCGTTCATTTTTCAGAGGTCGAGATACAATATTGATAATGATTCTCTCATTAATCTTAGGTATTCCTACAGTAATCATTATTATCGCTATTTTTTTTATTATCATTATACATTGTTGCTTTCACGAACAATCTGGTCCGTATTATCTTATATTTTAAATATAATAGTATTTTTTCCCAGTGAAAAATTTTATTACCGACCATTTCAGCTAATCCTTTTTTCCCTAAATTCAAAAAGATATATAATACCTGATCTTTGAGTAAAATGTCTAATTTATAGTAAATAATTTACTGATATTTCCAAACTAATGTATCTAAATCTGAGCCACCTAAAATGTGGATGATTAATCTAGAACTGCATTAATTTGCATTATCTCATTTCTAAACCAGCCATAGTTAATTTCACCCACCTATTAATGAAATGTCAAACCAGTGTTATCATCTTCCTTAAGTAACTTGTACAAGTTAATTAATTATAACACTGCTATAATTTTGTTGAATGTAAGCAACACCTACTAAACAGAACCAGCAGAAGACGAAATACCTCAAAGTTTAATTGAAAATTGCAAACGAGCTAAACCACCGCCTGAGGAGGAAGGCAAATACCTACCGATATTATTCGATGCTTCAGCATTTCATTTCAAAGGGCCACTTGTTATCGAGCGTCCTAAACTAACCATTTTTGTCAGTAATAATTATTAAGTCACTCAGATCTACTATATTTAATGGATGTTGTCGCATGCATATCTTCTGATTGCCATATATTTTAGGAGCATGAATTGACAAACTCATTACCAATTGAAAGTAATACAAATCAACATGTACGATTTGATGAAAACCTAAATGCCGTAATCTGTTTTACCTAAATTTCTTCATAAACAGTTTAAATTACGATGATCCTCATGTAAACTTGAAGAAAATACCTAGTCAAGAAAAGAAAGAAAATGTATTACTGAGTACTGGAACAAATTGAGACTTTCTGAAGAATCCTTCCCTATTTACAAAAAACCACTGAATAAACTTTTAGGCATATGACATTGGAGAAGAAGTGGAAATAATCATAAAGAATTATGGACAAGGAGAATGTACTATTTTGGCACTAACAAATATTTATCTTTCCAAAACTAAATATTACCTTTACTCAACAGTTAAATATGCTATTTTTTTCTCCTTCATATTAAGCTAAATAATACCTTTCTATACAGAAACATCGTTACAATGGATTAAAATTATTAATGATGAAAAAAAAATTTAAGCATAAAATTAGTTACTGTAAATAGAAATGCATAAAATTAATTACTGTAATTAGAAATGAAAAGTAATGAATTTTTTACAGCATTAACACATGAATCTATTGACAAAGAAGAAAATGAAAAGGAAGATGACGATACATGTAAAGCAAAATTAATTGCAAGCAAACAGCAACGGATATTATCTCATACCAATCAAAATGAACAAGTAAATACAAAAAATAAATCAAAAAATGAAAAATTAACAAAGAATTCTGAAACAAAAAATAGAATATCAAAATCAGCAATGAAGTTGAATGAAACACAAAAAACTCAACCAAGTACGCATTCGTCACTATCGGCAAAAATGAGATATGCAAGAAATAATACTACGAGAAACACAGATTGCTATACAACCCAGAAGCTAGAAGATCAAAAACAAACCAACTTGCAGAAACAAAAGTTAACTTCTCCATCACTTATTTTATCTGAAAAAAACACGCAACCACTTGTAACGCCCCGTAAAAGTATGCAACTATCTACTCCGTCTTTTGAACGAAAAAGTAGTTCAAAATATAACATCCTCTCACCTCAAATTTTTAATTCTCAATCAAAAGCAACTACGAACGACACTACAAAACTACCAAATCCTCATGAGGTAAGTAAAAATTCATTTAAAACTGATTTATAATAAACGTTAGAAACAAAACAGATGACGACAATAAATCACGATCTTACCAGTGTTATTGCAGAACGTAATTTTTACAACAGTACTCTCTTCTACGCTATTATATGCATTAATTTTTCGTAATTAATTATAAAAGTGAGCCTGACACTGATATATACTTAGATTAAATGCTGCTATAAATAAGAGTCTCGAATGACAAGATTAAAAAATAGTTGCAGTCGTAGTTCATAATTCACGAAACAATTAGCACAAAATGATTTGAGAAGATAAGTCACAAAACCAAGGAAGTTCTGATTTTCAGCCATCACTCACCAAAAACATTTCAACGCGATTAATAAATGAGGAGGGAGTCTCACAGTATGTTTGAAGTAAAGAAAACAACCTCCAATTTATAATGCATTTGGAAAATACAAGTTTAAGTAGTCACATATAACCTTCTTTACTACGTTTTCTAGAAAGTTCAAGAATGGAAAAGTAGACGGAATGTATGCGAGAACTACCGTCACATTCCAGAGTTTAGTTTAGAATATATCGTGCTAGCTTTTGTTCTTCTTTATCGAATATATTGGTTATTTAATACTAATAGTAATGATAAATAAAAGTTCACGCAGTACATAGCACTAATTGTTAGTCCGTGATAAGAGAACAAAGAATCAATAAGTATTATTTCTAGAACGAAATCACGAACTGAAAGTCAGCTATACTTTAACAAAGCACCAACTTCATTGTACTGTGAGCAAAAATCACTATTCCATTCAAAAGTAGCGGAACAAATTCAATTATAAACATACAAGGTCTCACACTCATATGCATAGATCTTTCTTGCCTTATGCTCTTATATTTGCATACTTCCCGAAGCCAAATGATCTTATGATAACAAGACAAAGACTGCATCATTCAAACAATGTTGATCACTCAGATAAATTTCAAGTAATCATATTCCGTTTAAGCTACTCAACATATTCATCGTTTCATCTGGCTACATTCCTTATCATTTCTACTGTTTATAGAAATCACATCGAACACTGTACACTGAGTGACTATAAATAACTAGAACAAGAAACAGATACTTCATAGTTTCGAGAAATAATATGGATTTTCATTTATCAATTGCAGTTTGAAAATCAGACACACAAGCATGATAAAGAATCGAAACATAAGACGAATAAACTTCAAAATGAATCAGAATATGACATTTTAATTCTCGTTTTAATTTTATCTTCCAAAGAGGAAGGAGATTTCTGTGTAATTTCAACATTTGAGAACAAAATAATAGACAACTTGCAATTATTTAGACTTAAGCCGTTGAGATACTGAATTTTGCAATTTCATCACCATTTGCTTTTGACTCTCTTGCCTTGCTGCAGCATCTTCCATTGTTTTTTCTAATCGTTTTCTTCAACAGAAACACTTTTTACAGTCTCATCAATGAATACTTCTTAATATTAGAAACAGATCGACTAAAACTTTCTTAAAAACTAAGTAGATGAATTTTCGATGTTTGTAAAACAATGAGAATTCAATTACTTGACTTTTAAGAAAAATCATTCAAAAATCCTATAGGCTGTAACTTCAACATCACCAAGAAATGAAAAGAGAACCTCACGATAAACTAACTGATCTCTGAATGTAAACTATTCATAATATTCGCAAATATCTGACTCCTTACAAGAGCACAATATAAAAGTCATTTCCTACGACAGCACTTATTGTTCTTTTTAGTTACCTTTTAATGAAATTTTGGAATTTAAACGTTTTCATTTCCACCCAAAGTTACCGGTTACAAAATCTTCAATCATCACTAATAAGAAAAAGTGATTCTAAAAGTTTTATAATTTTAAATTTACTTAACTCGTTAAAATCTATCAAAAACTAAGAACTAAATATGGCAAATCATACATTTCTGCTGTAATATAGTTTAAACGTTTTTCAACATTCTGCTTTGCTTCTACAATATCTTGCTTAACCAGTACAGGACCAATCAATTTAAACACTTTCGCATCGTCTTCTAAAAGATCAAGTTCCTGAAATAATTATAGTCAAAACCCTTTCTGGAACCTGTTTTTCTATTCTCCTGTTATAGCATTTTGTGATTCGCTTCTTATCGTAATCATGAAACAAACCATAAAAAATTTGATTTGCAGTACATTCTTAATTCTTAGCAAAGACATTCACCAGCTTTTTAACTTGATAACTGCTCATGAATATTAAGAACATTGATTCAGTGCTAATTTTTTATTAGATTAATTCCAAAGTCATTCAAAAAAGAATTTTAAATAAAAACGTACAGTCTTCACCAATTTGTTCTCTGTTAATTGACCTTCAAGCTGCTGCCGATTTTGCATATTTTTTTCGCGATCTAAAGATGAGAACACGAGAACTATGCAATTCCGAAAATTGCCAATGTATTTGCTGACAGGAATAGAGAACTTATAGCAATAAACATGATGTTCAGTGATGAGAAACCAAACGCAAACACTACAAGGCATTTGCTTGACTCAAACGCAAAATTCTATCAAATTAACAAACCCTTCTCGAGCTGTTTGTATTTTGCAAGCTCCTCCTCAAACTTTTTCATTTCCAGATCACTCATTGCGCGTTTTAAAGAAAACTAACTTCTCACTAAAACAGAAAAGTCAAGTATAACAATTATATATAAATCTATTAATCAGCTCATATTAAGATCTTTTCACTGCATTTCACCTTGGAAATGAATCAAGTATTTAAAGTTTTAGAAGTAGATAACTTTCTAAAAGCCAAATATTTGAAAAAAGAGATCCCACATGCGCTAGTATTTAATAAAACATTAGATTTCAATAAAATTTACAGCAAAAACAAAGAGACTTTGCATATAAATTTGAAAAAACATAAATTGTGCTGAGCAGTAAATAAAGGAAATGACTGAGAGAATTTTAAAAAATAAGGCAAAAAAATGAAATGATGACCAGAAAGAGCAATAGAAAGCAATAAGAAATAAGCTAAATTCCATTGCATTAAATGCGACTATAAAAGTCAGGAACATATGTTTAGGTACAATAATTCTCAATTTTTCAAAAAATAATAATGTCCAGATGACACAATAATGGATAAAGCTTGATGAGATAAATTTCAAAGATTTCCATGAAAGAAAGACTTCCATATTATTTTTTTACAAATCAAAGAAGAGCTAAAATAAAGCAAAAAACAAAAAAACAAAACAATAACAACACTGTACAATTTCTATCCTGAAGAATAGATCTAATCTTTAAAAAAAGAAAGAAAAAACCGAATTTCATTGAGACACAAAATCCTACAAAGTGAACTAGAGTTACTCTACATAAGAGTCTAGTTTGGTCTGAAACAAATTTTAAAATATCACTACATTTTAAATATGTGAAACCTACTAATATAAGGGAAACTTGACGTACTAACCACTAAATTTTGAGAGATTTAGTCATTTTATCAACTTCCTACAAAGTTTGGAAGACTATATATAACGCTCTGAGGTAATAAATTGTGTTAATGAAATAACTTGTCTAATTAAAAAGTCTACGACGTGCACTTTCTTCCCCTTTATATTGCGGATAGCGTGTTTTCAAACCAATAGGTGAATCACTTTCAATAATTTGTCCACGACGGCGCTGCTCTTCTCGATTTGGCATATTTACTTCCCAATAATGTTCTGGTGTAGTTGGTTCTTTTACTGCATCTCTGTGTTTACTTACCTAAAATGTAAATCAAATTTGTGATTCAATAATAACAACTTATCTTTGCGTAATCACTAAAACTAACTGTTTGAATTGAAAATTTTGAGCTGTAAACGTTAAATTACTAAGTACAAAAACCTTTTCAATTTTCAAATACTTGAAAGAGTTTAAAACATTTCAATTTTCTAATTTATGCTCAAAAGGTCAAGTGAAACTGAAGTCTTTAAATATCATTTTTATGAGTTTATGTATTAATAAAAAGACATGACTTTGTTGTGACTTATCTATTTCCACACATGAAACATGACTTGAGTGATGAACAAAATTCAAAACTCACCTGGTCAATTCGTTTATTGCGTTCATCTTCGTCTAACCCTAAAGCTTCATAATAATCTGTACAACATGGACAATCAAAGCCATGCAACAACTGCCGTTCGCTTTTTTTCCTTCGAACCTGACCGTGATCATTGAAACGTGACGATAGTTCATTAACTTCATACTTTCGATCAACTTGTTGAAACGTTGGTGACGACATCACTTTCAATAGAGAACGTGTGTGCTGTGATTCTGAAGATTTAAAAAAATTGCTGACGACACTGCTTCCCCTTAATGCATCAGCAAGCGATACTTTTTTCAATACTGAATCTTGTGATGGTTTACGAGGAGATGGTGCTGAAGAAAGGAAAGAATCAGTAGACAGAGAAGAGAACAGGTCAGATTCACTATTTCTCCGTTCATGCACAATTTCACATTCCGGCGATAAAGTTTGATCCGATAAAATCGAAGTTTCTATCATCGTATGTTTTGATGATAACTCTTGAGACGAGTTTTTTAGATGAGTTTCATCGCTAGATACTACAATACCACTTGATAACTTGTTATATTTTTTTGCTCTGCAGATCTGAAAATCCGATAAAACCTGAGATGAAGTTTCAAGATTTCCTGTTGACCTTAGTGCTAAACTATACTCATTAAGACACTCTTGCCGATTCTTCTTTTTCATATTTGACGTTGTCAACTTGCTCACTTTCTTCATTGGTAGTCTACGTGCTTTCCTGACAGGTGAGCAGAATTCTTCGAAGTCTGTTTTTTTTAATGGAGAATCTGAATTAATTTCTCTGATACGCTCACTTCCATTTGCATTATTTGATCTTGATTTCGCTTGTGCACCAGATTTCATAAGCCAAGCGTCTAGAGTATTGTTAGACTTGTTTACTGACTGTTTTCTTGCTTGTGATTTCAATGGAATGAGCCAATTATCTAGGGTATGATGAGATCTTATCGATAACTCCTGTTCCGCGGATGAAGAAAATTTCTGAGATAATGGCGGCTGCGTAGGAAGAAGAGGCGATCTATTAGGTGAACTTCCTTTCTGGGTTTCAAGAATAACCATTTTGCAGGACTGTGAAGATTTCGGTGGTGTCAAAGTATGATTAGTTCCATCAAAAATACCACTCGAATTTTCCTTTCCTTTGAAATCCATTCTCAATCCTTTTTGAAAGATAGCTTCTCCATTTTCAATATCTATAGGAAATTCTGTAATTTGTGAAGACTTGTCAGTATGATTGGAAAAAGACGGCGGTAAAGTGACATCTAAACTGTAATCTTCTGTGCACTGAGAATTGAACTCAGATCCAGCAGAGTGTCTAGAAGTTGATGATGAATCTGTAGAAATATATGATCTAAGACTGGAATCCATGAAATATTTATTTCTAGAAATGTAAGATACCAGATACCAGATATTTCGTGATGGTAACAAATCCAATTGCACATCACATTGTGTTAATCTGCAAATAATCAGGTTGATTTCTTAGTGATTACCGACTATAACATCATGCCTTATCTACACATATAAATGGTTTATTTGTACCTAAAAAGTCGCTTTGAAGGTAGATATTTATTCCCGAATCAAGAAATACCACTATAAAACAATAAGATAAGCTAGCAAAACTTCGCGAACTTATAGTCTTAATAAATATTAATTGTACCAACAATTAACAAAACAGCTGCTGACCATTAAAAAATATTGAAAAAGCAATTTCGGTAAAAAGGTACTTTTCGGAAAATTTTTATAGAAATTTATTTTACTAAAACTTTGTCAATATAAACTTCCATTTATTCTCGATATCTTTTGTTTCCTCGTTTCATATGTTCTCAAGAAAATTGCTTTATAGAAAATGATATCCAGTTTGGTTCCTCAACCAGTATATGCAGCATTGAAGAGTGGTACTTTTATGGATAATATTAATGCTTTTGATTCTGAACATATCAGACCATTTTTGCCATCATTTTTGCTTTATTCATTTTCACAGCCGTATAACAATTCCGATGCATCATTAGTAAGTTTTAATAACCACTGTTCTCTTGCCGTTCATTGATTTTTATTTTTAAAAATAATAATAGATTTTTAAATGCAGTTTTCCAATTTATTGAATTGAACTAGTTTCCATTCCCTGAATTAGTGTTAAAAATAAATAATCCTGTCATATGAATATCTGTTTCGAACAATATTCATGTCAGATCTATTTTACATGCAGACCTGTATTTTTAGTTCTCTATAGCCTTCAATCAACATGTATAAAATACAACGTTGTAAAACGATGATGCCTGATTATTGCTATAGACTTGTTATGAACCAATAAGTCACAGTTTTGTAAATTTGTGATTCCGAAAAATTGTGTCTCAATATTTTTCAGCAATTCATATTTTAAGGATGAACTTCGACGTCGTTTATTGGACTTTCCCCAGTGCAATACATTGCTTGATATTGTGAATGCCGATGTATCAGCACTGAAACAAGATTTAATCAAAGCAACAAGAGAAGATTTGGAAAGTATCTGTAAATTAGAGTTTGAAACGGCATCACCACAGATGAAACTTGAAATTGTTGCGTTTGCACTCAGTCGAAGTAAGAGTTTTTTTTAAGCTTGCTTGTATTTATTTGAAACAAAACTAAGTCTGTCTTCAACTAGTTTATAAGTTCATAACGAGTTTGTTAAACACTGAACTTCGCCTCCAATCCTCAAATGTGAGATTCTCAGGTAAGTTCAACTAAAATCATTCCTAAGTATTCATAATGTAAATTTGGATTAATGGCAAAAAATAACCGTAGTTTTTGCTCATAAAAAATTGATAATTGGCTCTTTTTTATAATAGAAAAGTGGTGACAGTCAGCTAATAAGTGTCAATTATCTCTTCATCTAAGCTTTATTTTATAATTTTAGATGTAGTGAATATATTTTAGTACGATTTTTGTGTGAGAGACTTTGCTGTCATTTGTTGCATAATGATTTTTGCATGAATCTTTTCATTTCATACTTTTCAGTTTGGTTATTGGATGCTTTATAACTTAAGACAAGTCAGATATCTTAAATTTTAACTGAATTACATTGTTTTCATCAGAAATTTCTTCTTATTGTTTGATAACGATTGTTGTCTGTCCATTTGTAATGCGCAATTTCAGTCTTCAATAATCCAATCAAAATTCCAGTCGATTTCTTAAATTTTATTGTTTGATGCATTCAGAGCTGTTCATTCTTGAAGTTAGTTCTAATTGCTGTTTTAAATCAAGATTGCTTAATAAAATAATTTTAATGATTTATCATGGTTTTTCAGTGATGAAAAACAAAAGTGGTGTTATGAATTTTGATCTCTTTGATCGGGAATCACTATTAGAAGAAGTTATATGTGCCATGACTGTATGCACTTACTATATGCCAGATCGTTTTAATCCTACTTCAATAATCCCATGTTTATTACCGCTACCTAATTCTGTGACTATCATAACTTTGGTGGGTTTTTCAGTTCTTCAAGTTGTCGAAAAATATTTTCATCTGTTAAAAAATCGAGATCTTTTTATCAGGCTTAGTAGTGAAGTATCTTACTTTCCTCGATTTTTGACAGTATTTTCTATACTAGGCTTATTTTCCAAAAAAGAATATCGTTTCTGCTACCATACTAGAGAAATCAGTTTCAGTTACTGTGTAATGTACCTGATTCGTTAGAACCAACGATAGAATATTTGTTGAGAGCATCATTGCCAGATGACGATGGTTTGGGTAAAAGCCGAAACAATTTACTCTTAAAAGTAAGCTTATCAATTATTTAATCATTGTTCAGTGAAAAGTTGTGGCGTTCATTATTAAAATCTTCAATGCTTCAGAAATATTGTAAGCAAAATCTGTTAATCAGGCTTACTAATGAAGCATCTATGTTTCTTGAGTTTTGTCAGCACGATAACAGCGGGCTGTAAAATGGGTAAATGATAAAACAGTTTTATAAGTTTTATGTTTAAATATTCGCGTTCGTCTGCTCCTTTCATTTGTTACATATTGTATTCTTGACATTTAGTTCAGGATTTTTGTTGACTGATTCAGTCTGTGACAAAAAATATGTCTTCCGAACTGTTATTGGTTTCTAGGATGTGTCTTTGTTATGAGCTATTATTAAATTAACTAATTTTTTAGACTTTTAATGCATTTGAGATTCTGATAATGAGCTAATACAACGTATTTCATTAAATCTAATATTATTTCGGTTTTGCATATGATAATTACTATTCTTCGCTTACTTTTCTCTTCCTTTTTTTACGATTTCTAAGATTTATAGTTGATTAATATAATGTTGCTGAGTTATTTTAGTTACTGTCCATGGATCCCTTCTTAGTTGAGCCAAGTATCAACGAATTATTGGATAAAAACAAAGCAAGTGATAATAGTTTGGCATTGACGATAATGTGTGTTTGTTTGAATAGTACTCAGCTGATAAATAATTTGCTTTGCGCGTTACTAAATAAACGTTCTTTGGCTGTTTTCATCCAGCGATCTTCTAACAAACCGGCTGTGAAACTTCTGCACGATCGTATTTCTGAGGCAGTCAGTGCGTATTTATCAAGGTTTGTACTGTTTTTAAATTGAAACATAGTTAATCTCACTATATTTTTACCTAGCAGGGAATAACTAAATTTTCCGCTTCTAGAGCTCTCAAAATGCTGAATCTGACACGTTGTATGGGTAAAACTCAATGTTTTCATTATTATTTTGTTTTAAAGAAATGTCATATTAATTATGTTCAGCTCTTTCTTCTAGGTTTTCCTTTTTGCTGATCCTGTTTTCTAAGATGTGCCGTTCTGTGACATAGTTTTGTGATAAATTGTCAGGGAAATCTCCCCAATAAAATTTATTGCAAAACTAATAAAGTTAAATTCAAAATGTTTAAAATTAAATGCATAATCTATGAATTTTTTACTGCAGTGAAACATGTGATGGCATGGAAGCTGCTCTGGCTCAGTTATTAGCAGTTCTTCGAATCAATGCTGGAATTCGTTTGAGTTATGATGAGACAAAATCCTGGTTGTTATTCCTTACTCGCACAGAATTAGATGATGATCAATATGTAATGACTGCATTGTCAGTCATCATTGCTTGCCCTCAGTTAATCCCGTATGTTTTTGTTCATTCATTCAGTCACTTATCGATATATGCATCATTAGTTTCGAGTCATAGTAATTTCAATTAACTTGGAAAAAATATTGGTGAACTTTTCAAACTTTAATTTAGACTAACTAGTTTTTCTCTAAATTTTAAAATAGTTTTACTATTTTGGTTCAGTAGTATTTTGTAAGTCGCAGCACAAGATAAAAAGAAAGGCAGCATCATTGTATTCATCGAAACATTGATTTCCAAGGATGCATCTCGGTGATGAAAAAGAAGTTGAAGCTGCAATTATAGCATTTTTGGATTGGCTTAAACAGCGTGCATCATCTAATGCTTCTCCAGAATTACAGCAGTTCTTTATTTTACTCTCAATCCATTTGCTTGCGGGGCAAAGCGAACAACTTGCTACTCTTGTTTCCAGTGTTCTCTCTTTGAAAGTTATTTTTTATGCTCTTCTAAGCAGATTCATTCGACTGTAACACTTGAAATTGATATTGAATTATTTGTATAATTTTGCTTAAGGTTACTGTCAATGTTCGAAATCTCACGACATTGAAGAATCTGTTTTTACGTCACGCATTGACTGAAAGGGATATAGTTGAACGAGCTTCACAAATGCAGGTCACTCGTTCTCTCAATTCTCACCATCAAGGTTTTCTACCCGCTCACTGTATTACTCAACTTCTCTCAACTAATTCGTTCTCGAAACATTCGGTTCCTATTCAGGTCTGGTACTGTTTTTGCTATTTCAAAATCCTTGGGATTAAAAGCGAAATTATTTTTTAATTGATATTGACAGTAGTTTTTCAGTATTTTGTTAATCTTCTTTGAGCACAATAAATATTTTTCCTAAGCCTGATATCTTCATTATTATTAGTTGTTTATCCATGGTTTTACTTCTTGATGCTAAATGGAGGGAAGATTAAATGAAGCATGAAATTTACATATTTATTTGTAGTATTCATTAATTTTCAAAAATCTAATTTTTTCCAAACTTTTTGCGAAATTTTTTTAATTGTACATTTTTTAATTCAAAAAATCAGTTTGAAAAAAAGGAAAATTTTTCCAAAAGGCTTTAAAAATTATGAAGTAGTTATAGTCTTTGGTTTTTATTTACAGAATTGGATTTGTGAACAAATCCTGAACTGCACAACACCATTACATCCTGTGATAACGGATTTGTTGAATTCATTTGCTACCAGCTGTTTTACTGCTACTGAATTGAGTTTACCGAATCAACCGCTTTCTGAAGAATTCATTTTGGTATTGCGAAAGTTTCCTAGTTATTAATATTGGAGATTAAAAGACTCGCGTGCAGTTATGAAGAGCCTTATTCCATCTAAAATATAAGCTATATTCATTTTTTCCACTTTTCATCTGATTTTTGTCTATCATATTTAGTCGCTTGTTAGTTCAAAATTCTGTTAAGAAAATTTGGTTTCTTCTAATCACTTCCGATCGTTTGAAATTTAAATTATTCACGTAAATAGAAACCAGTCATATTATGGGACCTTTGTAGTAATCCCTCCTCATTGAAAAATTAGTTTCTCAGCACACGTGTCGTGTCATTTTTGCGAGTGAGAAAGGTGAAATGAGTTTTGAATATCTTGCATTCTAAAAATAGGATAGCAAAGATCATCATATTTTTTGGTTTTTAGTAGAATCAAGATTTATTTTACTTATTGAGATATTTAGTGTGGCATCTTTATACTTCGGAGCGAAAAAAAAATTGTTAGAAGTCTTTGAGTCGTCCACAAACTTTTTCAGGACTTGTTTAGTGGTGAAATTATGGATAAAAATAAAATGGTTGCACGTTTGCTCACATTCTATTTCCTTCTTTGTTATCGGAGAAGCTTCGAGAAACAGACAACGAAAAATGTCGTGTACTATTATAGGTATTTCTACCCTTTTTAGTAATTCAGTACTTTTCATACTTTTGAACTATAAAATTTTTTCGCGCAGTTATCAGAGTAAATTTGTTAATAAATTTCGTGAGCATTGAATTATGGTTGTTCAAGATGTGTATGAGAATTTAGCTTAAAAACGCTTTCAGAAGCATTTGCAGTCATCTGATTTTATCACTTATTATTTTGATTTTGACATGTTTCCGATTTCTTTAGCTCCGAACTATAGATTTTCAAGTTATTATTTACAAATATGGAACTTTTGTAGTAGTAAAGTTGAAGCGGTCTTACCTGTGAGACTCTTGTTATCTGTTGTTGATGCTCGGCCGGAACAGTTTCGCACTCTTCGTTCACCACTAGTTCTTTTGTGCGGTCAGTATTATCCTTATATGTTTCCAGCTGTTGGTTCATCACTATTAAGCATGGATTATGAACTGAATAATCGAGATTGCAAAAGCAATGCATAGTAAGCAATTATGGTGTTTTAACCAGCTCCATTTATCTTAAATGAGATTGTTTCTTATTACTGTAATGGTAATTTCGTGTTAATTGCTCCTGAGCAATTATTACAGAATTCTGAATCTTTAAGTACTGTTAGTTCAAATAAGTCATTTCGATCAAAACGTTAACTGATAATAAACCTAAAGGAATGATAAATTATGTTAAGCAAGGACAGTTCGTTGTCAGTGGATCTTCTTTTCAAAGTTTTCAACGAAATCAACGAAAATCCCGGTCATTCGTTGCGTTACATGCGTTTACTTTTTAAAAGTCCACTTCGTATACAATTGCAAGCAAAAAATGCTATTATACATGCAATGGCTGTTGCCTTAAATTCCCCAACTCCTATACGCTTTGCGAAAGGAGCTGTAGCAATTTGGAAACGATTAGAAAACATTATTCCGAGATCGCTTTGCGAGGTTTGTTTTCCTTCACATTATTTTTTCGTGGAAGAGGTCTTAATGGTAATGGGTTCCTTTTTACCTTTTAAGAGTGATATTTTTTGATTTTTTAATAATATTTTTAATATTTCCTGTACAGATATACAGTAAGTACTCTATTGCTTGTTAGCAGTGTTCGTTTTTGTCATATCTGCTTTTGTTGAGTAAATTCATATTTATATAGAACTCGCTTTCTTATTTGGATTTTTTGTGCAATCTAGTATCACTCCATAATCCTAATTTTGGATTTAATTTGTTTTCTGCCTTCTTAGTTTTTAAAATTTTCAGTCCACTGTTATGGCATGGTGTACCGATAAACTAAATCATGACATGCTGGTTGAGCAGCCATTGTTTTTGTTTCGATGTGATGAACGATTATTTGAAAATGAGATTTTATTTCCATGTTATTTACGGATTTTGTCATTTTATTTGTCCGCTAGTCGAGCTTGTTTATTACAGAAATTGCATAATAATCCGGGAGAAAAGTATTACTTATAGTTTCGAGTTATTCATAATTTTAACCTTGGGTAATTTATCAAAATATTTATCGTAGTTGATGATTTTCTGATTATACGCTTTTAAATTAGGTCACCATTATTTATAGAGAAGAACAGCGAGCAGAACGCGAAGAGTTAACGCGCTCATTAATTGGTGCTCAGGATTCCGCAACTGTGCAGATTTTGCTGGAGATATGTGAACGCTACAATAACTCCAATGTTCATCGCCTTTGCTGCGCATTTATACATCAAATGTTCATTGCTGATCCAGTCCTGTCCAAACTGGTTCACTTTCAGGTTGTGATTGATCATAATTTTCAAACTACAAAATTTTTTTAACATTATGGTAAAAAAACCTCCAAATTAATAAATTTTTCTAGTTAATCCGGAAAACATCCGAAGAAAATTTTTTGGTGGGAGTGATGAACATTTCCCAGTATATTGCTGTTTGAAATATTAAAACCATTTTGTAGTTCAATCCCTGTAAGTGAATTGCGTGATTATTTCTAATAATCATCTTTCTTTATTTCGACGATTTGATGCCTCAACTGTCACTAAAAATTTATTAATCATAATGACTTTGTAAATTGTTGCAAGTTTGTCTATTAAAATGATTTGTTAATTTACAGGGTTACTCTCTTAATTTGATTCCACTTGCCGTGCGAGAAATACCATCAATGCACATATGTCTGGAATTCGTTCATGAAATTCTAGCATTATCTGATATGTCGAAGCGTGTATTTGCTATTGTTCTCATTGCAGAACTAGCACTACAAGTATTCATTTAAAATCATGAACTTATGTAGGCTTCCAGAATCTCATCACTACACACTGTAGTAACTTTTGTTCTAGTTGTAATATTTATATGTTTTAATCACTAATAATGTTTTAATTTCAGTACAAAATAGAATCCTCATTCATTCGAGTGGAATTGGTGCTAGATGTGTTGACTACTTTATCGCGTGCTGTGAGTGCTACTGAAAATTTGGTGCTTTTGTCGAAAACTGCACCATCTTTAGGTCGAATGATGTCGATTTTTCCTCAGATATCAGCAGATATAGCAAATCTTCTGATACGTACTTCTGCTGTTGCAGTTTCACGAATGGCTCTTTCAGCAACTGTGCTGAAGACTGAATCATGTTTGGAAAGGCGTCTGATCACATTAATTGGCAATATTCTTGCTCAGGAAGCATCTGAAGTAGCCTTTCTTTCAGCGAAGTCATAGAAGGCGATAAATGATTTTTATTGCTCTAGTTTTATACCCTTTGATGTTTTTAAAATACATGTTTTGACTTTACTTACATATCAATATTGATTTATTATTTCTGGTAATGTTTTATTTAAATTTCTCCAAATGATTCAGGAAAGAAAAACTTCAGTTTGTATTTGAAACAAACCTGGTGAAAAAATCATATAGTGAACAATTTTCAACTGGTGAATATAATAAATACTTAGGACATTTGTTTATATGACAGGATATAGTGTAATATAGTTTTCATATCATTGCGTTTTCCACAAATGCAAATATTATTGGTATGATGTGTGGAAGTAATTACGGCTAGGATTTTTTAAATATACTTTTCTGATAAATTTCTCTGGACTTTTTTTTAACGTTTCGAAAGGCATTGGCATACGTATTTCAAAATTAACGAAATTTGTTGTGAAAAATTTTCGTCAGGTTTATTGTTGTACTATCCTATTTTTTATTATTTTGCATGATGTTTGCTGTCTCTACGTACGAGTGTTTCTGAGGTTTCTGCGTTACAATGAAGCTAATAATTTAAGCTTGTGTGCTTCAATATTTATGATGGCAAAAATTTTAGCAAAGATCATTTCTGGTTTTTATAAGGAGTCAAATTTGCATCATCTTCTCGGTTTTTTATCGTTCATGGCGGGCTGCATTTTTTTGCTCTAAGTTTACAATTATATTCTTCGAACATAAAGTTGAAGTTGTGACTGTTTAAACTAGAAAGGTTTGCGAATTTCCGATATATTGCTACCAATATGTTTCAGAAAAGTAAAATTAGTAGATGAATAAACCGCTGGCACGAACCTGTTAGGTATGATGTGCGACATCTGGTTTTTTCAAACAAGTACAATTAGAAATTGTGCTGTTGTGGAAATCATTTTATTTTATCCAAATGAAAATAAACTCTCATTCTGTATAGAATTTTGCGTGAATAGGGAATCGGTCATTCAGCTCAAATATTCAAAAATATTTGTTAGACCTTGTCGAAATAATTTTCCCTCATAAAATTTTCTTCAGTGATCGCAGAAGTATTTGAGTTGTAGAGATTATTAACCATTTCGTAGTTACAACTTCAAACAATTTTTTCAAATTTTATTATATTGTTTTCTTTCCTTTGAAAATTGTTTTTTTAATGATCAATGAGACTAAATACAATCAGTTAAGAGAAATTTTTTACGAGAAAATTAATTTCAGGTATCGATGTCGATTTGTGTACATGCGTCATTCCTTGATATCAGACTTCGTGATAGCTCGGAGTCGCCACCAATAATTTGATCAATATCAATTTCAGAGTAGAAATTGAAATTTGATGTAAGAAATGACCCTGGTACCGCGGGTTCATAGTAGTCGTACTCGAGGTCATTCTCTGTATTAAATGATGACGATGAATGCCCGTCATTTCGTGGTGTGATTTGTGGTGAGTGGGTTGATCGCGAACTCCAAAATATACCTGAAAATAAAATATGATTGTAAATGTGGTATGAATTTTCAAAAAGTTGTTGGAAATTATATGATTTCAAAATGTCTTAGAAATGAGGTGGGGAGGGTGAAGGATGGGTAACGGAAGTAGGCCTTTTTTTTCGTTACCTGTGACCTGTGATATGACCTATTTTACATATGGAAAGTGTATAAGTTATATTTTTTGATTCTCTTTCTTGTAACGAAAACTACGCTAAAAGATGAAATTACACGCAGCAAGAATTGACTGTGGCATTGAATAAGCAGTCTTTAATACTTCAAATTGCATTCACAAAGTTCACGACAAAATTCATTATTAACCAAAACCTTACAAGTCATTACTTTTGTAGCAAATGTTGATTTCAAAGTTCTTCAGTGAAGTACAATATTTTGTACAAAAATGTATGTTATAAAAATTACATAGTTTAAAAGTAACCTCTGTATCGCGGATAACGTGGAGTTGAGCAAGCAGAAAGCTGTATGCCGATAGAACGTTTCGTGACAACATTTGGATTCGACGGAATTTCCGTAATATCCGTTTCTTGGGATCGTATCATATTGATATCGAATCTGAAAGAAATACCAAATTCAAGCATCAAAATTACTAACAAAAGTTAATAGTAATTTCAAAGTTGAAAAGAATTACCTTGACTCTCCTAATAATTTATGAACATATTGTTGTCGAGTTCGTCGAGTATCTTTTTTTTGTACAATTAGTATTGTAAGATGAGCGCATAGAAATGGTGGGAGTAATGTAATTACGATACAAAAAAAGGCTATTGATAGAAACCACCACATAGAATGTAGATTACGTGGATGAAGTGCGTGATCGTCTAAAAATCCTGATGTGATGCCTGGTAGGGCCATATCAGTTACTGCAATACAAACATGTTAAATCTTCAAAAACAAAAAAGAAACGTATAATTTGCAGATATTATTCTTAAATAAGGTTTTAAAAAAGTATTCTGAAACAAGTACTATAAACATATTTAGTTGTTAATTAAATGTATTAGTTATATTGCTATCAACAATTTCAGTTCAGTTTCAGTCAATACATAATTCCATCGTGAAAAATAAATATTTTCGGAGAATTCGAATATGAATTCTGTACCTTAACTATACTTTGATATCAAATCAGGAAGTAATTTCAAGCAGACTCTCTAAAGTACAGATAAGTATCTCACTGTGATGGTAGCACGTTACTATGTTCATCTATATGATTGCAAATTCAGAACTGAATGAATTTCAAGATTCAAGCATGAAAAATGTAAAAAGTTTTAAGTCAGCGCGATGATATCACTTGAATTTGAAAATTAACAATCAAAAATTAACATATTTTAGTAAATGGCTTATCAGGATGGAGTGTGTTTTTCTTTTGATGAATTGAATCTTAATTTTCCATTAAAGGGTATGGAGTGCAAAATTTTTCTTATTATTCAAAAAATGTGAGAAAGATTAAATTATGGAGATGCAATAGTGCAGTGTAAAATGACTTACTATTTTGCCACTCGAAGCTTATTTCTAACCCAGAATCAGTGCTTGAATACGAGTTGTTAATATCCATTAAAGAAATAACAAAGTAATCTTCATTAGCGAAAAACAAACTATCGTTAGGGACTACTTTTTGCGTTTCAGAATCATACACTAATTCCTGAAATGTGCGAGGAATGCTTAATTAACAAAGTAATTAAGTTTAATTCCTTCATACTCATTTCAGATATTCAAGCAAGTTTTCTGCAAAAAAAAGATAATAAATAATGAAAATTTAGCTTGAAATACAAAGTCCTTTTGCTGCTAATCCTTTTTAGTACTGAAAAATAGTAATTTAATCAATTCTAGTATTTTCATGATGTCAATCCATCAAATAGCTACTTCTAATTATAATCAAAATCGAAGAAAAATTTAATACGAACTTATCATAAGGTGTTGTGCAGTCAGTAAATTTTATACAAAACAAACCTCCTTTTTCCATCCACGATAAATTTTCATACGTAATTTGTTAATTACCAATGACGAATAAGTTAGTTTTAAATATAAAAATCTTCCAGATGGCTTTAATATCCAGTCTGTCATGTTTCCACACGTACGAGCAAAAAATCTACCCTTTTCGTTGCTAAGCAGACAACCACAGAGGCAGTTACTGTTACTTGTATTAATTGCTACAGTGCTTGTTTCTGAAACTTTAATTAGGACAATAATTGAGAATGTAGACGATAATTTCGGATTTCTCTTCAGATCATAATAGCTTTCCTTTGAAAATCTGCTCTAGTTAATCCCAAATGTAAGTGCGTAGCACTTACCTTTAAGTTTTAAAGTTTGAAAAATAATTAGTTTTTTGGAGAAATAACATTACAAACACTGACCGATACAGTGGCTGGTAAAACACATTTGTCTTTGAACAAATTCGCCTTTACATGAATTTCCTCCATTTTTAGGAATTGGCGAATCGCATAAGCGCCATCTTCTCTGTAAGCCATGACCACAAGTCACGGAACACGTGTTCCATGGAGACCATTCGCGCCAACCACCCTCAATTTGTCCTACTGTAAAATTACTTGAATAATTATTATTCATTATGACTGTTTTTGTAAAATACATCAGTGATATTTATTTTGCTCTTTGATCAACTAAGACAAGATTACTTTAGATCAAAACCATTAAACTAATTACAAAAAGTAGTCACCTTCATTTATTTGTATTCATTTACTGTACAACTCACAGCCAATTAAATTGTCAAAATTACTCAAATTATTTGCATGCAATGATTTACTAATAACAATCAGAAAGCTTATTATCTAGCACTACAAAACTTTTTCATAAGATTATTTATTGAGCTCATGCAGAAGAATACGCTTTCATCAGTAATAACTTTCATTGTCAAAAGCACTCAATCAATCAGATACTGTAATTATGAATTTCAGTACTACATTTGTTAATCCAAAGAGTAAGAAGGAAACTGTATTGCCCGTAAATAACTTGCAAAGATTCTCCTCTTCATTTTGCTTTCTTTCTGAAGAATTAACAAATAATAATTAATGATTATAACGTGAGTAACACATTATGAGTAGTTGTGATGACAATCCTTATTATTGCTATAATTATTATTTATTATTATTATTTATATTATCACTATTATTATAGTCTTGCGAAGCTGATTTTCAGTACAGAAAGGAAACAATAGAGCAAATAATTGCTTTTCTTGATTATATGCCATATGTCTTCGAATTTTTGCCGTTGAAAAATAAAATTTGCGCTTATTTCTTGTTTCATTCACACTTATACTAATAAAGTTTTCATTATCTTATCACAATAATGAATAAAATATTAAAAATTTAATTTAACAATTTGCTCATATATTTTTGGATTAAATTTTATCACAAATATTTGTATAAATTAATAGAAATGAAATTCTATTCCCAAAAAAAATCGTAAGAGAATATTTTTTTTAAAACTTAAAACTTAATTTTACACATTATATACACATAAAATTATAATGAATAAATTCAAATTATCACTTTGGACTCTTTTTTACGTGTCATTTATCTTCCATAACAATCTTCAGATTGATACGATTATCTAATATTCATCATCACCACGGTTTCAAGAAAACGTGGAAATTATAAAAGCCTTACAGCTACTGAATTTTTGTGAATACAAAAAGCATTAACACTTATGTCAATAAATAGAAAGAAAATAAATAACACAAACTTGAGTTAATTATTTGAAATTTGATATTAAAATTTGCAGTGGAACACTGAAATTATTTAAAAAATAAGCATTAAAAAGAGAAAAATTCGATAAGTAGCGCTCATTTTTACGTGCGTAACGCTTAATTACGCTGATTAAAAATTCACACAATGAACACTAACGTACTATTTTGGTTTTTCCACAGATCTAATTAATAAGCACAGAAATTAAAAACTTTTTTGCAAAAAAAGTTGATCCACAAGTATTGAATTTTTTTTAACTCACGAAAGCATGAAAAATATAATAAAATTATTCAATTAAGTAATTGATAATTTTTTGCGCTGAAAATTTATTTTCATAGAAAGATTAGTTAGTATACTATGAATGCTATAATTGTCTAGAAGCTTTTAAAAAGTAGTCGTAAGTCAATAAGAGAGAATTCACATTCATCTAAGCTAGACTTAATTATCTTTGTATGATATTATAATTAGATAAAGCATTCATTTCTCGTATTTGCATGTATTAGCAGTGAAAAATCTATACAGCCTTATTTAATTATCAAATCCATATTTGTTGTTCGCTCACAAAAACACGTCAGGTCACGCAGTTTCTACTGTTAAATTGCTTTTCATTGTCATTAATTTAAAAATGACTGCACAATTATAAAACCAAACTTAAGAACTCTTACTACTTTCTACTTGAACTCATATAATCAAGCTTGCATCTGAATGCTAGCAAATAACCGTTGTGCTTCAATATTTCTGGCATTTTTCGCATTATTAACATTTTTTGATCACATTTATTTGTAGAAAAATTACAAAAATATTTTCCTAAATTTGTGATAAATTTATAAAATATATGCATAAGTAACTAAAAGGTACAAAAAATTTGCCATTCTGGCATTAAAATTATATAAAATTAATTTTATGTCATTTTTACTCTGCAATTTGCTACTAACTTATAAATTAAAGACATAAGTAGCTAATAGTAGTCAAATTCGCTAATTAAAATACAGAAATAACAAAAAATTTTATGAATATATGTGCATCCATTTCTGCACACTAACTTTTATCTACTCTTTACTTATTAATATATGTTTGGTTCATTAAAATATGCATACTTATTCCAATATCACACAATGAAAAGTAAGAGTTACTCATTACTTACAAATATTGAATTTTTGAATTCTACGCAAGATGATATATTGCGTTACTTATTCGCAATTATTAATTATCGTTATGTTATGGCAAGCACTTCTGATGTCTCACATCCAAAATTATTTTTACTTATAATGCTATGAATTTTGTATTCATTTCCATCCAAATATCATTCTGCGCAAAAACTTACTGTGAATTTTTTAATAATTTTTTCAAAAAAATCATTTTTTAACTTTTTTGGACGATTATTAAAAGGTCAGACAACAATTTTTGAATATTTCAAAGCAAAATTAATTGTTAATCGAAAAGCATTATTTCTACTAGTATGTTCAGAAAAAAACTTACAAATTAGTAATGCTACTAAAACATATCGATTAATAATTTATTTATTAAATTTAAATATATTTATAAAAAATTTCGTGATGTATTCATTTATTGTTCAATTCTTCAAACTATAAACGATGGAATTACAAGTTATTAAATGAATACAAGTAAAAATAATTTCCTAAGTCAGTTTACCAAAACATTACAAATTACTTGATATCAAACCAAACTTTCTTTACTTATTTGAAATTGTAATTCATTATACATAATGCAATTTATAAGTTCATAAGCATACTTTAATTTAAATGAATTTCTATTTTGAATAAATATGATCAAACAGGAGAAGTTGAATTAAATAGTATTTGAGATGAATGAAGCTTATATGCAAATTTTGTTTCAAAGAGGTAATAAGCTATTGCGGACCTAATTACATTGTGCTATAATCTGCATGTAGACTAAAAGTAATTAGTAAGTATACGTGAAAGTAATAAATATATTTGTAAAGTGAAAAATGTAAGATAAGATAAACAATATTGTTTTTATTTAATTACTCGCTATTTAAGTGAGAGATAAATATACGGATGAATAGATATCTGTTTGAATAACACGATGAGTAGACAAAGAACGAGTTTGTCTATGAAGATATAATTAAGACTAGTCTTGATGAAAGATTCTAGAATGTTATGAAAACCATGTGGAGAATACGTTTTTCAAGCAAAAACAGCAATGTTATTGATAATCAGAACATGTATTATAATGATATTAATGTTAGTGATGATAGTTTACTGGTGCTTTAAGTTAAAACAGACAACCAAATAATTTTAGTCATTCATTTTTGCAAAGTTAAAATGCCACAAATATAAATGAAATAACGAAAATGAAATTTAAACACTATAAAAATTAATTTTTTGATTCTGATTTTTCACAGACTTTAGAAAAGTAGTCTTATGCAAATATATATATAAACTTTTACTAAAGCAAATATAGTTAATACTTAGAAAGTTTACTTACAGTTTTCTGCATATGCACACTTTAGGGACCATTCGTTGAATCGAGCGGTAGCTTTTTGTATTGATACAATTTGAAAACAGAATTGCGCGTAAATGATATCAAACTGATAACACGGCAATTCTAACGCTTGTTGAGATAAATCTGAAGTTATTGCAACTGAGAAGTATAGTATTTGAGTAATCTAAACATTCTTTCAAATCTTACCAGTTAAATGAATTGCACAAAAATTTACGCCTCACAGGCATTTACAAAGCAAATATTTGATACATCTTTTTTTTAATTATGGGAAATGAAAAATATTTCAAAAATTGAAATTTTCTAATTCTATTTTTTTAATTCTAAGAAAGTGATAATATATGTCGTATGTTGCGGATTTCGAGATACTTTCAGCTTATTCTCATTTGTCTTAAAACTGAGCTCAGTTATAGTTGTACATTGAGTTTAAATACTCAAATACTTAAATAATTGATTTCAGTACTTTTTCCGAATTAAGTAAACATTCAGGAGTTCTATATTATGCTACTTGGGCAATTTTTTATTTTTATCTTCGAAATCTATCTTTGCAAAATAGAGATATGTAAAAATTTCGAATTGAAGAAATTTAAACACTAAATAATCAATCAGACATTTACTTCTACTTCTTTTTGCTATCATTATTTAGCTAAGTTTTATTTTATTTTGGTAGAAATATATATTTGAGTGAAACGAACACGTTAATTTCAGAGAACACGTCTCTGAAAATACGTGGAGATAATGTATTGACTTTAACTACTTATATTTACTGTCAAATTTCTGACACGCTTTACTGAAAACGAAAAAGTTTAAATTTTTAAAATTTTATCAAAATTTTCAACAATCTCAAAGTTTTGATTAAATCGTATTATTTACTAACTGTTATAAGGCAAAAGTGAAATTGACACTTTTATAAAAATATTTGGAAAATTGTTAAAATTTGACACAATTCACGTGTATGCGTTTGAATGGATTTAATTAGAATCATACAACAATATGGGTTAAAGATCGGTCTGCACTGAAAAAATGAGAAGCAAATGAAGCGTGGAAAGACTAGGAATCATATTTGTGGCTGGGTAGATCAATTAATTCATTTATTCATCCATGTATTGATTAAATTGCTGATTGATTGATTGATTGATTTGTTAATTCATTCGTTCATTCATTCATTTTTAATTTATTCACTCATCCACTGAATCTATTTATTCGTCCAACTTAAATCTTTTTGCCTGACCAAAAGCATCCCTAAGAAACTACCAGTGAATTATTTTCCAGAAGCTCAAAGCAATCTTTAATCACTTTTCAAATGTGCACCAAGTCGACTAATTCTCCGCAAATCATTATCTAGTCTGTTTGCTTACTTCGACCTTGCAATCTTTTTCCCGCTCAAACGCATTCAATTCCTTCTCGCATAAATCTTTTTCTCGCGCAAATGTCGTTAGTTACCTTTAAGACTAATTTTCTTTTGATTTGTATCGTCTTACTACCTTCCAACTACCTCTGCCTCGCACGCAATTAGATAGATTAGTTTTTATCTTAGTTCAGTCTGAAAATTTGTACAACTTCACGTGCTTTAAGATCTCACCATACGTCATCTTAAATTCAAAAGTCTAAAAAAACTATTAAAAAAAGTGTTGGTAATAATAATTCAAAGTTTTATTGAAATTGTGTGCTAACCGATATCATATTCTTCTACGTAGTATGACTGCTCAAAGTTAAAACCTTCAGGAACAGCAAATATCCGCATCTTAAATTCCAGATTCGGGATGGCACAGGATAAGTTAGTCCACATAATTTTTAAGTAATCCAAGCAGTGAGGGAAAATGTGCGGTCTGGAAAGAAGAATCGAAATTTTCTCCGTTGGTGCGATTCTCAGCGTTTTGCTTACCTGAAATTTATGATAGATTAGCTTAAATCAAATTTTATTTAAGGAACAAAAATTCAAGCCACTTTTCTTTCATTTCTGTTTGAACACGAAGTTTGTTTCGATTTAATTTGATTGCCTAGCTTAAATAAGCTAATTTCTTAAAGTAAGAAGCTAGCTTATTAAGCTTAGCAATCAAATATTATTTGTCTTTCAAAAACGATGCAACTTGCCATAAAGTTCATTCTTTCCTGCAAAGCTTTCGTTATTTTTGATTGATAAATTTATGCAAATTACAAGTGATTTTGTCTCTTTTATCGAATAATTTTACATTTTCAAATATGAGCTAAAAAATTTTTTTTTCAGATCTGAGCTAAAATTTTTTTAAATCTGAGCTTCTATTCTAAAATAGTTCTCAAGAAAAAAAGAATCATGTGACTGCAGACAATAAACTTTTGCAGATTATTAGCTACCGATGTCTCGAGACATGCTCATGAAGTTCTTCTATCACTGATTTATTTTAAGGTACTAAAAATATGAATGCTAGAAATAAAAATTTAATACAACTCTTCTCAGTTGGAAATTTGAATATAAAATGCCACTCAAAAAATGCTTTTATGTAGTGGCCTTTAAAGGCAAGTATTAAACGTTATTTGCATGAATAAGTTTGCTGATTAAGTGCCAATGCTAAAATTGTTTTAAAATACATAAAATTATGAAAAAACTCAACGTTGCCTGAAAATAATTTTGTCCAGTTTTGATTTATTAAATATTCAAATCATTCGAAACACAATTTAGTACATTCATTTTTTAGCAGTAATCGCTTCAAAATACTTCCAAAGCTGACGGAGTAGTTATTAGTTGAATAATGCTTAACGCTTGAATTAAATGAACTTCCTCGCCTCCCTCCCATAAATTAGCAAAATAATAATGATAGAAGGAGTCGGAGTTCACTAGTATCTTCATTTCTTATGCATGGATAGAAATTTGATCGTTTTTCAGTTTTATGTTTGATATAGAAAGTAAGAATAATAAGTCTTAATTGATCAGTACATTTTTTAAAGTAATTTGATCCTCACTAGTCTTATTAAGGTAGATATAATGAAGATACTATTTAAAATTTGAGATCATAAGTGCTAACACTAATATTTCTGATGGGATGGATATCAGCAGGTTTAAGATTTGTATGACTTTGGATTTCATGATTATTTATTTATGCATTTGACTCCTATTAACAGAATATAACATTTATAAAAGTTTCAATCATAGCTACAAAAAAGAATCCTTTTATTTAAGTTATTTAATATAAGTAAAAGGAATAATAGTTTAGAAGAATCGAACTTGAATATTATAAAAGCTCAGCGATAAAAAAATTTTATAATTAAATTCTGCTGCATTGGCTTACAAAACTTTCGTTGCGTAAACAGATCTCACATTTGAATATACCAGTTGATTCTTTGAGCGATCTGATGAATATCAGATAAAATTGCTCTTTATGTATTTAGCAGGCATCCGCAATAAAAGCTTAATAAATCAAAACTGATCACAAAAATTTGGTATAAGTTTTAAGCATGACCAACCTGAATAATCGAGTCACCATTGATAAGAGCTATCCGGTAAATGCCCGGAAGACAAAAATGGTAACATGAAAATGTTATTGACTTCTTGTATGGTACCTCAAGTTCGTTCGTAAATTTGAGATCATTCTCTTTTTTGCTATTTATTTCTAGACTAAACTGTAATCGAACAGTTAAATTTAATTCAGTACAAAAATAATTATGATTAAAGTCAATCTGTAATGATTTACAAGGAATTGGATCTTTCGGTACGTTCCAAAATTCTTGGCTTGAAATAACAGCAAATTTTGTTATTAACTTGTTATCAATTAGCAGTTCGTACTGATCAGAAGGGAATGCAAAACATTTGCATGGAATCGTTGCATTTCCCATTATATTCAGTGAGCAGATGGACTGATTCAGATAGCGAATACGTAGAAAACTTGCTTGTGAAGTATGAAAATGTACTGCAGTAAAAAGTGAAACTTTCTGAGGAAAAGTAAATTTTCGTGAAGAATCATTACTTTTAGGCGAATAATTTGAGATAGAAACAGTAATACTTACATTAGTCGTTACAAGAAGTAATATAAATAAAGTTAGCCATAGAGGTATATTAGGCATAACAACGCATCTACAAGAATCTCGTTGATTGCATTTGGATTATATAAGACATAAAATTGCGATTAAGAATTAAGTCAAAAATTCAGAAATTATGCAAATTTTAATTTGCTGAAAATGGCACTAATTAAAAAAACAGAAAGTAAGTAAGTTTATTCTTAATAATCGGTAAATTTGAGTAATAAAAGTGGAAATGGAATTAAGATTTCGATTAGCTTCCGGGAGTATATTGAAATTCAATTATTTTTGCCATTAACTTTTATTGCAATTAGTCATTAAACAAAGTTTATTCTTTTTTCGAGCACAAATTACTTGATAAATTGATCTAACAATTGCATACTTATTTAAAGAATGCAAACTTGAAAATTTATTCTAATTACTAAAAATTTTTATTACAATTTTTTGTGAAAATTACAAAAATTATAAAAGATGACAAATAAAAATTGACAGGATAAAATTTTATTAAATATACAGAGTCAATGAGCAGCCTAAAAGTAATAGAAGCGGTATTAGTGCTTCTGGAGCTGACAAGTGAAGAATCATTGAAGAATAAGACGGAGAAGGAATCTAGCAGTGTCGTGTTTAATTAAATACAACGACTGCTTGGTTGGACAATGCAATTGAGACGTTTGATGTGATGGGTTGGGCTAGGCTAAGCTAGGCGGGAATAGACTGAATTATGCTAGAATGGTTTAAGTTTGCCATATAGAAATTTAGAGCTTAAGCTAAGCAAGCTAGCACTGCTTCTAGACATGCCACAGAGAGTTAATTTTCTTTAACTAACGTGAGTGTACGCCTTTTTCAAAATTTTTAAAAAACCTGAAAAGAAAGAATAGATATAAGTGAAGTTGAATAACAATTATCTCTTATTGTTTTATTTTCTATTCATTGCAAATTTGTCTATTTTTTAAATTGCAATTAAACTTGCACAATTTCCTGAACTTTAGGATATATTTTAAAAATAATTTCGAAGAATTTCTTTGCTAAAATTTTTTAAACAAATAAGGTCAGCTCAATTAATGGATGAAATTAATTAATGATGATTAATTATTGACAACTTATTTGCGAGCTTTTTTAAGATTTGACTTGCTAGTGCAAGCAAAGGTCAGTATGTAGTGGTCATCTGCTTATTGGTCATTACAATAATAATTGGTTGGCTCAAGTGTAAAAATGTAAATAGTAATGAACTAAATGTAAAATTTTTGACTATGTTATAATGATAACGATTGTTATGTTAGTGGTATGAGTACGTTATAATAATAATTGTTATGTCGTAGCCTTGCAGTACAAAGATTTATCCTGGAGCAAAATAAAATTAAACAAATTGAGCATACCTCGAGATATATAGATATCAAATGCTGCATTAAGTGATTATTCAAGATAATTATAGTAATATTCAACTTAATAAGAATTTTTTTGACCATAGAGGTTAAAGGTTATTATATATTTTAATAAAATGAGAGCTAATTTTAAAAAATGAAAAAATTGTGTTCATTTTAATAACTTTCATCAGATAACAATTTTAAAAACTGGAATACTTGGAAATCACCTAAATTTTGTCTTAAAATTAAATCGCCAAATTTGACGATTTTGATTTTCGGTTTAAAAATTTAGTTTAATGAATGTAAACTATGCTTGTTTCTCCAGTAGACAGGCCGTTTATTTTCATTAAGTAATATTATTAATAATACTGGCATAGTTAATTAAAAAGTATGAATTCCTTATGTAAAAAAGGATAATTTGAAAAAGAACAAATTGAATTCTGATATCGTTCAACTCATCCATTATGTTTGCTTGACTGAATAAAAATAAACATTGTTTTCCAGTTGATACTGAAATAAATGCATAATATTGCATTACTAATCATTCAGTCATTCAGTGAATGGATTGAGAAATGCAAGACTGAATTAAAAATTTGAAAATTGTAAAAAAATTGTAGATAAAAATTATTTGGCTAAGTTTAAAAAGAGATTATTAATGTGAAAATGAATCCAAGCAAATTAAAAAAAAGGCATATTCAATTACATGCAAAAGCAAAAGTGGTAAGTATTGAATTTATGCTGAAACTGGACTGTATAGACTGAACTGAATGGACTGGACTGGACTGGACTGGATAAGTTTGGGCTGACCAAGAGTAAATATAATGATGCTAAACCACTTTATTGGCTAGTTGAAGCTTTCAGCCAAGAAAATGATTGAGTGAGTGGATGACCAATTAATTGGATTAGATAAATTAGGATATATCTGCGCGATAATTTCATTACCATTCATCACTTTTCAACAACATTTATAGTGTTATAATTTTTACTCCCAGTCCAATTCCTATAATTGTTACATTTGATAGATTTGTTAAAAAAGTTTGCTTCAAATACCCAAAATAAACATTTCTAACAATTCCCTTGCAAATCAACTGATAAAAATACAAATTAATTGCATAAATTGTGTTGTAATTAGCAGAGAATAATTTTTTCGCGCTGTTGGAGTAATTTCCAATCAAAAATTCAAGAAAATGCTTAATCGAATCCTTTGCATAAATTTATTCCAATTTTAAAGTCACAAAAATATGTAAGGATAACTTTATAAACTTATCCTTACATATTGATAAACTTATAAAGTTATCCTCACATATTTTTGTGAGTTTAAAGTTTGAATAAATTTATACAACTTATAAGTTTAAACAAAATAGCACTAATTTTGACAAGAAAAAAGCAATTTTAGCTGAAAAGTTACACGACTTATTGTTCAAATTTATCCGCTAATGAAATTTTATAAATAATTTTGTATATAAAATCAAAAGTTTTTCATCTAAAGAAAATTTAAGAGATTATAAGACTAAGAGGGAAAAAAGGAAGCAATTGCAATTCTTTTAAGTGAGTAATAAAAAGTATTAATTTAAAAAATATAAAAGTATCTATTATTAAATACTGCAGGTTAGGCGAATAATATAATAATAAAGCTTATATTTATTCCATTAAGTAAATAATACAAATATGTGAATACTTAATCAAAATGAATACGTCTCGTGGGAGCTATTTGCATTTCAAGTATAAAAGTAATGAACAAAATCAGATATAAAATTTTGCTTACTACTTTTTATTATTTTATTTGTATTTACTTTTATGTAAGTAAATTAAGCATTTCAATTTCCTTCCTGCTACATTCATTACTAATATTTTCAAAAATTAATCATAGAGAATGTGTACACGATTACACGATTCGACATATTTGTATTTGTTGACGAGATAAATGTAAAGTATATAATTATTTACTTAATATTTTGTACTGTATAATTTTATTATTTAATTATTGTAAAACAGAACATCTTGGCATAAATTTTGTTATTCACTTAATTAGCATTATATGTTAGCATTATATTAAAAAGTGAGCTTTGTTCGTTTCATTTTACTGCGAGATTTCTCAGCTCAAGAAAAGTATCACTGTAATATAGTATGTAAACTGAAATTTGAGGGTAGAAGTACATTCTTAAATCAAAATTACAGTAATGTTTCCATTACTGTAATTTTGATTTAAGAATGTACTTCTACCCTCAAATACTTATGGAATATCTCAGAAGGACCAATCATCATAGCTAAAAAAAGCCACCATTATAATTATGTGTTCTTTTAGATAAATTACAAAAATATCAATAAAAAGCTCTTTTTATTACGCATATAGTATTAAGAAAATAGTTTTCTCTTAAACAAAAGTTAAAAGTTTTGTGTGATATAATTTGACCTCACCTAATAACTGCTCAGATAAATATGAATATTATAGCAGTAATCACTGATTGTCGCATAAATTTCACAGGTTTGAGCAAATTAATGCGCAAATAAAAATAATTTTTGTGATAATCAATTAAAAAATGTAATTTTTACAAGCACTGAGAAATTATTAATGCTCTGTGTTAATATTTATTAAAAAATATTTGAAGAAAAGATGATTTGATATCAGCAAATATTTGATTGATCAATTTTTGTCGAACATATCGATGGCATGATAATTTTTTTAATAAGTCAACGAATGATTTTAAGTGATATCTCTTATCAAAATGGCTTGTTTGATTTCGTTTTCGAATTACCGCACATCGTACTGAAAAATTAATTACTTCTTAAATGTTGCTAATATCAATGCTAACGATAAGTTTAGTTTGATTATGTAATACTGAAAAGAATTTAGAGCAAAATAGAATTGTTGACTTATTAGTAGAAAATATTATTGGTAGAATATGCTTGTGCAGCAGTAAATTATTATAATAAAAGTCTTATAAAAGTATTAAAGTTCAATTAATATAAGTTAGATTGTTTTTGTTTAAAAAATTTATAATCTAAGAGCAGAAGTCTTTGACGTTGCTATTTTAGTATTAGTAAAATTTTAAGTATTTCGATTTTTTCTTACAAAATTTTAATAACATTTAAGTCTCACAACATTCTTTATATTAATAATATATTTCATTCATCTTTTTTCCACTTAGAACCCATACGAAATGCTTTCTTCTTGGTGCAGTACTGACCAAAGTTGCTTTCTGATTTTAGCTACAAGACAATTTCATTTAAAATTGAAGTTTTTATAAATTCATTACTTTTAAACAAAAAAATTTGAATCGCTCAATGAAATATTTAATTGTAAATCAAATATTTAATAGCTTAAATGATTTCAATACTATTATTATAACTTGCCATTTCACAGATATTTTTGAAATATTATAACTTCGCGCCATTTTACAGATATTTTTGAAATATTATAACTTCGCAATTTTGGCTTCTAACTTTTCTAAAAATCATTTTGCCTCTGAAGTCAAAAAAAATACGAAAATTTTTTCAAACTCAATGGTTTAATAAGATTCAATTCATTCACCAAACTATGCGAATTTTCTTGGTACAGTTTTGTGCATTTTTCATCTGCGGTAATTTCGGGCAGCAAATTCCCTACGTCATTGATTTCTTCTGATTCTAAAATAATTCCTATTTATATTTAATTTTGAATATGATCTTCTTAGATCACTCAAAATTAAAAATTTCGGAAAAAAAGAGCCCTATTACATAAAAAGATTGAATTCACTTTTATAAAGTAAGATAAATAATTTGAAAATTTTGACTGAATAATTCTTTTTTAATTCTAGAATTGAACTCCACAAATTTTATCACTTTCTATGGTAATGCTTGGCTCTTCCTCTACTTGCGCATTCTGTTTTAATTTCATTGCGCGATAATGCGTATAGTTTGATTTCATGCGTAAGTATAGTTCCTTCAGGTACGTCTAAAAACCTCTTAATGATTTGCATTGATTTATGAATGAGCTTGTTTTAGATCACAAGAATCATTAATTATTATTGATAACCGAAGATCTAGTGATGAGTGTGTATAATTTTTTTCTACTTTATCATAACATAAATGTTACATTGAGTAGCAGCTTTGATAACTGGAGAAAAAGCAAATCCCTAAAAATCTCGGCTGATGTAAATTTAAATTTAATTTTTTCATTATTTAATCCACATAAATTAACGTAAATATTGTACTTGGTAACAAATTGTTGGTTGAAAATAATTTTTAGATTAACGGTCACATAAAAGGATCGTAACAGCTCTGAGTAAAAAAAGAAAACAGTTTTCTTTTACTCATTTGTATAGTAATTTTAAAAAGATGATTCTGAATCTGAACTCACGATGTCATTCTTGAGCATCGGATACATATCACCGGAAAGAAATTCTAATTCCTTCAACACCTTCACCGATGTAAATATCAAATTTGTTAATCGAGCTAAACAACTTCCCATTTCAATAGTTAAATAATATCCTTTACGATTTGTGTTCCTGTATTTAAATTCAAATATTAATTACCTCTCGAATTACATAAAGATATAATTAACTTGAAATTAAATTACTATCTGCGATAAAGTGCTCAGATTATTTTAGAATCAGCAAACTTTTGCATGTGTTCAGGTGAGCTCTCTCGTGAGTGATTCATAAAGTTGAATTTTTTAGGACGTGAATTTGACTGACGACGTGAATGTTCCGCACACGGACGACAAACTGCATAGCCACTGTGTCTCATTAAAAAACGAGGTGGAACCAATTGATATCGTAACGGATTTTCCTTAAATTGATTCTTAATTGTTCAAAAAATTAAACACTTATAACCGAAGTATTGGAACTATTAACTTTTTGTATTTAAGTTTAACATTTTTGCATAACTGTATTCGTTCCAATTCACTAAATTAGCTTTTATTCAATAAAACAGTTTATTAATAATTTTTAAGCAAATCAAGACAAAATAAAAGACATAATTTCAGTTTCGCTAATAAAGCTTGAAAATTTTTAATAATTAATTCGTAATTTTGAGAGCGTACACGTCGTTTAGGTGCTTGTGTTAAGGCATCTAAATGTTTCTCCAGTAAAAACTGTCGCTTCTAAAAAATAATGAAAATTTTTTCTCACGTGATATTACACATAGAAAGTCAATTTTCTACAATTTGAAATGGTGATATAAAAAATAATAAAACTGTAATAAGTGCATGCCATAGCTCTTAAAAATGGGACACTTAATTTAATTATATTTGAGGTCATTATTAGATTAAAAGAGTAAATCTTTTGTACTTGGTCTCGGGCAGTTTCAAGTTTGATCTGCTGTAATACGTCATAAAAGTGATCGTTACTCTTTGCGTATTTATTTTCACAGGTAGAAGAACACGATGACTGCCTTCAAGCAAATATGAACTGCTTACTTCTGCCTTTCAATTTTTGAATTTTCAAAATTTTTTTATAACCAAACTAAAAAATATGTAATTACTATTCTACACCAATCTGTGATAAAACTGTAATCAAAGTTTGAAACACTGGCAAATAAATGCTTGCATTGAAGGGTACTCAGAAGCAGCCATGTGCAACTGAATCTTACAACAATAAATGCAAAACAATCAAACTTCATGACTTTATTATCTCAATTATTTTAGCAAAATGATTCTTTCCGTTAATAAATATTAAAATATTTTCCTTAATATTAAATATAATGATATGATTTAGTATTTGTTTTATGTGATATGTTTTTTACATTTTGAGATTTTCTTCCCGATATCTCAAATACTCTATTAAAAGGAAAAGATTCAGTGTTAAGAGCGATTTTCAAAACTAATATAATGTAAAAAGTATTTCACACTGACAAAGTTTTCTGCTCTAAAGTTTTATGAAGTGCAACTCGTAAGCATAGCTCGGAAAACACGTTGGTGAAATGAATGTTACAAGGCACTTTCGAGTAAACTCTTAAGTCACTTTAAAAGTTAAAAAGAATTGTTATATGAAGTTTAGAAATATTTAAAATATAAAGTTACAAAAATTTGAAATATTGATTTGATTTTTTTCATTTTTGTAACTAAATATTAATTTATTATTAATCATTATTATTAATATAATTATTAATATTAATTCAACTACAAAAATTTGAAATATCTTGACTTTGGTCTGGATCTTGTTTAGTAATAAATTAAATTTTATTTATTATTCAGTTATCTTCGCACAAAATTTTGTTGGTTTTATATTACAAACTTTGCTTTTTATTTTTCATTTTGTTAATTTTTAAATATTTGCTTGATTTCTGGTAAACTGCCTCAGTATTATTCTTCCAATAACAATTCTTTTTATTCAAGATAATATTGTCAGTTTTATTATCACTATAAAATGTTTATCATAAGTTTTGTTGCTTATCAGTTATATTACTTTTCGATTTTTTTTTTTGAAATAATTTTATCAATTATCGCAGTAACAACGTCATGAGAGTAAAAATTGAAAATATCACTACAGAATTATGAATGCTGGCGCTGTTAACATTATTAGTGATAGCATTCGAATCGTTGTCTATTTCACAAGCCTGAAAGAACATAGTGCTAAACCACTTATAGTTGGATAAAGTTAAAAAAGTTCAAAAGTTTAGTAAATCAGTAAATATAATTCATTACTGATTTACTAAACGTAAAATTGTTGCAAGGTTTGCGTGAACGTTTGATTTTTGAAGTAACGATTATTCAAGATTTTAATGCTTTTAATGAATGAAATCTGCTTGTTTTTGCGAAAAAGACATTGCAATAGTTACTTTATTTAAATCTTTGATAGTATGCAAAGTAGTTGAAGAAGTTAAAATGATTAATTGGTTCAAGGTACATGGTACCGAGCAACCTGGCACCTGTAGTTCATGAGCATAATCACTTTCTGTTTCATTCTTGTAAAGAATCTGTAATTCAATTATGCGAATATTAACTAATTATTTTTTCTTAATTTATTGTTCTTCATAATTTCAACTCAATAAAGAAGCCATAAAGCAATACTTTATTGTAATTGAATATTTAAATATTGCATAATTTTAAGTAAATATTTAATATGCAATTTAATAATTCTTTCTAATTTTCATTATCTATGTTTGCTGCCAAAAATTTTTGTTGTTTAAAATTTAGAATTAAAAAAATTTTTAACTGACTTACTTTTACGACAGTTTCATTTTTTTCGCTCTGATATAATTCCAAAATCAAACATGCAGCATAAGGTACTAATGAGTTTTGACCAACGTTTAACGCATATTGTAATGCGCAAACAGTGGCGTCGTGCTGAAATTGCTTTTATTTAAATACGTATGTATTAAAAACAGTTTTGATTCTTTCAAATTTTCACGTGCTTTAGTTTTTACGTCTAAAAAATAACTTAATTTTTTTTCAAAGGTTAATTAATTGCTTAAAAAATCATTTAGGTAAAAGTAAATTTTTAACATGAGAAGTAGTCAAGCTTAAATTGAAATACGTACCGCAGAGTAAAGGTACATTTTACGTGCTTCTGTTGCTTTGTTTGAAGAAACATTCTTAAACCGATCTAATATTTCTCCAAGTAGTAGACCACCCTTTAGTTTTGCTTTTTCTATTGTATTATATTTTAAAATCTGGCTAGTTAATTTGAACTTTGTGATGATCTCAATAGTACTCATATTTTGATATTGTGGCCATATTTGGTGGACCCATGCTGGTTGCGGAAGATTGTGGTAGATCTGAAAATTTGATCATTGCTAAATTTAAATCTTAGTCTGGTAATTTTTGATCTTAATGATCATATTTTCCAAATATGAAAATGAATCAAACTAATACCAAAATTAATTGCTTAAAAAATAGTTAATTTGAGTTATAAATCTGAGAGTAATATTTAAAATTGCAAAATTTTTACTTGCAAATATTTTTGAAATGATTTCAATTACATCGGTTTTCAATTAATTCTAAAATAAACAGGAAACACATTATTCTCAAAGACATACGCTTCACTGACCTCTCGTTGAATATCAAGCAATGACCCTAACCGACTAAAATTCAAATTTTCACCGATTCCGGTTATATTGGCTAAGAAATGAGTAAAATTAGCATATTCCTGCATCATATTCGAGTTACTTTCATCTTCGGCTTGCATTAGAGCATTGTATCGAGGACAAAAATGCGTAGTGGAATGGAGCAGCTGAAATACTTATACAGTTTGAAGACTTATTAATTTTTATTATGTTATTAACTTTAATTTAATATATAAATCTTTCAATGCAAAAAGTAATTAGCGAAAATTTAATTACAGGCGCATTTTTTTCGATTTTTTCCATATAAAATGGAATAGGTTGCCATTTTTCGTCCTTTAACCATTGCAAACTAGAATTTTCAATAGGAAAAAAACCACGCAACATTGCTTGAGCACTGACAATTGCTCGTTCTGATCTTGACGTGACAACTTTTACCTAAAAATTTATTTATTAGAGTAGAAATTGTAAAAGTTGAAAGCATCAAGTATAATATAATTTAATATCTTTTGTATATTTTGTCAATTAATTCTTTTTATTTTAATAATTGAATGATGACTTTTGTTTACTGTAATAGTAAATTGATAATAAATGAAACGTGAAAATTGTGATACTTGAAAGTCCAAAATTAGTCTTCTTAAAATTTAAACAGTTTACATCAATTGAGTTGAATTCATTCACATAATTATGGTATCGCTGCTGGAAAAAACGACCTAAATCATAAATTTGCTTCATTCCTACCTGAAAAAATTTATAAGTTCATAAAGCCATGCTTGAAATTTGTTGCACTTTTGAATTGGGATTTAAGAATGTTACTACCAAAGAATTAAGAGTAATATGCAAATTACTATAAAGTTGACAAAACAGAATTGCATACAAAAAGGTCAGGTCATCTTAAAATATTTTACAGTGTGAACATAAATAGAAAAGAAAAAACAAAGTGTATTTTTTAAATTTAATTATATACCAAATACTAAAGAACTGAAATTGCTGCTTCAAAAGTTACAAATTTAAATTTAGAAAATTTTGCAAATGCATCAGAAGTTTTCATTTTTGTACTTCAGAATATTTTGTAATACAGAAACATTTGTCGAGTAAATTAATTTCCGCTGAAAATTAAGAAAAAATTTACTAGCAATTTGTAGAAATTATTTTTAGTTGAATAAACAAAAACTTGTATTATTTGATTCATAAAACAGATCGAATCAATGAAGATTTGATGTAACTAAGTCATGATCTAGTCATGATCTACAGTATTTTCCATATAGAAATTTTAAATAAAGGTTATCAGTGAGGGCACTAAGAAAAGATCAAAAATACAATAAAACTAATAAAAGTTTCCTTGTTGATTTTTCACTGATTTTAATTATATTAAAACTTTTTTGAAATTGTAAACGTTAGGTTACAATTGAATTAAAAACTACAAACAAAAACTTGTATTATTTTATAAAAAAATTCAAGCCTTCATTAGGGTGCATTTAAAACTCACGCAAATGGTTTTTATCAAAATTTTAATTTTGGCAAGTTTGCAAAAATTATAGTAACAAACATTAGTCAAGTGGGACCATCCACGGGGCCAAGACTTTTCATCGTTGAGGTCATTGGGGTAGGGTAGCTGATGAGGTGCTCGATCTCCATGACGCCAAATTGCCTGTACGTAAATCAGTTTCACGTCTGACTGCAGCGAATCTGTTGTATTCAGTGTGACCGGATTAGAGGAGACGCAACTGATTAACAAATTGTATAGGCCAAGAAGTAAAAACATATATTCCATTACTTTTCTGAAAAAATAAACTTCAAAACTGTGCACAAAAAATATTTTATCAACAATTATATTGAGTGTAAAGAAAGTGATAGATAATAGTTGACTGATAGTAGTTGAGTAATATAGTGGTAGAAAATTTTAAATGACTAAAATAAAAATAACTTAAATCTCAAGAATTTTATCTGCAATTCATAGTAATTCAATAGCAGAGATTCGTAATTTAATAAAGTATATGATAGAATATTTTAGATAAAAAATATTTAAATATGAGCTGATTTTAGTACAAAGAAGCACAATCATTTTATCGATAAAACTGATGCTTTTAAATCAAAATTCATGAAGCAAAAAATCAAAAGAATTCTAAATTGTAAATGCCTGAAAAAATATCATAACTTTTATTTGCTACACAATAAATACAGTAAGATTTAAATGCAAGAATTGATCGAAATTTGATCTGATAATTGTGATCAGCTGCAGAAATGATTCTTACCAACTCTTACTTTCAACTGCAAGATGCAAACTTTTCCGCCATTAAAAAGAGATGTAATAGAATAAGAAATCTAGTTTTTTCACAATTCATCAAACCTGATTTTCTCTATTTTTACTTCCACAACTAAGAATCTTTTAGCACAAAAATTTTGCTAAACGATTTTTGTGCTAAAATCTACAAATTATTCATTTTTTGAAATTTTAAGCTGTTTATTTTTTCACAAATGTCAAAAATAGAAAGAAATAATTTCGATATTTTCAAAAAAGATAGCAATTAAATCATTTCCATTTCGTTTTTTTTACTTTTTATTTTTCAACAAATTTTTATAATAATGTTTATTAAAAAAATGCAATATCAGACAAATTTATTGATAAATTTAGCAAAATAAACAATTATTAAATTGAAAAATAAGTGTGCACGCAAAGAAGAATAAATATCAAATTGTCATCGATGTTTATCTAATAAAGTAAGACCTTTTTTTTGAGTAAAATACACAATTTGCGTACTGAAAAATGAATTATTCATTTTGAATTTCATTTGATTGCCTGCCATACTGAGCAAAGATTACTATTCACGCAATATTTTGAGCTATTTACTACAATTTTGTAACGTGAACAAGTCAAATATCAAGAATAATAAACAAAGTTAAAAGGTTTTCTATTAATCGCATTATCACTTTCTAGTAACAAATTATTAAAAATTGACGTATTTACTACAATTCTGTATTTTCATTTTATTTAGAAATGGTAATCAAAAAATTGCATATTTTTGCTCAAAATTTTTGGGATTTGTAATTTAAAAAAATAATAATAATAATATAATTCATTTCACATTTTAATTTTTGCATCTTTTTTAATGTAATTCAGTATAATACGCAACTGTTAATATTGTTGACAAACTATTCATTCAGAAAGATAATCTAGTATACTCATTTACATTTTTGTTTTGTTTTTTGTTGATTTTTAGTACTTGCGCATATTAAATGAATACCCGAAAATAATTTGATAGTAAGTAACAATATTTCAGTATTTATTTTTAAATCTCATAACTTAACCAAGCATTATTTAAATATCAATTTATTTTAATCAATTTCTTATTTTAATTTCGAATATTTTTCTAGTCGGCTAACGTCAAATCAAGCGGTTCATGAAGTGCAAAAAACATTGCAAAACAACTTCGAATAGCGGTTGCAGAAGCACAGCAACAATTCCGCGTGATGCTATGAGTGTGACAGAAAACGTTTGCCCTACGTTCCCATGGAGTATTGAACTATAAAAGTTATTTTAGATTAGTTTTTCTAAGGATTATTCCAAGTTTTTTTCTTCTCTGATGTATTTACAGGAAAATAGTTCATTAATACACACAAAATTTGCCCATTTGAAATGTGAGTACTGATTTGCATGTTTGAATGGACATGTCAGTAATCTTATCTGAATTATAGGAAAGTTATTCAGATAAGATTACTGATATTTAGTCAGACATAGTTATTTTTTGTCAGTCACACACAACACTCTCTATCTGATAGCTGCGTATTATTAGCAGCACCCTGTGGATTCTTAGAGCCACCTCGAATGGTTGTCTTTTTCCAAAAATATCCATCCATAATTTGTATTCAGGATTCGGTGTACCATTCGCAAATTCTGCTAAAGCATCAACCACTGCATCAGCATACCAGAAACGATCTTCTGTTGTAGGAAAACCTAAAATGAAAACATCTAAGTTTCAGGATCATAAAGTATATCAGAAAATATTTGAAACTCTTATTTAAAAAATATATTTACTCTTGGATTTTTTTTATACCAATAAAATTTTCAGTGAAAACATACACATTCAGTCTAAAACAACTTTAGGGAACAAGTGACAAAGTATTTGTTAATTTTACTCTAACAAATTTTCAAATTGTAAGTAACAATATTTCAGGGTTTTATTTTACTTCTCACATTTTAAACAGACATTGTTGAGTATAAATTCATTTCAATCACTTTTCAATTTTAACTGTGCATATTTTTGTGATAGCATACTGTAAAATCAAAAGATTTATAAAGATTTGCTTTTATATTGATATTCAAAAAAATTGTGCTCAAAAATTGATTTATTAAAAAGAATATTTAGAGGATTTGCATCATTTTTATGCAATTTAAAATACTTTTGGTTTAAATTTCTTTCAAGTTTTGTAATTTTATTGAATAAAAAATGCAAATATATTCAAAAGTTATCACTTGTTTGCAATTATGCAAGAATGAAAGATTGTAATCTGAAAGATAAAGTCAACTTTAAGATATTAATTTAAAAATATTACTTTTTATGCAATTACCTTCGTAGCAAAGTTTCTGTGCTTGCTTAAGGTAGTCCAAAGATGCACGAACTTTTTCATACTCGTGATTCAAGCAAATCAACCATCGTCTTCCTTCTTTATTAGCCGCAAAAACTGGTTGCGATGTTTGAGAATGCTTGGCACTATATTGGCTGTTCGTATATCCTGCTTATAGCTTTTTAAAGAAACTAATAAAACTAAACTTTCCACATATTAAAGTTTAAAATTGCAAAAAAATGTAAGAAAATTTAAAACAAAAAAAGATTTTGTTAATTATTATTTGTAATTGTCATTTATAGCAAATATGCATGTGTTTGTTGAATTAATAAAATTAGTATAAAAAATAAAATAGCATTAATGGAAGACAGTATGAGTTCAATTAATACATAAAAATAAATGATAACATTTTTGAACAAAATAATTACTTCTGACCATTAATACTTACTGTACAGTTTGACAGTAGTGGGAAAAAAATTTCGCAGTAATTTTTAAAAAATTGAGTGCCATGCTATTTTACTGCACAAACAAACAGGCAGATTGCTTTATTGAGTGAATAAATACAAAATAATTACAACAATTTTGAATAAATAATTTTAAATCATTGAAAAGACATGAAGTGAGGAAATTATGTTAAAAAATATTGAGTAATATTATTATTTATTTACCTCGAATAAATTTGATTCCTTTTTCTTTGTTGTGAAAAGTTGTATCTGTAAAGAACAATCTATTTGGAATTTCTAAATTAATTACTTTTATGACATTGTTTGTAAAGTTTGCTAAAATGTTGAATTTTGTAGGTATTAATATATATTTATTAATTGCTATTCTAATTACTCATAGAAAGAATCAAAATAAAAAAGTTGAAATTGTATTTCATTTCTTTTTTTTTGAAGAATCTTACTTACATCTACGGTTTGTGAAGTTGCTACTACCATAAATGTCATTAGGTAGTGCTTTTTTTCGATCACAAGATTCGTGAGCAAAATTGACGTTGAATGTCGTTAATGAGAGTGGTTTCTGAAAAGCACACAATACCTCTTATGTTGTTATGAGTGAGCTCTGAATAATGAAACTCACAGCATCCGAGTCGAATTCCTCGATTCCTTCCTGATAAAGACCAACTGAGATGCCTTGATGTTGTGCGATTGTTGGCTCACATCTGCCCAAAATTTCACGTAAGCACTACAAAAATATTAGTTGCAACGTTTATTTACACTTACATACTTTCAGATGATTAATTCTGTATACAAAAATTTTGTTATTTTAACAAAGATTAAATGTCTTAACTTTTATGCACAATTCTTTTTAGTTTTTTGTTTCACTTTCAATCTTTTCAAAATTCAAAAAGCTTAAATACTTGCAAATTATAAAAAAGTCAAACTAAAACTGTTTTAATAATTTATGTTTTTAGCTAATTTTTTAATTTCTTCATCAAACGTTTCGCATCTTTTTTACTCTTTCTGCAACTAGAAGGTAATGTACTGAATTTTGTGTTGGAATTTTTGACGTTTTTCCGCCAGGCATATCTAAATGAATTTGATGCGTTTCATTAGCGTGAAATTCTGCTCGTCTTCGCTGTATTTTATTGTTTAAACGCCATGGGCCAATAATTGATGAATACTGAAAACGCTATGAATGTGTTGCCTAAATTCAGTCACTATTACATTACATTGTTGATTTTATTAATGATGAATGCATGGAAATGCCTTGAAGTTTGACAAAATTTCAAATTCAACAAATTCTTAAAGTTAATCTTTTTTGAATAATCAAGGCATTATTTATTTC